CTGCACCTCTTCGACAGCAGCTCGGCGGGGTCGCGACAGCAGCCCCTCAGCAGCTTTAGGTGAGTGGCGGGGCCCGGCGGCCTCACGGGTTCCCGCTGGCGGCGGCAGCGGCGGCGGCGGCGGCAGCAGCGGCGGCGGCGGCAGCAGCGGCGGCGGCCTGGTGGTGGCTGGCTGGGAGTGGAAATGAGCTCCTGGATGGGGGTGATGCATGCAGATCGGAGCGGCTTGCGCTGCTGTCATAATAAGAGAGGAGTCTTCAGTCGCGTATCTGCATTTCGTTGCGCTACGTTTCGCCGCGCGGCTTTCCCTTGCGTGTTACATCTCCTAATTACTTTAGATCGCCCAGACGGCTTTAGTGTCGCCCAGCCGCTGATGGCTTTTTGACATCTAAAATGTCTTTGCAGCTTCAAATATTCGCCGATGTTGTTTTAAGGAGCTGGTGGATTATTGTTATTGTTATCCTTCCCATGCTTGATGCTGCGTGGCTACTAGTGATGCAGGTATGGTGTACGGTAACTTATGCCCTGGTTGCTGTTGTCGTGTTCTGGTGTGCCGTACAGGGCAAACATGACGTGCGCGACCTTGTCAGCACCTGCCGTATCCACTCCCGCCGCCGTACAAGTGTACGATAGCGCGGCCGAGACTGTACTTGTCACCTGCTGCGGCGCCACCTTGCGGCTGTGGAGCTTGCGGCGGCTGGCGGAACCACTGCTCTCGGTGCCGTTGCTGCCGTATTTGCCGTACGGTGGCGGCGGCGGCGCCGGATGGTCTCCAGACTGGTCGCCATGCATGTGTTTGTCGCCTAGAGGTGCGGCCGCGGCGGTGGTGCTTGGCGGCGGCGGCCCGGCAGTCTATCTCATTGACCTTCAGGTGGGTTCCCAATGATATACGACAGCCGTACAGCATGCCTCGTACGGTAGGGACGGTATTTCGACGACAAGAGTCCAGGGTGGCTATCTAAAATGATGTCTTTACGCCTTATTACGGCAGAATAGCCATCAGACAGGTCAGCAGCGTTTAACGGAGCAGCGTAGGGGCCACCGTGCCACCCAGCTTGACGCGGCGGCATGCCTGGGGTGCTGCGGGCCGTGATATGTTGTGCTTTAAGGATGGCTTTCTTCCACATATGAAACACGTTGTGGCTACCTCCATGTATCCCGCCTCCACACAGGGCGATGGCGCGGACGAGGCTGCCGCCGCCGGCGGCGGCACCGTCTCCGCCGGCGCTGGCGGCGGCGGCGGCGGCGGCGTTGGGAGCGGCAGTAGCACCTGGCTCAGCAGCGTCTTCGGCTCCCCATCAACAGCCTCAGGCATGAACGTCCCCAGCGCCGCGCTCAACAGGATGGCAGCGGCGGCCGTGGGCCGCGTCTCCGTTATACTGCCGTACGACGGCAGCGACGCCGGCATCAGTGATGTCGGAGGCCTATCGGGTGAAGTAGGCGGCGGCAGCGGCATGCCGTGTAATGAGTTTGGTGTTGGTGGCGGTGGCGGTGGACGCGACGGCGGCGGCGGTTGCGATGTCGACGGCGTGTACGGCACTAGCTGTAGCTGGCATCCCACTCGGGATGTGCTGGTGGTGGGTTACCGGGACGGTGCGGTGCGGACCGTGGCCCTTTCCCATTCCCATTCCCGAGTAATGGCCGGTGGTGGCGGCGGCGGCCGCGGTTGACGAAATGTCGTACATGAACGCGTGGTTGTGTCCCGTTGGTATCGTGTCCTAGGGTCTGTTGCTGTGGTGCTTGTGTATGAAACACCTGTACGACTGGCGGTTATTAAGTTGTTGCCCGTCGTCCAGGAAACGTTGTTAGTTGAAGCATCCCGGGAGCGGAAGCCTAGGGAAGGCGGCCGGCATCGCGGGAGAGAGCAAATGTAACGGTATTTATTGACGGCGGGGGATACGAGGGCCGGAGGTCAACGGAGAGGGACGTTGAGCAGGAGGCAGCGGCACGGTTGCTGTCGTACTTTGAGATGCCGTACAGTCGTACCACAGGACCACCAAGAGCTTCAGGAAAGTCTCCCAGCTTGTGTCCGTGAAGAGGGACGGGTGGGGGGCTGTTGCCCGGCTACGTAGGCAGCAGGGTTCGACACTGACCGGGGTGTCGAACCCTGGTAGGCAGGGACAGTATTTTCGGTGTGACTGCTTACCCCGCACTAGGGCCTACAGAGGTTGCGTGGCGACATCTGTTTTGCACACCTGCTGGCTTGGGAGCTGTCGCTACATATACCATGTATATGGTACTGCTCCTAAGCCATTCTGCGCCCTTGCAAACATTTCCCTTCACATCCTTCACATCCATTTCCACCCATGCAATCCTCGACCATACTTCCCCAAACCAAGCAAAAATTGCCTTTTCTAAATCTCACTTGCCTGTTTTAACGCTGGTAGTGAACGAAAGGGAAAAGCAAATGCGAATTTGCGACACGTATGGCATAGATGGCGGTACGGTACAGCACATGGCATAGGATAAGGAAAAGAATACCCCCGCGAACTCCTCATACAACATCGTCCCACATTCTACTGCAATGCACATTCTCCTACGTCTCCCAACCTTCCGCATGCAACTATCGGCCCAGTAGAGCATCTAGGCAACAGCGTCCCTAATGCATACATACACTGTCATGGGTGACTGGCGGAAGGATTACAGCAACCGCTTCAGTCACAGCAGCAGCAGCAGCAGCAGTCGTGGTGGTGCTGCTATTGCTGCTACTGCTGCTGCAGCAGTCTTTATTGTTTCGCACGACAGAGAATGTTGTCCGATGGCAGCGGCAGCAGCAGACAAGCAGCTAATAACGCATTCCCCTCTAATCCCCCCACGGGGGATATTTCGCCCCACGGTGAGCCGAGGGACAAAATCGCGCTGGAGACGTGAATGTCACGACGTTTTTAGCGTCACGTTCATTTTACCGTCTTTTCTGATCGTCCTAGGTTAAAATCGGTATGAATACGCGTCTTTCGTGTCGTCTTATACTCGCGTAAGGTGTTCGGTTGTTACCTTACACTTCACTTTTGTGGACGAGATGCAAATGTACACTCGTTTGCGTATGTTTATGTATTTTACTTGTGAATTACCTGTTTCTTGTATGAATATTTTGTCACACGGGTATTATGTGCCTTACTTGTATCATTCGAGGACAATATGTCGTGGTCATGAATGCGACCGAGACGCGAGCGACCCACGGGACATGTGTGTGTGTGTGTGTGTGTGTGTGTGTGTGTGTGTGTGTGTGTGTGTGTGTGTGTGTGTGTGTGTGTGTGTGTGTGTGTGTGTGTGTGTGTGATGCGTACACAGGAGCAGCAGCAGCTGCTGCCTCGCTGTCGTGAGTGAGGCCCCCGTTCGACTCCGGACTGAGTGGACTTGAAGGACGAGGAGGGGACGAGTCGTGCTTGCGGCAGTGACCCATGGGTCCCTTTACGGCGCCGCTTAGGGGACGCCGCTTCACTCCGCTACCGCCGTTCCTTTGAGGTTTGAAGCTAAAGCCCCCCTCGTTGCGTCATCATCGTTGCCGCAAACGATGTCAAATAATCAAATTAAACCTTTACGTTTATCAAATTCCAGCAGGAGCCCCTCAGGCCAATTTGTACATCTATTACCCCTATCTTTAGTTTACAAACTTTTCCGACCTCGGTCTCGACCTGCTGTCCAAAAGTGCGTTAGTGTTTCTAACGCATAACCGGAAACATTTGTGCAGTTTGCCGCCAGATATAGATAACGTTTTTGCAGGTCAGTTGCTTTGAGTCCACAGCGTCAGCTGTTTGTGGACGCTTTTTGGCGTCACGATCTGCTTTGGTGCTTTGGTCCTGGGGATTGCCTCTTTTGTCTCGGACCTCCACTCGGCCCGGGCTTTCTCTTTCTCTTAACTTCTCATCGTCCCTTTCTTATTCCGAACGCACTGCGTACCCTGCATCTGCATGTGCATGTGCCCGCCAACCTGTCGCAACCTAGCGGTTCTATGGCGCTCTCGTTCCCATCACTAAAGTGTAGCATCCAACTAGCGCATCCAGAGGCGCACGTTTAGAAATGGATCCGAGGCATCAAGATCGGCCCTCGCCCCTGGGGCCCCCCCACCTGCCGCGCTACCCGCGCTACCCGCTAGGCAGTCCTCCTGTACCGCTCTCTCTCACATCACGGCAATGTCGCGAGGAGCCGGGACGTATCCACCGTTCATGGGTGGCGGCAGCAGCGGCGGCGGCGACGAAGGCGCCCAAGCGGGGTTGCCGCCGCCGCCGCCGCCGCCGCCGCGCACTACCGGGGCAACTGCTGCTGCGCCAACGCGCTCTGGAACCAGCCGGGAGGTGACTTACGACGGTGGAGAACACTGGGAGGAGGGCGAGACGGGGGAGGGGGAGTGGGGGGAAGAAGGGCCGTCGCGCATGTGGGGTAGCGGCAGCTGCGACACCGGCACGCAGCAGCTCTCAAGCGATTCACCCGTAGGCTTGAGAACGCCGAGATCTAACCGCCTCTCCCGGCAGCGGCGTCAGCTGACGACGGCGGCGGGTACGACGATGTCAGCTGAAGCCGCTGCCGGCGGCGGCGGCGGCGGCGAAGGAGGAGGAGGAGGTTTAGGCAGCGGCGGCGCGTTTTCGCCGGTAAAGCAGGGCGGTGGCGTCATCATGTCACCCGGCGGCGGCATCGCCAGTGGCATCCTGAACCTGCCGTACGTGCGTGGCGGAGCTGACGCGCCGTACGCGCCACCGGCGGGCGTCGCGGATGCCGTCGGCGTTGGCGGCGGTGGTGCTGGACGCGTCGCCGGCGGGATCAGCGGCTGTGCCGGCGGCGGCAGTGTACGGCATAGCTCTGGCGAAATCGTTGATGACGTCACCGCCGGTCTGCCACCCAACGTTATCTTGGACGAGCAGGTCGGTGGCGATGGTGACGGCCGAATTGCATCGAGTGGCCGCGCGTGTATAAATATATAAACATAAATATATAATATAAATATATAAACATATTTATGTACATACATACATACATACATACATACACACACCCGTGGGTGAAAACCCTGTTATATGTTTTATGTGTGCCGTCACCAACCGCCCTTATCATTATTACTATAGGGGTCCCGCACGCCCACCCGGGTGTCCCCAAACCCACACGGTCAGAACCCCCGTCAACCCCTTCAGCCACTCATAACTCAGCCCCAATTTCACTCTGGACCCCGATGCCCGTCGCCCTGCTGCGACCCGCCCATAGGCGGAAATGGCCCGGCACCCCTTCCCCATCCCGCCGCACGAGCTGATTGCGCGGGCTCGCCGAATATTTGCCTTGGGTGAGGGGGGAGGGAAAGGAGCGTTGCCGTACGCTTTGCCGTACATTCTGCCGTACATATCCGTTCATTATCTCCTCCACACCCCACCGACGGCGAAACCTCAACTCGCGTTTCGTACAAGGCACGGGATATCTCCACTACGGCATATCTACACCTGGCCCGCAGCCCCCGCGTCCTGCCCAGCCGTCCCCGTCCTGCCCTGCCCTGCCCCGTCCTGCCCGGCCGTGTCCCGCTCACACCGACCCAGGGGTCGCTCACTGGCGCAATCTCTCCGACGACTTCGAATTTACCGGTGAGTTCGTGACACCACTCACGTGATCCACGCGGTGGAGGGTGACCGACACTTTGCACACACACACATGCGATGTGAGAACATGCATAGGACTTAGAGGACCATCACAACTTCGTCATCCCGAGGTCACGGTCGCCACGGACGCCTTTCGGTCAGTTCTACGTTTGTTACTCTCTTGCCCTGGCAGCAGCTTCAATCGTGTGTGGTTCGTCTTTCCCCTCCCCCTCCCTCCCCTCCCCTCCCCTCCCCTCCCCTCCCATACACACACATACACACGCGTTATGGCGTTTCTCGGGACCGTACGGGAGTTTGCCGGTGATGCCGTCTCCCTCTGCGGCCCGTCTCCTTTCCCCCCCTCCCCTTCCGCAGCCCCCTTCATAGGGCCCCTGGGCCCTGACGAGTTCCGTACCACCATGTCTACACTGGCTTTGGAGGAGGCCTTCTCGGACATGGAGCCCAGGTGCTAGGGTTTTAGGGTTTTGGAGGTTTTAGGGTTTTGGAGGTTTTAGGGTTTTTGTCGTCTTTTGGTTGATTCGGTTGAAGGACCTAAGCGGGCGATAGAGGAGAAGGAATTTGGGGCGGCAGCTCGGCAGCTCGACGACGGAAAGCAGCTGCAGCTGCGGGAAAGCTAGTCGTCGTCATGTGTCATGTCAGCGGGCGGAATGATCCATTCATTAAAATGTGGTATTTCGCAAGGGAAGTATGAGCCGATTCTTCCGTGTCTGTCGGTTTGTCGTCGTCTGTCCCGTCTGTTGGTGTGTTTGTGCACCTGTGTACGGTCGGTCGCGTTGTCCGCAGGCCTCTGGGGGTGTGACCGATTATCGCCAACATTATTATCGCCAACCCCCCGCGGCCCACCGCGTACCAAAATGCGCCGTACACGCAGGTATCACCATTTTCGTGTCGACCCCTTCAGGTGCGCTAATCCGACGTGACGGCTTTTGGCGGCTTGCGTTGCGCGTTTTGCAAGTCGTTGATTGAGTTGGTTGGGCCTTAGGAACTGTAGCTGATGGGTAACCACCGTTGCGCATGATTTTTGTACATGATCCATGTATGTACATACATACATATGTGCATCACTGCCACATGTACAACAGCGCCACACTCGTCCGCCCCCTCCTCCTCGTCCGCCCCCTCCTCCTCCGCCCCCTCCTCCTCCTCCTCCTCCTCCGCCGCCGCCGCCGCCGCCCCCTCCACCGCCGCCGCCGCCGCCGCTGCCGCCGCCACCGCCAGGCCCAACAGAGTTTGGGTGACGCTACAGTAAGTGACCGGATCGGATTCGGATTCGGATTCGGATTGTTTTGGACTTGAGGCAGTGGTACGCCCGCGCAGGACTAAAGGGCTGATGGTGCTCATGTCGCATGCACTGGGAAATGATCCGAAACCGCAAAACCCCCACGCGAACCCGAACCCAGGTGTGTGTGTGTGTTTTACCCCACGCGTCCAGGCCCCGCTGCACCCACACGGGCACATTCCGGGGCAAGCTGCCGTTCGGCATCCCACCAACAGGTAAGGTTGGTGTGTGTGTGTGTGCGTTTCACCCCCCCGGTGAAGGGGCGCGAGGGGTCGTACATTGGGTATTGAGGGAGGGCTGGAAAGTGGGGAGTGTAGCCGTACCAGTGCCGTACACCTACCTTCATATCCGTACATGCACCCGTAACCCGAAACCCGCATCATGGCAGGCAAGGTGATTGAGGAGCCGCCCCAGACTGCCAGCATCACCTTCAACGCGGCAGGGGAGGTGGAGGCATACACGATGGGCTACGTGATGGACCGGGTGCGCGAAACCGTGAATGTGCTGGCTGTACATCGTATGCCGTACGCTGTACGAGCTGTGTTGTCGTTGAGCGATCATCATCATCATCATCATTAAATTATCATTACCTTCATTAACAGCTAGTGGCTAGTGGTCAGCAGGCTTCGTTCCGAGCCAGTGACATGAACTGGGTGATGATGGAGCTGTGTGCCGTCGCTTCTTCATTATCCAGATATGTATGTCAGCCTTGCCCCTGTTCCCTTCTCCTCTCCCCATCCCCCCCCCTGTGTCAACAGCGTATCGGCAATACGGACGGCCTGGGAGGCGCCTTCGGGTTGATGTGGGCCCTGGGCGCCCCCCTGCCCGCCCCGGAAGGAAGGCCCTGGAGCCCCTCCCTGCAGCTGAGGCTGGTCAACAGCGGGAACTGGCTGCTGCAGGTGCGTGTGTGCATGTATGTATGTACGTATGTATGTATATGTGTGGTGCTAGACCGTTGACCGTTGAAGAAGTCATCGGACCATCCCTCAAGCGGGTTGCGTCTTTTTATTTTTTCTTTAGCCCATGGTCAGGTGTTTCCGTAACTGTTTCCATTTGTTAATGTAATGCTACTTGTCTATGGACAGCGCAGGAGGCGCACATGAGGCAGGGGCGTACACGGGCATGTGTTCGTTGAAGCTAGCAGTACGGAAATGTTTATGTAACACCGAGTAACCGACTAAAACGGCGCCAGAGGCCCATCCCTCCCGCCCGCGCAGTCCAGGCAGCTGCGTACCTGTACGACCGTACGATGTCGCTCGTCCTGCCCAGCAGTTGGCTAACACGTCAGTCGCGGAACACCATGTGAATGGGAGGAGAACAGGGTTTGTGGAGATGTGTGCTGTGTGCGGCGCGGACCGTACTTTGTCGACAAGTTGAGTTGCATTTTACAGGCCTCGTGGCATGCGTGTACGACATCGTACGACATCCTAGTGGCAAAGAAATACATTCGCTAAATTTCTGCGCTGCTGTTGGCGCGAACAGTAGTTAGTGAGAGTGCAAGGACGTCCGCGGCGGTTGACAGCAGCACCACACGGCCGGGTGCCTTTGTGTTCCGCGATCTAGGGTAAGGTGAGTACGCATACCCGTAGAGCATCTGACAGCTTTGCGTGCAACTGCAGATCACAAGGCTGTGGTTGAACATCGACCAGGTATTCTGGAACTGTTGCAATTGCGCGTACACCTGTATGTGGCATGCTTCTGCCGTACTGCCGTACTATATGGGCATATTTACCGCATTGGCTGGCTGGAGTGACGATAGTTTATCAAAGAACAGAACTGCGGGTGCTCTTTACCCCAAGGCTTACAGCGCAAAATCAGGCCATTCAAAACGTTATACGGAAGGACCTGGAATGACTGTGTGTGCGGGTCCAAAAGCCATACATATGACGATTGTTACATCGTGGTTTCTTCACACCCGCTCACACCCCGCACAAACAATATTACTCGTGATTGGGTGTATGAGATCTGCCCTCGGAGGATTTAATTCCAGTGTGTTTCTCCAAATAACAACAGATTTATACCTTCGCCAAACGAACAACTCCAGCCCACAACACGACGTGTTTCCTCGGCAAAACCAAAACAGAAACGAACGACCGCCAATCGAGTCTGGCAGATGTACACTAACCCGAGCCATGCTAGCGTCCATCATCACTATCAAAAAAGATGTTGTCCGAACATACATACATATGGACACATCTGCATTATGGATCTTGGACGGCGCTGGGGCCAGTGAAGCACTCAGGTCGCCTAGAGTGCTGGTGCTGCCGGCATCCCGATGGCGGCTTCGGAGCGCCCGTCCCAAACAAAACACTCACCGGTTCTGGTTTGCTTACCAGACCCACTCGCCAGTAGATATAAGCTAGCAGATCGCAAGTATTTTCTTTTGAGGTTTGGGACCGTGCTGCTGCATCTACAGCAAAGCAGCGGAGCGAAAAACCAGCCCGACCAAGCAACAACGGAATAAACAACCGCACCCAAACGAGCGTCCATGTACATATACATTATTACGGAGAAGGTAGGCCCCCGTACAGTACGACAATACGAACTGTTAGTAGCAATACTCTCCCTCGTACGCACCTTTCCCCTTCCACCCACATCTCCTACGCCAACGTCCCTCCTTCCCACTTAACGCACACGGGGCCCTCCCCACTCACATTGCATCGGGTAAAAACACGGTAGGAAACACAAGCGGTAAACTTCGCCTGTTCCATACGCCGCTGTGCTTACTTACTAGGAAATTGCGACTAGGAAAGGTGTCACCATCTGGGGATATCTCGCCGGCATGTGTATATTCATACATATGCCCGCTTGGGTGCCCGCGCAAAGTACCATCAAAAAAGCAAACACTGCCGTACATCCTTGATTCAGGCTCCATTCGGGTGGTCCGATGTGCGGCATGTGTGTGTGCGTATATATATGTCTGTGTGTATATGTGAGTGTGTTGATGGATAGCCTTTTGAATGTCGAGTAGGGAAGATGTTTGTTTGTTTTTGATGCGCAGCCTTCCCCTCGTGTTCGGCCCGTTGAACACAACCATAACGTGTCAATCGTCGCTGTCACGTATGTATGTATGTGTGTATGTGTAGGGCGAGAACAGCGACAACGACACACACACACACACACACACACACACACAACACCATAAACTCCTTCCTTACCGCTGCCATCGTCATTATCAATTTGTGCAGAAACGCAGGAGGCTAACAGCGCCACACGCCCCCTTGGGACTCCATCGTTGACTTTGAATAAATCCGACGTTTTTTGATGACACACATAGCAACGTGTGAAGATGTTAGCACGACGGAATGGAAAGCGACGCGCCATCCACAGTACCATCCGGCACCATCCGGCAGTGGTGGTAGGAAAGAGAATACGGAAAGCGCGCTATTGGCGCACTCATATATGACAAGCCATCTCTCTGGGGGAGATCCACGCAGCTAAAAGCGTACATACGGATGAAACGGATGTGGCAGGCAGCGGTAAACACGAGGCTTAACGTTGCCCCTGGCCAAGAACCAAAAACTGCAACCTCCTGTAAATGTGTATGGCCCCTTTATCCGCACGGTTCATGTGCCCAACCGAACTGCGTCGAACCAGCAGCTCGAACCGTCGTCATTGCTGTGCACACGCCATCATCCATATTAGCCATCAAAGCTCATCTTCAACCTCAACTTTTCAAACACGTCCTCGTTGGTCTCAATCCGGGAGTACGACCGTACGACGATACGACCCTCCGGCAGTTCTCGGGCAAACCGAGGAGCTTTGGCAGCGAAGGACCCTAACCTGTCGTACTGCACAGCTTGGACCCGCTCCCACCGGGAAGTTCTAGAACCGTGGCGCTAACAATGGCTCTGTACACCCGCTCTCCAACGCGCCGTACGATTGCGTACGGCGTCGTAATGACTCAAAAATTTTGGTGTTTTATAGTTCATGTATCTATACAGACAATTCAATATGGGAGAGCAGTAAGCCCAAAGCAACTAAACGACTTCAGCTAAGGTGTTCCCTTTCACAAATTTCCCAAATTAACATTCACCAATAATATAAATCGCCTTGAAGCAGACTCCCTTCACATAGTTTGCGAGTAAGGTGTGGTTGCGCTACCTCCCCACCTGCCTTCTCTACGGTTTGCCGTACAAAGTAATGGCGCGACCAACACACAACCATCACACTCCACGCCCCTAGGCCATATATAAAACCCTAAAACCCTAAAACAGGTGAAAACATGACGACGCGAGCACCTTCCTGTCCGCCCCGTGCTGATCTGTATGCTCGTGCTTCGATGTACAAACGAGGCGAAATGAAACAACTAACTGGCCTCCCTCGCAAACCGCTAGCCACCAGTGCCTAGATTTCTGAGGTTCCCTTCCAACCTCCAGAAGGCCCCGTCGCCTCCGGCAGTGTGGGGGCCTATTGCCTCCAGGTAGCAGGCCAGCAAGGTGTGGCGCGGTACGGCAAGGTACGACATAATTTGAGATCAGCGCTTTAGGGCTATAGACGCAAAGGCGCGCCGGGGACGACGTGCAGCATGTACGCACACAGTTCTTCCATCTGACGTCAACCCTCCCTCAATTAGTAAAGCAAAGTATAGTGGTAAGACACTTCCGTATCAACAACTAAACATAAATGCTAAAAGCCTGGATGAATGAAACAGCAGCGCGGCAGCTCACACTATATCTTCAACCCTACCCCGACCCCTTATCCAAATAAGCGTAGGCATAGGCCTTCCCACGATCGCGCGACTCTCATTTGGCAAACACACTGACGCGCCGCAAAACACGCTTCTCATCAACTAAGCCCGCACCCAAACATAAAAGTAAACTAAACATTTCCGAAGGATAGATCAATGAGGAGACATTCTTTTGCACCGTATCCTCAACCTCTCTTGCTTGCAAAAGACTTCTGCGACTGTGCGCGTTTGCACGCGTGCAGCAGCCGGTTCCCGATCTCTCGCTGTCCTGGTCTTGGTTACGTATATATTTCAACGGTATATGATGTGTGAAACAGGGGGGTGTATCTTCGCCCGTGGCAGCTACCCTGCGAAACCCTGCCTTCCCCGGTATTTCGGGGCACCCTCATCCAGTCACCCTAGTCAACTTCTCAGTGGATCGCTCAGGTTCCGCGCCCACCACCAGCATCCAACGGAATCTGCCGGGTCGACAGCGGCCCAACTCCATTCCTGGTCGGCTCGCGGGTTAACTTTATCCCAGGTCACCACCGTCCATCAACCAGGGGCGCAATGCCTTCCACCATCGGAAGGACTTTTGACCCTAATGGGTATCGATTCCGGGATCTCCCGGGGGCAATGGTCGCGCCTTACCAGTAGTGCCAAACCCTATAGTAGTATATGTCTGTGGAAGTGACCAAGTTAACCTGAGACAACTGCTCTGCTACCGTCGTCAACCAAGCAAGTAAGCAATAATCCATCCTGAATCGGGGCTACCTGCTATTTGTTCTTTTGGGGGCAACAGCAACAAAATGAAGCCTTCGTTTGGGTAGCTTAGCGCGTCATAGCCGCACTCGCAGCCCCTCGTGTCCAAGCGCTATTTAAAACGTAGTTTTCTGTAGGTTTGTTGGACCGCTTAGATAACTCACGTGGTCATGTGCTCTATAACGTCTTCGAAGCTAGCTGAACTCGATAGTAACTCACGTGATCACAATGCTGAGATACAGAGGAATATCAGATCATGAATGTCACAGCGAGGCGCATCCGGCCTCATTCGTTATCCCTTCGACAGACCGCCGCCTCCAGGCCCGTTTGAAAAGCTGCTGTGGCGGCTCTTCGACTGGTTGAGACCGCTGCTCGCCGACCTGCATGTCGATTGGGTCGTACATGCGCGCATTCTCTTCACCTTTACACCGTCACGCATGGATGAAATGCTTCCCGAGCAAGCAAAGACCTCGACAAGGAGGGCTAGATTCGCTGCGTTCGCTCGTCAAGGAGCAGCTTGTACACGTGCATGCGATTAGCTGGGATTGCATACCGGCATCAGAAGCTTATTAGCTAGGCACCGCACGGAACTGTCCAGGGTATAGGCACGTGTGTGGCCACCATCCATGTGGATGCTAGAGCGACTGACGTATATGCAGGGCAAATAAGCAGCGAAGCAAACAAAGGCGACCATGCATGGTTGCTTTGTCTGGCAGGTAAGCACGTTGAGATACTGTGTCCCGCACGTGCATGCGGGACCATCCGTACTACTTGCCAATCCGGCCAACCTGATAATCGCCTTCCATCTGCTGGCGGCATCTCCCTTGCCCGGAGGCTCATCGGCCGCTGGGAAAAGGGCAAACAGACGGACAACCGCATCGAGAATGTATAAAATGTAGTAATAAGAGCGGGTTAAGACAAGGAAGCAAGTAGCTTAATGCTGTGACATGATGAAACACCAAGCTGCAGTATGGATGGGACTGGGCATATGTGCATTAGAAGCTATGCTATGGCCGCCGAAGTTGAAGCTCTTCGTCAAAGGTTCGCCATTGGCGGGTGAGTGCCCATGCGCGATGGTCACAGGCAAGCGGCCGGTGCGCACATGCGCGCAAAACACACAACACCACTCCCATTGACACACGCAGACAACCCCGTATATACACATACACACACACACACACAAGGGATGGGGCTAGAGGTTACAGGGACGCCCGTGCCGCGCGCAAACCGACAAAGACAGAAGGCAGGTATGCTAAGGTAGCCAGCACCTGTGCTTCCTTCCTTCCCACACTTTCCCTGCATATTCACCTTCAACACCAATGTCAGACAGCTGCCCCGCCGAGAGAGCGCCTGCACCCAGACCGGCCCCCGGTGCGCCAGGGCCGCCTGGCGCCGTCAGGGTGCCCAGCGCCCTAGCCACCAGCCTCTCCACATCAAGCTCCAGGGGCAGCTGACTCATCAACTCCGCGATGCGGCGACGCTGTACGACGCGGTAACATATAAAGGCGTACAGCATGTGCGGAGTAAGAAGCGAATGTAAAAGCAGCGCAATAGGGGTTGGTGGGGGACGGCACAAACGGCCGAATGTAAGGCCTAGCAAATATGGCCAGCCAGCCAGCCAGCCAGCCAGCCAGCCAGCCAGCCAGCCAGCCAGCCAGCCAGCCAGCCAGCCAGCCAGCCAGCCAGCCAGCCAGCCAGCCAGCCAGCCAGCCAGCCAGCCAGCCAGCCAGCCAGCCAGCCAGCCAGCCAGCCAGCCAGCCAGCCAGCCAGCCAGCCAGCCAGCCAGCTAGGCGAAAGCTAACCCAAGGACTGACCTCTTTTGAGATGCGTTTGAGCAGCGGGTTAAGCAGCAAGATGAGGAAGCCGGCGAAGACTATCCACAGGACGAGGAACAGGACCACATGCAGGACCAGAATGCCTGCGGGTAGGCATTTGCGGTAATGCGCAGTAGGCAGGCCAGCCGTCGTGCGCACATGTAGGTGTCGCAGGACCTAGCAAGCAGAGGGCACAGCTTACCCGTCCTGCTATGTGGTTGGGAAGTCAGCCAGCGAGCGCTGTTCACGCGTGCTTTGCCAAGGAGCTAAAATAGTAGTAAGAAGGAAAGGACTTGGGAGGCCAGGAATTGTGATGTAGATGTATATATACGAATCAAGTATGGCTTACAGAAGGCTCAACAACAACGTGAGCGGACAACAACAACAGGATAGAGATAGCCACTAGACTTGACACACAACAACAACAACAACGTGAGCGGACGTACCCAAAACCCGCTGCGGACATTCGTCCCGCTTTACATATATGCATGTATGCATGTACTCACGGTGGAAGAGAGCGGTAATGGTGTCGTAATGCAGCACCTCCACGGTGACGGTGCCGTCCAAGAGGTCCTGCACAAAGGTGTACACATTCGCCCATGTGCGTGTGGTGAGCCGAGCGCGTGGCAACGGGTGAAGAAATGCAAGGAGAAGTCATCAGACGTGCTGTCCAAGGATCATGTCTGGCAAAGCACACGCGCAAGCGATGTATAGTGGCATGTGTGCGGTGCGCGGTTCCTCAAGCCCCAGCTGGCGGAGAGACGTTACTGCTTGTACGCGAGCTGCAGAAATGATGAGATGGGGGCCGATCGATGAGATACCTCCACCCGACTTTCGCGCGTCCCAGCAACATGGCCCCTGGGGCGTTCAAAGATCGTACCTTCGATCCGACGTTGTATATAAAATTGAAGTTCGCTGCATGCTCAGGAATTGATACAGCAGCGCCGCACGACCCGCCGGGACATGGCCATCAGGGAAGGGACGGAGCGAAGGGAGGGAAGGAGGGAAGGAAGGAGCAGGGAGAAGGGAGGGACGGAACGGGGAGAAGGCCGAGGTCGTTGGAAAAGGTATGGAACAGCCACCCCTACCGGCCGGTTAACCAGTGCCTGCTCGGTTTTCTAGATCATCACTTGTCAGGCGACTGGCATGGCGGCAAATACTGTTAATAAATGTGAAGTGCTTCTATCCTTGGTGACCAGCGTGCGAGCGCAAGCGGCTCATGGAGACAGCAATGGTTTCGTTGGGTGGGACTAGGCTGCGCGTGTTGACCGGGAGTGAGAATACGCCTTCTACCTCGGGCTGCAGTGCGGTCCGGGACAGCACTTCACTGCCTGCACGAAGCAGCTGTTAACCGCGGGTAACCAAGCCACGTTTGGCCTCGCTGCAATGCGCCGCGGCAAAAAGGTTACTAAGCGCCTAAGCTGTGCATGGGCCCATACAACATACTTGCCGTCCTCGCCGTCTTCTCGTGCGGTTCACAAGTGTGGGGTCCTGACTTTATCAATGTGAACTTTGAAAGCACTATGACCAATTATATGGTTAAGGAACAACACACTTTCATGCGAGCCGTTCTAGGTGCACGAAACCCACCATGATCTGTCTCTACCGTGATAAGCTACCCCAGATGACACACAGCAGTTCCATTGTGCTACCCGTGTTCTTAGGTTTGGGAGTTCCATGGTGAAGAGGCCCGGCGGGGCAATGTGCCACCGAGCGTTCGTTTCAGACCTGGAGCCCTAGCGGTCGAGGGTATTGCTGATTGGTGGTCAGGAAGCATCCTTGCCTTCCTGGCGCTGCCGTCCTCTTCATGAGACTACACCATGCATCATCAGGCTCCTCCACACGCCCTCTTCCCCCGTTATTAAGTGCATAACGCAGCAGCTCCCTTTCCAACAGCATACGGCAGCAGGCTCGCAGCTCCCTCACTGGGCTCGTGCCCACGATCCCATAATAAGTCCATGCTTACCGTCCGTAAGGCCCCCCAGCGTCTTGCTCTGATTTCTGGCCATGTCTGACACCCGCATCATGAAGTGCTGCATCATACTGTCCAACCCCGTGTGAGTGATTTGGTAGAAGGGGCTCTCGGGACCCAAACAGGGCAGGTTTTCCTGCGCGCACGCACACACACACACACACACACACACACACAAACACAAACATGCGTGTATGTATCACAGCGTAAGTGTGGGGAGACCCAGACTTAAATGCGTGGTTGTTGGATAGATGATGACCGGCAAGACGTTAGGACGACAGTTAAGGGTGTTTTGAGATAGTTGACCTCGCAAAGCTGGTGCCAGCACAACGCATGTGGCGGCTCGATGTAGGTGTGGCGGCTCCACGTCACGTCGCCGTTGCGGCCAGTGTGCACCAGTCCGCCACCTCACGGACATGCAAGCTAAACAGCCTAACCGTGTGGCACCTAGCCGCGACAGGGGCTTGTCACCCATCCCGCCTGGCTGTATGGCGAGCCCTGCCTGCCTGCAACACCGGGTATGTGCTGTCCTCCGCTCCTGCCCGATGAGGCCTCTCACGGCTCTATTCCTTCAGCTGCTGGTTTACGGTTTTCCATACCGTAATTCACGTGTACCACCAATGGGATTGCTACTGCTGCAGCAGCTGGAACGTAAAACTTTGACGCATTCCGCATGCACGTGCCTTAGAACTAATGCGCTGAAATCTGGCGATCGGGTACATGCGTGTACGTGTAAACCAGCCCGCCCGCTGAGCTACATCCATGTATTTCATAAGCCCTCGCAGTATCACCTGTTTAGTTGTGCTTCATGCCAACTGCTCAACGGCGCATTCCTTGCTATGTGGGCCCACACACCGCGCCATGCGCACCTAGCGACCATACGTACGACCTAGCGAGCATGCGGTAAGTTCTGCCAGTCCCTGGCTGCCTTACATGCGCCCTGCCCTACGCGCGCAACAAACATGTTTTCCGTCTTACATGGGTTCGATGACACCTGCCGGTGCCGTAAAAGACGCTCGCCAGCTCTGGCGATGCGTATGCCAAGCCATCCTTGACCAGCGGAAAGCGCTCCGTAGTGGATCCTGCTCCTGTGTCGGCAGCAGCGGCGTTGGCAGAAGATATTTACCAGCAATGGTGAGGGCAGCCCGCATGGGTGGGTGTGGGGAAGGAGGGCAGTGCGACGCTTGTTCATGCTTGTGCATACTCCCCAAACCCAAACGCTCGTTCCAGCGCACGGCCTCCCTCGCCAACTACACTGTATTGCTGTATATTGTTGTTGTTGTTGTTGTTGTTGAGGTGTTACAGAGTGGGAGGCTCCTGGGCCACTTGAACACCTAGTCATATTGCTGTATATTACACGCACGGCCACCACCCGGCCAGCGCAATGCAATGCTTCCATCGGCGCATGCGGCGGTCTACCTTGCAAAGCCTGCTGCTTGTATTGCCTTAAAGAAGCTTGTATTGCCCCAAAGAAAAAAAGGGTAGAGGTAGCCACTAGACTTGACAAAATGGCGAACCGTACGCATAAACCATCCTTCTGGATCGGCTGTACGTAAAAACAGAACCCGTTTGGTGGTTCATCTGTTCAGCAATAGGTCCAGGCTGCCGGGCCCCCTGCGGCGGGTTATTGCAGCCTGTCATGTCCTGTCCTTCAATCTATGCTATGCTAGCCATATGCATGTGCTTGCACAACCTACTACCCTTTCACCCCGCGCACCTGCAGCCCTGTAGGCGTTCTCCCCGAGCTGGAGAGTGTACCATGCGTCCCGCATCTGTTTCATCGCCGTTAAGAGTGCAGCGCGGCGTGCAGGCAGCAGCGCCGGGTCCTCAACCACGGCCAGCTCCTGCGTGTGTTGTGCATACACACACGCACGCATTTTAATACTACAGGAACATACATACATGCACATTTACTACACTGCCGATTGAAACGGTCAAGTCCTATCGACGTGATCAACCCATATCGGTCGATACGCCGCCAGCTCCCGCTGGCTTGCTGCACTATCCTCAGCTGCTGGCCTGTCCTCAGCTGCTGTGCTGCTGTGCGGACCTCGTTCAGCACTCAGCAGACCCGATAGCGACCAATCCAACTCGGGTGCACCTCATGCAATCCAGCCCAAGTTCCACCCTACCTGGCTGAAGAAGACCTGTCGCCCCATGCATGAGGTTGCCAACAGGAAGAACGAAGCGGCAAAGGGTGGACGGCCGAGAGGAAGAATAGATGAAAAAGACATCGAAATTGACGTGTCGGTTTCATTAGCATGATTTGCTTCAGGAAATGGAACATATCCTGGGCCTCTGCAGGTAGGTGTCTTCATCGTGCGTGGGGCACATTCGCACCACGTTAATGCGTTGTTAAAGCATGTTACATGATCCAGTAGCATGACCCTCATGCACACACGCCCTACCTAGGTCCTGCCCAAGGTGGTGGATATGATATGGTACAACAACACGCAGGCGGGTACAGCACTCAACCAGCCGGCACATTCTGCACTCAGTCTGCACTCAACCAGCCGGCACATTCTCGCGCAATACTTAGCGAGCGACATTGGCGGTCGTTGCAGGTGGCCTAACTACCTAGGCTTTAACCGTTAGGCGGCCTAACTACCTAACCTGTATGTCAAGGCCATGGGTGGCATGCAATGGGTGCCATCTCGCACATCATCCTGGAAGACGTCAGGGTGCGGTGGCGCATATCTCCCGACGCAGCAACGCGGCGTTTCTCATACGCGCATTTGCTTCCTGCTCCCACCACGCATGACATTTCAGCTTAAATTGTGTTGTACGTACCGTACGGTACGTCCGGGCCGACATGAAGTTGGAAACAGAGTGGATTGCGACCACCTCCACAACACCCTGCGGCAACAAGAACCGTACAGCCGTACAGGAATGGCGTGTTAATAGAAGCTGTCGGAGCCCTCAAGCCAAGAGGCAAATGGTGTGCGTGCGCGCGCGTACTCGACAGCAATTTTGATGGCAGGCGTTTACCGAACGTGGGGTAACAATAACGCGGCCTTGATGAAACCTTAAGCTTGCAGTACAGCGACTAATGTACAGTAAGAAACAGTGGTATGTGGGAAAGCCACAAGCACGTGCAACGTTCAACGTTCTTCCTGGTTGGCAGGTGGCAGGTAACCCCAGGAAACGACAGACCTTCAAATAGATCACGGCGACAGAGTAGATGGTGATGACCTGCATTCCCATCGGGCAGCAGAACGGTGTGTGTGTGTGTGTGTGTGTGTGTGACAACCATCGTTAGTTTAAAAAACCATTAAACGGCCTTTGCAGTAATAAGCTCCGCAGGCAGCCGAACACGGTATACAGGTCACCAGGAAATGAGGCAAGCTTAAGCAAAGTAGCTTGGGACCTTGAGGCTGCGGCCGTGCCGAAAGTAATCAGCAGGGTGGGCATTTAGGGGCGGGAGTTGTAGTCCTGTATGTTGCAGTCATGGAGAGCGGTAGCAGCTGACTTGGCGCCAACTCCCGACGACTTGAAGAGTCTGAGCCTCGCGTGAGCCGGCCAACGGCAGCTGTGGTACCGACAGAAGCAAGGCTTTCGCATTCGGTCTGCCCATTCCGCGAGCAACAGTTAGCTTCTACAGCTGCGGCAGCTGCTTTTAATGGCCCCCCTGCCTTCATCAGCGAACAAAGATGTAATCGGTGGCGGGCTCGGATGGTATGTATCGCCACCGCCACCGCCACCACCACGCACATACGAGCCCCCCCTTCACCCAAAGGGACAAGGGTAGACCTGTGTGCGATGCTTCTTGTAGGGAGATGGCACTATGGTTTTCGCCGACACAACTCGACAACAAGCAGAACAGGGGCAACAATACTAGTAGCATAAGTACGCACGCGCACATGCATACTGCAAACGTAGTGTGCGAGGGATAATGATGCGCCGCGTGTAAGAATCAGACAGCATTTTCGACCCGCGGACAATCAAACCGTCCGTGTGCCGTACACGCAGGTACGGGAGCAAGAGGACCAACCAGCCCTGCCAGCACAAGACTTACCACCGCAGACCAGAAAACGAAGGGCGTCATCATGATAAACGTCTCGTGCGAGTCGTCCTTGAGCGTGCGCTTGCTGGGGGGCAGCGCCACGGCGGTTGTCAAGCTGTTGGTTTGTGGCAGTGGTACCACACCCCGGCCTCGCCTACGAGGGCATATGTGCACAGCATTCCACTTCAATTCATTTTTTGACGACTACGTTCTGTGACATTATGTTCTGCTACTTAAAAGCGCGGTTGATCCACCTCATCACGGTTGCTTATTATCATTACCGGTACAAATCCCAACCGACCAAGCGCCCAAAATTATGTACTTACAGTACGTGAGTATCTAACGGTACCTACACTCCGTACCCGCCACACGTGCATACCGGGTGATTGCTCGCAGGTATTGGAACAGCCGGAAACCGGCCCAGCTTGATTGCCTGCCTTCCACCGAGTCCGCTGTCATGGAGCGCTGCCGCAGGAGCCTCTCGCTGGATAGACCGCGCTCCGCCACACCACCTTCACCGCCACCCATGGCGCCGCCGCCACTGCCGCCACGGGCACTGGATGTGCGGCCCAATATACGACGCGAGGCTGCGCCCTCTGCGCCGTCGCCCGTCAAGGGCGAGGCTACCTCTGAGATATTGAGGGTGGCGCGGCGCTTGGCCTTGGCAGCAACGCCGTCAGCTGCGTCCATTTCGTCTTCTGTAATTGCCCCGGCAGCACGCTCATCCTCATCGCTGAGGTCGTCCTCGTCGTCATCCTGTATGCAGTCCCGTAGCGTAGCGTATGTATATGTATGTATACATGTATGTATGTGCACGTCATCTTACAGCAAATGGAACTTACGTCGACCAATAAGTTGGTATTTTGGGAGGCCAGCGCTCGTGTGAGACCCTGCAGGTAAAGTAGGTGTTGGGGGACACACAGGAGGATGCACGCTCTGAAGCTCCACATCAAAGTGACATCAGTTGATAGTCGAACCCATGTCCAACAGTTGACAAATCCAACGATTTAGGTGCCAAGTACGCAAAGATCATCGGGCACATGTAGTAGAAGTTCAGCCGGAACCTGTATGCGTATCGAGATGATGCGCCATTTTGTGCCAGCTATTGGAAAGATAGATAGATAGATAGATAGATAGATAGTAGATAGATAGATAGATAGATAGATAAATAGATAGATAGATAGATAGATAGATAGATAGATAGATAGATAGATAGATAGATAGATAGATAGATAGATAGATAGATAGATAGATAGATAGATAGATAGATAGATAGATCGGTAGCCTACCAGGGGCACAACCAAGAAGGTGCTGTACAGCTTGTGCCGCTGCGCTGCCACAGCACGCAGCAGATATGCCAGGTACCTGCAAGGCATTGTGGCGGCAGCAGCAGCAGGGTAAGAGACGCACGGACTGTGGCATCCACGGTGAGCTGGTCAAAGAGGGTTGGCAAACAGATGGCGGATGGAAGGAGTGATAGGCAGCAGGATCTTGTTACATTAGGTGTAGGTCCCGTACGGCAAATGAACATGCATATGTTGATGTTGGTAAACGACTAGTGCAGCGTGGCTTGCTTCATATATCTTGGATAGCTGTACAGGGTCGCTAACCGCCTAGCTAGGCCTAGACATGCCATACATCGCATTGGCTGCGCCTCGAACGTGCTTTGTGGGTATCTCCTGCAGCGTGTGTGCATATGAAGGGTTGCAGTCGTGGGAGCTGCATAAAGACGGTCCCCATGCATCCTAGGGAGCGCTCCAAATTTGCTACCCTTCCCGTGGCGAGAGAGTGTCGCTCACGGGGGGGTGTTGGAAATGACCGACACTCATATACCAGTGAATGGTAGCCACAGTAATAGGACCCAACGGGGGTCCGGCGCTTTGCTGGTCTTAACATCCATGTTCCCGCCACGCCTCGCCTCTTATCCCGGAGTGAAGAACGCACGACACGTGGGATGTTACTCACAGTGCCGCCATTGAACTGATGACCGTGCCCTCAACCGCCAAGAAGACCAGCTGCAGCGTGTCCACCTGCCGACAGGGAGGTGTCGGAAGCATAAAGTAAGGCGGATCGGACCAGGTGCACGGTGTCACCGTTCGGCTCCGGGACCACCGTAGCCAAACATACAACTTACTACACGGCGTAGGCTGCTGCGCCTGGTTGGATGGAGCTGTGGTTTCATCAAACCAAAGTGACAGTAAAAGTTCGTTTGAAAGAAGTCCAGCACCTACCCAGTGCACATTGTCCGCTGCCTCGTACAACAAGGCGTCCAAGATCTGCAGCAAGGAGCGCGCGAGCGCGGCGGACAAAGTATATATACGCCCGTAGGTGTGGTATGTAAGATAGCGAAAACATCAATGTATTACGGCAATAATGATAATGATGTGTATATGTAAAGGTCGGTAATGCAGTTGCACCAGGGCAGGACATAGGAAACGCAGGTTGCAGTACATTGAAGATTAATCAATCTGTTATTGTTGGGTATTGGCATTTTTCTTTTTAAGTTCTTGTTTCCAGTTCGGCGGTTCATGAGCCCTTTGGCTCGTCTGGACCGTACAAGCTTGAAGCTTGTAACAAAACGTCGTCGTAGGAAACGACGACGGAGCTATTAATCGCTTTTGAAATTTAGTATAACCACACAGTAGTCAATATCTGTAGGGTTTTTGAGTAACACGAAAGAAAACCGACACGAAAGAAAACCAAGTTTTTCTGTGTATTTGCCGAGAGCGAACTCGGCTGAATGTCGTTGGTACGTACGGCTGGACTAGCAAAGTCGCAGGAGGGCGACGGAAAGAATAATTTCGCGAGTTCATAGTGTCAGAGTACTGACAGATTTCCTCTGCGGCTTCTGCCTAAAATACAGCGTACGTAAGCAGAGTCGCATTCGGTAACCGGGCTCGGCCCCTCCGGTAGGTGCGATAATCATCAGCCGGCCGGCTAACATGCGTGGTATGGTAACATGCGTGCCAGCCATGCTGACACACATGCCTGCTGATGTTAATTCTGCTCCCTGACGCAAAATCGTTTATTATGTGTTTATTCGTACGCACGTTCGCATGTGATAATACATAACATAATCAACTCGCGAGCTGACCAGGAACTAAGTTGACGCGCCGTTGATCCGCTAGATTTGGTTGGATGCTGGTGGTGAGTTGCCAAACTCAAAGAGTACACTCTGAAGTCGGATGGGGTGAATGGCTTAGGGTGCCCCTCTAGCAGGGGAGAGCAGGGAATTGCCTCGGGAAGGAGGCCACTGGTGAAGCTTAACCACCCTGTAACAACATCAACATACAAGTTAAAAGTTTCGGACACACCCTAAGTTTCGGACACACGCATGGGGGGATGTCCGTACGAGCCTGAGGGGCTCATGGATGATTAATATATTTACGGAGCCCATATGAGCAACAGAATGCCAAAAATGTTTGAATAATACATATGTCTGATTTAATAAAATTATCGATAACCGGGCTGCTAGGTGTTGCACTTTTAAAAAATTCTACCTTAGCAATATTGATAATTTCCCACCGCCAAGTGTTCCGCCTACCTGGCGAGACAAACGCCACAGGTCGGGGCCGCTCTTCAACAGGAACTGCCCCGCTGCCGTATCTGCAATTCGTACACCTCGGTCTCGCCATTGGTAGTAGTTCTGTACGATGTCGGTGGACATGGCATAGAAGCGCGTGCCAAAGTCCTGCAAAGGGAATGCATGCATATATTTTCATTCACATCTTCATATGGCATATCGATATATGGCAGGAGGGTTCAACACGAGTGGGATGGTAGGCCACGAAACCGGCTGCGTGTTCCTCAGTGTTCCTATACATGCGGCCGCATATATCATCTCCGCGAAGAAGGATGAGTACCTGACGGATATAACCAGAAGCTAAGACGTCTCAAACATATATCGGTCACGTGCCGAAATGGTACACGGGCGAGAACGATGTGACGTACTGTAGCGGCGGCCGGGATTGATCCAACGTTTGGACAGATTACAAACGGCCTGATCAGGCAGCAGCGCACAGACGCTAGCTCTTGAACAGAGAATAAGGCTTCACATGGAAGTCGAAAACGGTGTTCGAAACCTGCTCACCCAGACGGTCAGATCGGTGTAGATGTCCGTGCCGTTGCCATCATTGCCGTTCCAGGCCTGCACGCATGCAGTAGTGGTGAGGTAAGGGCCAAGCAAATCCAGCTTCAGATGCTTTTGACAAAAACGCCTGCTCAGTTAGTTCATTTTCCTTCTGCCAAGTAAAATCTCACAGCGAGGTACTACTGCGCACGTCTATAGCAGCTGTGAAAACAGTGCAGCACACATATCGTCTATAAACACGCGCTAAGGCGCTCCTACAGCATCATAAGAGCCCTGTTCAGCGGCCAGCTACTACAGCAATTTAGCAGCTTTTGCATGCAGCGGGTCCAACATATACAGCCCTCGCCGCCCCTGTCTAGCCGCCTACCGATGGGGCCGCATCGTCCGGGATGCTCTCCTCAACAGGAAAAATGGGAGTGCCGGAGTACCAATAATACATAAGGGTCACAAGCCCATCGGGAACAGCCCTTCAAACAGTTGCGCTCAGCCCAGCGGGCCGAAGCTGAAAGGCACAGCTAATACGACGACGTCTATACGTACCTAGCTGGTTTCATCCCACTACATACCGAGCGAGCTGATGTGCATGCGCATGTATATATGCACGGCACTTACCGGGGCCAGCCTGTAGAAGAACAAAGTCAGCACCTTGGAGTCGGCGTGGTGGTGGCCATCCAAGATATCGTTCAAACGGTTCTGCAGCAGCAGGAGCCGGCAGCAGGAGAGGCGGCGCCAGCCGCGGGGCAGCATTCAACACAAGCACGACGTCGAAAAAAAGGCTTAGCTCCGGAAAGCACACTGAAACCCGGGTCAAGGGTCAAGGGCGGGCTGGGCCGGGGTAGGAAATTGCTCGCCCGGCGATTTGTGTCCCGCTACTATCCACCGCTAGCGGCGGAAACGTACATAAACATAGGAGCATTGGAGGGCCGGAGCCGGCGCCCATATCCAGGTATGTAACTGGCAAGGAAATCAGCAGCCCGCCGGGAGGTGTACGGCCGGCGGCGCCTCAAGTGCGTTAAGAAAGCTAACCGCACGACATACACACAGAGCTGGTAACCCTGCAGCCCTCGAAGCTCTCGCATCGGGCCACAAGATCTCACCCACGAAAACTTACATATACGACCGACCGACCAACCGATTTGCGTACACAGTATGACTTGTTGGATCTTGCCCTCTGAGACCCTCTCACCTTGACGATCTCTGCGTTCTTAAAGATCCGATTCACGAACATCTGCGAGGATAAACAAGAGAAGCCTCAGTTTGTGAAAAACAATGTCGCGGGAGAAGTCGTGTTTTTGTTATCGCCGTACGTGTTGGAGCAATGGTCTGCGCTTTCGTTCGTTCATGCCATATAGCTGCACACTGGTAAGCAGCACGCGCTGCTGAAACGGATACATTCCCTAAAGGGGGCAACCTACATACGTACGTACAAGGTTTTATAGGACACGCCCGGACAGCGACAGCCACGGACCGTCAGGCCGTCTAACCCTTAGTAACACCCTGGCTGAGAATATCAGCCATGCGACGGGCATACATACAGAGCAGGGACACACAGCTCGCTGCAGCACGCACACGGCAACCACGGCCCATACATGGCTGGCCCAGGCTAGCAAAACAGGAACAGATGCTGTGGGTTCTGCAGCAACCGTTGCCGTCAACCCCGCACCCATGAGGTCTCCCAGGATACCGAAACGATGTAACATGCATGAACAAAAAGTAAACAATACCTCCTCTGTGGCATTGTATAGGCTCGCGGTTTTCCTGGTTTTGTCGATGGCGATGACGTCGAGCGTCCGAACATCCGTCATAATCTGCGAACAAGGAAGCCACGCGACCAAGACCGCTTACACGTCTTCATTCTATGGATTGTCCAACAGGGGAACCAACTTAGGGTTTACGACTCTGCCAGCGTTCTGGGACGGAAGAGAAAGTATGCAGACGTACATTAGGAGCGCGGAAGCAAGGTGCCAGCATGTCGCATTCCGTCAGGTCAAGGGGCCCACTGGCACCGTCAGACGGTACGCCCTGCTAGCTGCTGCTTAGGAAGGAACCCATGGAAGCTGGTTCAGACAGCCTTCAGCGGCTCCAGTTTCCTTGGAGCCCCTCAGGGCTCGTATGGGCCCATTACACCGTTGTGGTTTCACGCAACTCAAGGTGTCACATACACCCATACACCCATACACCCATACACACATACACCCATACACCCATACACCCATACACACATACACACATACACACATACACACATACACACATACACACATACACACATACACACATACACACATACACACATACACACATACACACATACACACATACACACATACACACATACACACATACACACATACACACATACACACATACACACATACACACATACACACATACACACATACACACATACACACATACACACACTCACGCGCGCATACACATAGAAAACACATAGAATAAAGTTGCAAGCTGATAGCTAACCAACTAACTACGTTTTTAAAGTCACGGCGGCTCCCAGAAAGCATCACGCTCGCGATTGGCCCTAGCAATTCGGCCAGCAAGGCGCCCAACCCAACCCTCCAGGCTGCGTAGTCAGCCAGTCACCAACGTTTCCAGCCATGCAGCCCCCCAACACACCCATCTAGGTGGCACCCATCTAGGTGGCACCCATCTAGGCGGCACCCATCTAGGCGGCACCCATCTAGGCGGCACCCATCTAGGCGGCACCCATCTAGGCGGCACCCATCTAGGCGGCACCCATCTAGGTGGCACCCATCTAGGCGGCACCCATCTAGGCGGCACCCATCGAGGCGGCACCCATCGAGGCGGCACCCATCGAGGCGGCACCCATCGAGGCGGCACCCATCGAGGCGGCACCCATCGAGGCGGCACCCATCGAGGCGGCACCCATCGAGGCGGCACCCATCGAGGCGGCACCCATCGAGGCGGCACCCATCGAGGCGGCACCCATCGAGGCGGCACCCATCGAGGCGGCACCCATCGAGGCGGCACCCATCGAGGCGGCACCCATCGAGGCGGCACCCATCTAGGCGGCACCCATCTAGGCGGCACCCATCTAGGCGGCACCCATCGAGGCGGCACCCATCGAGGCGGCACCCATCGAGGCGGCACCCATCGAGGCGGCACCCATCGAGGCGGCACCCATCGAGGCGGCACCCATCGAGGCGGCACCCATCGAGGCGGCACCCATCGAGGCGGCACCCATCGAGGCGGCACCCATCGAGGCGGCACCCATCGAGGCGGCACCCATCGAGGCGGCACCCATCGAGGCGGCACCCATCGAGGCGGCACCCATCGAGGCGGCACCCATCGAGGCGGCACCCATCTAGGCGGCACCCATCGAGGCGGCACCCATCTAGGCGGCACCCATCGAGGCGGCACCCATCGAGGCGGCACCCATCTAGGCGGCACCCATCGAGGCGGCACCCATCTAGGCGGCACCCATCTAGGCGGCACCCATCGAGGCGGCACCCATCTAGGCGGCACCCATCTAGGCGGCACCCATCGAGGCGGCACCCATCGAGGCGGCACCCATCGAGGCGGCACCCATCGAGGCGGCACCCATCGAGGCGGCACCCATCGAGGCGGCACCCATCGAGGCGGCACCCATCGAGGCGGCACCCATCGAGGCGGCACCCATCGAGGCGGCACCCATCGAGGCGGCACCCATCGAGGCGGCACCCATCTAGGTGGCACCCATCTAGGTGGCACCCATCTAGGCGGCACCCATCTAGGCGGCACCCATCTAGGCGGCACCCATCTAGGCGGCACCCATCTAGGCGGCACCCATCCAAAGTTCCTCATCGGCGATCAACAAACGAACCCCAGAACCTACCTGGTGCATGTTGCGCTGCGCCTCGCCGCTGCGGCCCAGGTTCAGCATTGCGGACCTTTGCGACTGGATGGCGGTCACCACGAGTGCGAAACACACGATGTGGACGAGAGCCAGGAAGGCGACCGTGGCCAGTGCGTGGGTGCGAAAGCGTTGCTGGACCTGCACGGCGAGTTGGAGAGGGAGGAGATGAGATTCGAACAGTTCATACACGGGGAGTTCATACACGGGGAGTTCATACACGGGGAGCGAGGCGCGAGTGGATGCGGAGTCTGAGGTCAGCATAGTTGATGGACGGAGCAAGATTTGGTTTTGGCATGTCCAGCGTGTAGCAAGCATATGTATTGTCGGTGCCGGTTGATATTTCGGTTGACCACGCAGAAAAGCCTGGGCCGTAGGTGGACTGGATGTAAGCCACCACATGCATGCTGATAGGCAAACCCCCTATCAGCCCCTGGCCCGAACAGGGCTCACTGTGTCATCCCCATGTACCGCATGTAGTCGGGGGACGTGGCGGAAGCCCACCAAACATCCATCTGACGCCCCTAAGTAACCCAAACGTACTTGCTGTGTCTGGCTGGAGTCCATGAGTTTGATGAGCTTGCGGAAGCGCTTGCCACGCTTGTACTCGGCACCGCCGTTCGCTACAGCACAGTTGCCGGCGAGAATCCGGAGGAGGAAAAAACAAGATGTGGGAGGTGCAAGGGATGACGAGTTTAGACACGTGCAGACTCGGATACTGTGTCGCGAAGTAAACCAGTTCCGTACTTGTGTGCTTTGCCACGATTTGACGTCGCCAGCAGTGGAGCCAGTACGGCAAACACAGCTGGCCGCCGGGTCCCGTGACCCTTTCCACACAAAGCTCCAGGCTGTACCACCCGCCAGCCCCAACACCCGCGTCCCATCCAGGATACCCACACATTTAAGGCCCCAACAAGCCAACCGCTGGCAACTCAAGCCTTCCCTCGAGATCATCCAGTCCGTGTATAATCATTTTTGCCCGCAGCAGCGTTGCTGCGGCAGCTCAGCGCTCCGGTTCCCCTGTCGTCTTCCGCAGGCAGATACTCGAGCGAGGATATTCCCACCCAATTAAGGAAACCAAGTTATTCAGATCCTAGACCCTTGTGACAAAACGGATGCATGCATGGTGTACTTGGAGCGCGAGCTCGCGCACCTGACTGGGCGGACATCGCGCTCTGGCCGCCTTCGCTGGCGGCATCCTCTTCTCCATAGCCGGCAAAATCCGACCGCATGCCGGGAGACACGGCTCGTCTGGGCACCAGGTCGGGGGGGGTTCCGAAGTCGTCCATATGCACACGAACCACCACATCATTGCCCGGTGCACCGTCGCTAAAATCGGCGCTGCGGCGGGACTTGTCGTCATCACTCTGATGGATTGATGGATACACAAGCGAACAACCGAGCAATCAGAGCGCGCGGCGGATAGGCGAGTCAGGCGATCAGAGGAGCGCGCGCAGGCAAATGCAATAATACGGGACGAGGGCCACGGCCGACGCTGTGCGAGCGGAAAGGGGACGTTTGCAGCAGTCCTTCAAGACCGAGATTGAGATCCATGTCAAACAGTTCGGTAGGCCACCCGTAGGTGCGGTATGTCTAGCAAGCGGGAAAGGTATAGTGGCCACAAATTGCAGCTCAAGCCATCGAATACACTGTCCCTTGTTCTCATAGATCCTGATTTTGATCTTACTGCTGAAGCTCCGTGTGTGGCGGTGTGCTGATGGCTAGGAGCTAGCTAAGCCCCGGGGGGCCGGGAAGCGGGATTCTGGTAATGACAAACTGCTGTTGGTGGTGCACACACAAGGTTGCATGCACGTGTCGGGAGGGAGCCCCCTGGAGCTCCGTGCACGCGTTGCAGCAGCGGCACGCTGAGCCAAGTTCGTAGCGGAAGGCAAAAACTCTTACCGGCACGTCTGGCTTTACCGTGTTCTGGTAGTAGACGCCTGCGGGGCATGCCACGGCCATGTCCAATCAGGGTAAGGGAGGAAGCGTATAGCCCCGTACGATACCAGGCCCGCACCCACGTTGATAGACGCTATGTAGGTTCATGACTGCACTATGCATTGCGGGAAAAAGTTTCCTTTCGATGGAGATTCAGGCATTCAGCGAATCGCAACAAGTGGGTGAATGATGACGGAATCTCCAGCCGGCGGACAACGCAACCTACCAGCTCGTAAGTGGGTTACGGACACCCACCCCTCCATCCCCCCAGCCACACACCCACACACATGCACATGGCCTAACAATGTCCAAGCCGCCGGGGACAGCATCTAATAGTTATCTGCTGTTAAGGACTGTTCAAGATGATTTCTGATGTGTTCGCCGGTCCGTGAGCAGCTTAGGTGCCGCTTAGCGTGAAAAACAAGCAAATAGGTTACTCGCCTTTGCTGGCCACCCATGTGGAAATCCGATTGGTGCCGTCCAGTCGCTTTCCTCGAGATTGCTGAGCGGGTGTGGAAGCAGGGCGAGGGCGGGCGGAGGGACCGACAACACGATTCGGAAAGAGTAAAGAGACAAATAGGGACACAAATCAGTCACACACAGGAAAATGCTTTCTACTATTATGAAGCTACAGATTCACAGACAGACAGAAGGACAGACAAACAGACAGGCAGAGAGAAAAAGCAACACGTAGCTCTCAAACCACGTTTCCAAAGCTGTGCCACCCACGCCAAAGAGCTCAACGCACCGCGTCCTTGCCGCTGCCGCTTCCATCGCTATCTCCAACGGATTGGAGATCAACCGCTGGCGCAGTCCCTGAGGAGCGCGACGGAGTTTGCCAGCCAGGGAAAGAGTTTTTCAAAAAGGAACACGAAATGGGCATATACAATGAGGGAGAGAAGGGCTCTTGGCCGTGTGAAGTCTTGTCTCTTGGCCCGGGCCCGGGGTCGCTCACTGATAACATTATTGCCTGTGTAGCCGTGTCCTTGCAAGCGACCATTGCCCTTCCCAGTCCTTCATTCTTCCCATTCAGGTTAGCGCCAGGACGCGCTCTCCTGAGTCACCTGGGGATACAACTAAAGCCACATCCATAGCTGTAGCTGTAGCTGTAGCTGTAGCTGTAGCTGTAGCTGTAGCTGTTGATAGTTACAGCGTTGCCCAGCGCATGCTTACATACTGATGGGGACAGCAGTCACCAGCGGTTGCCAGCGCGGCTGCGCCGAGCCCTACACCTGACACGGCGCGGCCGATACGTAACGCGGCGGCAATAAGCACGTGCCGAGCAGATGACGCCTAGCTTCCTTGCCTACCAGCCCCCCTCTCAGCACTTCCCTGCCCACATGCATGGAGCCCCACAGGTACAGCCACGCGCTCCTCTGCCCGCCCTCCCCAGCCACCAAGTACCTTTGGTTGTTGCGCGCATGAGCAGCTCGTCCAGGTTACCACCTGTTTCGGAGATTGGCGACTTGGGCAACGACACACCCGACGGCATACGGTGTGTCGGCGGCCGGCTGCTGCCGTGCCGTGGCGGCGTCTTCACCAAGTCGCCAGGGCTACCGCCACCACCTCTGGCGCTACCGCTACCTACAGACTTGACCATATCAGCCAGCTTGCTCCGCCCCGCCGCTAGCTGCGCCGCCTTGCCCGCGCTTGCCGTGACCCCTGGCTGGGGCATACCCTCTGTCAGCATATCGGGAGGCGCCGCGGCCAGACCCACGGGTCCCTGGTGATCCGCCGCCACCGAGTACCCCGTCTGCATGACCTCCTCCAGCGGGAGCATCGCCGCCGCAGCTGCGCGGTCCGACATCAAGGATCGCATACCGCTTGACGGCAGCGCCGCCGCCGGCTCCTCCGCCAGCGTCAACGCAGCGACCCCAACCTTCCTGCCGGTCGTCTCCGATCTGCCTAGCTTGTTTCCACCTCCACCTCCACCTCCAACCCCACTGCCACTGGAAGGCTCCTTTAGTGCGAACGACGAACGCGGTGGCAGGGTCCTCGGTGACTCAGCCCGGGCTAACGGCCCCATGGCGTCCAGCTTGAAGCCGAGTGCGGCGGCTGCAGCGGCGGCCATGGCGGCATCGCCAGAGGACTGCATCCTCGCCATGGACGAAGCGCGCAAGGAGAACGCGGTGGCTCGGGGGGCGGTGGATGCGACTCCAGCAGCGGCGCCGGTGGCGGAGGTCCGGGCGCGGGGAGCCCCCGGCAGCATGGGAGCTAAGTGAAAACGCAGGATGGCGTGGACGGGCTGATTGAAACCGGGCTTTCCCACAACTTGGACGTCAAGCAACGCGGGGCGCCCGTCGGCATGGTTGGCTTGGAGCACATGCACCGGTCCAACCTGGGTTTCCATGTGGGCAGTTACGTGCACACGCAAACGCGCGGAGTGAGGAGCTGGCGGGCAAGTGGCGCCGGCAAACAGGCTCGTGCGAGGAGACTTGATGCGGCATGGGCGAGGAAATTGGGTTTTGGGGAGCAGACGAAGGACAGTAAGGTAGCGACCCTGCCCATCACAGAGGGCCCAAAACAAAAATTCCACAAATCATCTCGGGCTCGGAGCAGAAAGCACGACACGCGCGGGAGGATTGCACAAGTTGGAGCGTCCTTGGCGGGCCCCCTGAGTCGCTCTGTGTAAAGGTTCTCCGAGCTGGGAACGTGCAGCTAAATATATGTCATGTATGTGGTACACTAGGGGGAGCGGTAGTTCCTCGTCACATTGGCCTCAAACATCACGCACATCAGGCGCCGCCTCAATTCCATTAACGTTGAACTTCCTGCCTCCTCCTCCTCCCTCCTCCTTCCTCCTCCGCCTCCTCCTCCTCCTCCTCCTCCTCCTCCTCCCTCCTCCTCCTCCTCTTCTTTGAATCAACAACGCCCTGATCCCTCATCGACATTGCATGCTTTGTCCCCAAGCCCAAGTCCCACCTTGACTGAGTACTCTCTCTTGGTCGATTTGAGACTGCTCTTCTTCATATTGCTGCTCGACAGCAAGTCCCCAGGCCGCAGCCGCCCTGGCGGCATCACCACCAGGTCGCCCAGCATGCAGCCCACCAGGGCCTGCGTCGCCAAACCGAACAGCAAACCCGCAGGGCGGATACGCTCCTCCAGCACCGTACGCACGCGGCCGTTGCCGTCCAACTCCAGAAGGCCCGTAACGGTGGCGATGGGCCATAGATCCACGAAAATGTTGATTGCTTCATCATCATCGCCGCCGCCGATGCCCTCCTGGGTCTTGGCCACGTACTCAACTTGCACCTGAACGATGCGCAGAGCCCGTCGTAGAACGCATTGGGACTCACACGCAGGTGCAAGCCATCAAACGGGTGAGGGGGCCAACGTACGCGTGCAATGCACCTAATAGGGACACCTCCGCAGAGCGTGCATGTGTCGTCCAGACATAGACAGTGGGGAGCTGTCTGGAGCACCCAGGTAGCAGGGAGTGCTGGTAAGCAAAAGGAAGTTTGGAAGTGTGGACGGGTGGACGGGTGGAAGGATGGACGGGTAGACGGCTGGACGGGTGGACGGGTGGACGGGTGGAAGGGCGGAAGGGCGGCTCCAACCGAAGGCTGAGTGCAACCCCCTTGAGCAACACACCCGCTGAGCCACCGGCGGGGTCATCAGTGCGATTACGGACCCACGGACTCTGTAATGGCCCCCAAGGATGAGTTGGCCCTACGGGCGCGACAGAATCGCGCACAGGTCAGAGAAGTTGGATGGACGGACCTGCATAATGGCCGATTTGACCAGTGACGCGCGCGCCGCCGCTGCCAGCTCCAGCATTCCGCCCTTGTTAGGAGCACTGGGCTTTCGCGGTGGTGAGACTAACACCCGCCAGCTATGGTCCGGAGACGCGAGGGACCTGCAGCGAGAGACAGCGAGTGGTGTCGACGAACGCGGCGAGCAGTGCACCCAAGTTACTAGCAAGTTATTAGCAAGCAAAGCGACACATACTCAGCACGCTGATCGGAACGCGACAATAATAGCACGCCAACAGTCAGCAGCCAAGTCGATAAAACACCGGTACAACACTCAGCTACAGTCGCCGGCCTATCGCCGATGTAGATTCCTAGGTTTCCTGCCGTACCTGGTCACGAGGGCTGTCAGCATTCTGGGCCCGGGCGTTGCCTGGCGGCCGCCCTCCTCAGGCGTTACCTCCTCAATGATCTCCCAGAGCCCCCGCCCTATTATCTGTGGGGTTGCGGTGCCGGGTGAGGTAGGGAGGTAATGCAAGGTGCATTGCGATTATTTTTTATCGTTATCGGAGAGCCAGCCCACGTGTGCCAGCCGGATGCCAACCTCACTTATGACCCGCGAAGGATAGAGGGTATAGGGTATAGGGGAGAGGCCAGCGCTAGGTAGTACCCCTAAGAGTCGTCTATTCGCATTGAGCAGAAGTAGAAGTGACACTATGTAAGGAAGTGGCATTGAAACACGCCGCAAGTGGAGGTTCCAGGAACATTTTGTTGGCTGACGATGCAACACGCGCCACACACGCTACCTCCGCCAGTGGAGAAAAGGCCGCATCCAACTATCGGAACTACATTCTTTAGTCTATTTACAGACCTTGCCCGGCTCCAGTCCGAAGAGCTTTGCAGCCCCTTCACTGACTTGGGACACCAGACCGTCCTCCGTAACGCCCAGACGCAGCCTCCTCTCTGCCAGGGCCGTCTCCAGGGAGGATCTGGGGACATAAGCGTGGGGGCGCGGGGACACGATTGACGCGTTTGTGAAAGATGTGGGTTGCTGAGTGGGTGGCTTCTGGGCCATACATACATTTTGTATGGTGACTCTGCAAGTAAATATATCTGTCCATAGTACAGAACAACCACCAAGTTGAACAGGAAGGACGTAGGTAGGGCAAACTAGGCCAAGTTCATCAGCGATAGTTTGCCTCTGCAACGCACGCAGCACGCAGGAGGACAGGGAGGCAGGGAGGCAGGGGGACAGGGAGGCAGGGGGACAGGGAGGCAGGGAGGCAGGGGGACAGGGAGGCAGGGGGACAGGGAGGCAGGGAGGCAGGGAGGCAGGGGGACAGGGAGGCAGGGGGACAGGGAGGCAGGGAGGCAGGGGGACAGGGAGGCAGGGGGACAGGGAGGCAGGGGGACAGGGAGGCAGGGGGACAGGGAGGCAGGGAGGCAGGGGGACAGGGAGGCAGGGGGACAGGGAGGCAGGGGGACAGGGAGGCAGGGGGACAGGGAGGCAGGGGGACAGGGAGGCAGGGAGGCAGGGGGACAGGGAGGCAGGGGGACAGGGAGGCAGGGAGGCAGCCCAAAACAGCCTCCAAGGAAGGCTCTGCTTCCCATACACGTACCCACAGAACACATGCAACGACGCCCGGGATTCCGTACGTATGTTTGCCTGGTCATGATTTGTGGCCTGGGGCTTGTGAACGCCCTCCGCAGTAGCACTTGGAATGATATCGGAGGTACAAGAGGTATACAATGCTGCCAGAGAAAAATCGGTATCAGGGGGCCGGGCGGCCTGTTTCCACGACTTAGGAACGAGATACGTTGTGCATCAATTGCATGACGCACGGAACCCCGTGTGCAGGCGCCTGCTGTACTTTTCCACCCCTCGTTCTGCGCCACCACATGTGCTCCTCCATACGCACGCACCTGGCCAGCCGGATGACGTGCGTGCTCTCCCCTGCGGCGGTATCCATGCTGGACACACACACGTTCATGTAGAGCGGCTTACCGCCCGCGGTTCGTAGCTCCAGGGTGGGTCCTGGGAGGGAGACCTTGCGGCAGCTCCAATGGTTGCGACTTGCTGGCGAGCTTGTGGCAGCGGTGTCCTGGCACGGCCGGCAGGCGTATGTGAAGGATGAAAGTAAAGCTTAGGCATAAATTACCATACATGCATAGGTCTCATATGCGCGCACGCATGCGAGTTACCTAAACATGCGAACAAGAGCTCCAATCTCCCTGATGCAACGCGAACTGGATGTTATGTAAGTACCTTGAGGAACTTCATGTGCATGTCCTTCCACGGCGCCGGCATGAAGTCGAACAGTGTAAACCCTAACAGCTCGTCAGCTCCCGGTACGGCTCCAAGTGTGCTGCCGGCCTGGCCGGACAGCAGCGCGCTGGCGCCGCCGGCGAAGCGGCCCCCGACGCCGCCGCCGCCGCCGCCACCATGCGAGAATCCGCCGCTGGCACCACCAAGGCCACCACCACCGCTGTAGCCGAATTTTGACGCCGGAACGCCGCCTCTTGCCACATCCTTAAAGGCGGTGACCAACCCCAGAGATGCATGCACGATGGTGCCCCTGCGGTTGGTCACGAGGATCTGGGCGGGCGCCCTGTCCATCTGGATGCGAATTTCCAGCATGGGGATGTCGGCGTTGACTGCGGGCGGCGACGGGCAAAAAGGAAAACGAGTCAGGGAAGGGGCGGCCCACCAAGCCAGCGGAAGGGGGATGTTTCACGACCGAGCAAGGGTTATCTGTATGGACCTATAAGACAGTCGGGGATGCGAGGCAGTGTGGCGTATGCAGATAGCTGCACATACGCCTTGGGACGAGTACGTGGCGTAGGGCTTACATACGTACCGATATGCCGTCCCTGGGAGGGACGTCCTGCTACGTCCTGCGGTGTTTATGATGCAGGGTTGATGATCCCCTGCCACCCTGGTTCCTGCTGGTCGAAGTATCTCAGACCTAGACCTATGTGCGACCAAATGCGGCCACGCTCGCTCTGCACCTGTACGTATGTCTGTGTTTCACCCCTACCCGTAGGATTCTACTGTGCATGCCGCCTGCCGCATGCCGCACCCATAGGGGTGCGCACCATACAGAACTTTATGTCCACTTACTGTTCGAGGTAACGCTGGCGGTGCATGGCATGGCCTCCGTGTCGTACTTGTGCGCCAGATGGCACTTGACGCCACCATGCTGCTCAGCATTCGGATCGTCCGTAGCAGCGCTGACGCCGGACAACAGCCTGGATGCACGTACGGAAAGACGAGAGCTCATGAGTGTAGACGGCATAGATGCGGCAATTAAAGTCAAACTGCTGCCCAGACATTAAAATGCAAAGGAATCCGCACCATGGGTGGCGTTTGGACAAGTAGTACATACATACCAGTCCGTACTGATTTCCGCCAGAAGGGCAAATAGGAAAGAAACGGATTGTGAAAAAGCGGATCGATGCCGATGACCGGGGATGCCTCCGGCCAGGTAGGGGAGGGTTGGGGTGGAAGACTAGCCCCGGCCTGGAAGATAGGGAGCCTGCGCAATGTGCCACCTGGTATCAGCTACAGACCTATACAGCTACACGAACCTCTCCATAACGTCGCCAGTGCTATCCAATAGGGCTGCCGGCGCTGCCTCCCCGTCTCTGGCAGGCGCCTGCTGCTGCCGCTTCTCGGGTGCAACAACAGCGAGGAAGGCCGCCAGGTTGGATCCATTCACCTCGGACGGGCGCCATCTACGTGCATTGCGTGTGTAAACACGATACATAACGTACATACAGACACACATACGTAATCATAATGGGGTGCTCCATCGCAAGCGCATAATGCATGAAGACCCCATCTTTGCGCTGTCGTAATACCTGTCGTACAGTACGGCACACACAGGCCATCAATAAATACGCACAAGTATAAATTAGCTCTGCCAGCGCAACTTATGAGACATCCTATTCACACTTTTTTACCCTTTCAGCCAGGTACTGTACTGACGTGGCCATCAGCTATGATCCCTGGTGAGTCATTCTGGAATTGCCTGTCTAGGCTTCGACGGCCGGCAATGGCTCCGGGGCGAAGGCAGGCAGGGGCTCACCCGTACTGGGACACGAACTGGGGATCGCAGGCTGCCACGGTGCCGTTGGGCGCGACCCACAGCGTGGCGACTCCGCTGGCTTGCTGCACGGGCTCCAACATGACTACAAATGTCGAGTCCTCACCCACACCTGTACCCGTGTCACCAAATAGATAGCAGTAGGACCAACAGATAGACAGACATACAAACACCCACAAGGGTTGGAGGGATTGGGCAAGAGGCATGAGGAAGATAACCTGCCTACCAGTAAAAGCACGGAGAGCGTGTGTAAGAGAGATGCGCCATCGCGTAAAAGGCCACCTGCACGACCGCCTATTCACCATTCCGTTGTCTGTGTCCATTTCTTCCATACTTTAGGTTTTCGTAAGTGCGTGCGCAGTTGGACACTCCAGGCCGGTTAGGGAACCAGTGCAGCGCTACCACCGCCGAACCCCAGACGAGTGCATGGCGGGCATCATGCAATTGATGCTTGTCATCATACACCACGTGTAATCTATAGACATACTCACGCACCTGAGATTTTCCGCAGGTAGAATTTGACGGGGAAGGCCAGCCGGTCGTAGTGCATGCCCACTACCACATCCTCAAAGGCCTCGGCATCGTTGCTCGTAATAGACATGGTGGAGATCAATGCACCGGTCACAGACGTGGCGCCGGCCAGCGCAGCCAGCTTCTCGGTGACGCGTCGGATGGTGTGAGGTGCCAGCAACGTCGCGAGCGGCTTACCTTCCAAAGTACCTGCGGGATAGCGACAGGAGAGTGGGCAGATCAGCGAATGAGACGCAGCCCACCACCCAAATACGCCTGTGGCTTTTTGTTCTTAGTGGGCATGCCAAGGCGGGACAAACACCTGTGCGTACGACACCTAGCTAACTGCATGCATGCAGGAAATTTTGAATTGACCCCTATTTTTTCTCCCCCATCAAGCCCCTTCCCGTCGCGTACCCAGCCGTACCTCGCTTGTATCCGAAAAGCACGTGCGTGTGCCGGTTCGCCTGGAGCGCAACACAACAGCATGTGGAGTCACCGTGTGCGGATGCCAGCTGAGTAGCGGATCTACCGCAGTCGTCGAGTTCACGTAAAGTGCGTACAGAGGCAAATGGACGATGTCTCTTTTCGTTAGCGGCTAGCCGTATTTGAGGAGGCCACCGTCACACCCTGGTACATGTACAGGACGCTACGTACGTACGCACGCAGGCAAGGCTAAATTTCAAAAGTTGAATGGCGGTCCATTCATATACAGCAACAATCAAAAAACAACCGTTGGTGGCATTTAAACTATGTTTAAGGGGCCTCTTAACTGAACCATATGACCTTACCATCTGCACGTCCGCCGCCGCGTTCAGTACGAGTACGGCAGTTGCCATCTCGTCCATGCGGCCCAACGGCGTGCCTGCAATCAAGCCAAGCAGCTGAATTTTCCAACCTTGCACTTGATCATAATACGGTCTGGGCCTCGATCAATTCACATCTAGAAACACATGCGCCATTGCCGTATGTGGACGTGTTCAATGCCAAGCAACTTGCTTTCACCTCAGCTAGGTTTGTGCGGATAGTTGGCGACGCTTTGCACTATCCCGACACCCGTTGCACCCACCGTCAGGCAGCAGGGGGCCTCTGGCGTCGCCATTCTTGATTTCCTCCAGTCGGTCCGCCTCCGCAAAGTATTCCGACTGCGTAGTCAGTTCCATGCGTCACAAGCAAGCGGTTTATTTCCAGTATGCGGATCGGAGAGTCCAGTGTTTCGACTTGTGGTTGTTATGGAATGAAATGCAGGGTTTCAGGAGAACGCAGGGTTGGGCAGGTTGGCGAGTATGGCTGGTGCTTGCCACCGAATCCGACGCCAAGACGCCCCCCGCGGGATCCTGTCTTCGGCTGCAGCAGGGGATTTACCTTGCAGTACGTACAAAGGCGCGTGGCTAATGCAACAGCGATCTAATACACACTGACACTAAGCCCGAAGCCCGCTCACCGCGCGCCAGGGGTCGTTCTTGATAGTCTGCAGGAATTTGCCGTATAGCCGTACCAACTTGGGATTGTGGCTGTAGCTCTCCAGCACAACCCGATATGCCGTCTGGGCCTGTATGTACATATCGGGGTTTGGCCACGTGCAAGCAGCTCGGGCGCAGGTGCAGGAGCCACAACACAGATAAGAGTTGCAGTGCTTGGCATTCTTTAGCAATCCCGTGTGTGCGACTAAATCACGGTCTCAGAAGCTTAAGACGAAGACATGAAGCGATATTGACATGCAGCCGGTCCACACATAACCACTACTCCCATCCCCATGCCATTACTTCGCACACAAGAAAAGATGAATCTTTTGCTACAGACGACCACATACATGCACGCACCTGCGAAACGGAGCTCTCAATCCTGCTCAGTGCTCGACTAAGGTGCATGAATGATACCCTAGAGGCGTCCAGCGCTTTCCTGCAAGCAGCCACCGAAAGTGCAACCGCGCAGGCACCCGCAGCAGCGGCAGCGGCGGCGGTAGGAACCAACCCTCAATTTGTCGGCAGCAGCAGCAGCAGCAGCAGCATGCGTGCGACGTCTACAGCACGGCAGCTGCACGAGCTCAGAAACAAGTGTTGCAGGGAAAGGGCCAGTGGTCCCCCGGTTTGCACAAGTGAAGGTGGCTGGCTGAGAACCCGGCTGGCTGAGCACACTGATGGCTGTGTGATGATGTGCATGAACGAAACCAATTATGGCCACAAGCGCGATGCACAAGCTGCCCCTCTGGCGGCCCCTGCCTAGCTGCCCGGGTATTAAGACATATGGCCATAAATAACGGCAGGCGGCTGGCAGAGGTTAAGGCCTGGCTTCTGCTCCCGTCGCGTCCCAGCGCGTCCGGGTTCAAATCCGCCTGCCGACCTCACGGGGTGTTTGAGAGGTGATGAAATGGGAGGTGGCCCCCCATCTTGTGGACGGTGTAGGACGTGATAAAATCAACTCGCGAGCTGACCAGGAACTAAGTTGACGCGCCGTTGATCCGCTAGATTTGGTTGGATGCTAGTGGTGAGTTGCCAAACTCAAAGAGTACACTCTGAAGTCGGATGGGGTGAATGGCTTAGGGTGCCCCTCTAGCAGGGGAGAGCAGGGAACTGCCTCGGGAAGGAGGCCACTGGTGAAGCTTAACCACCCTGTAACAACATCAACATGGCCTATTTACTCACCAGAAGTTGCACATGGCCTGCAGCGCCTCACGGTGAAGTCGCACCACCATGCGCTGCTTGCGCTGGTACTCCACATATCTATTTGTCCAGGAGCGATCATTTCGGTTATGTTTGCAACAGAAAACGAAGCGTGACAGCGGATAAAGCAGTACAGCCAGGGTGCATGATTACAATGAAAGGAGTTTTTACGGGCGCCAAGTTACACGAGGTCATGGGTTGCTACACCCTCTCTTGCCTGGTGTTACAGAGCCGGCCGTGTGCTTACAGCACAGGACAAGGCACGCGCACGGATAGCATCGAGGGCCTTATGCCGTTCCTATGCCGTTGCTTCCAGAGAGGAGCGGCCCTAGCAGGCAAGCCGGGCGCTGGCGCTGTATGCTGCGGGTGGCACTGTATGCTGAGACCGCGGTATGGGACCCCAGACAGAGCCCGAGGAAGTCGAGCCGTTTGCAGCAGCGCACGTGCCTCGGCGGCGGAGCCGCAGCCCGTGTTGCATTGACCCTACTACACCCATCTGTGATGGAGGCAGATAAAGGCCCCCAGGTATCGTTTTGCTCCGTTCCTGTGCTGAATGTTCCCCACCCAAGCAGGCAGGCAGCGAGCGAGGAAGGTGTGACAACTCACCCTAGAAGGTCCATGTTGGTTCCGTCGTTGGCGCTGTTGCCTGCGGCTTTTTGCTGCATGTATGCGTTGCGGCAAGCAGCAGGTCGGCGGATGGAGGCATGGAGGGGAAGCAATAGTTCAGGCCAGATAGGTACGGTTGTAGCATGTAGCAAGGAAATCGGTAGAGACGACGGACGCTTGTATGCAAACGTGCCTGCAAAGTCCCTCCTAGCAGTGCGTGCATCTTGCACCAGTCTATCCAGCAAGCTTAGGGACGAACCCGTACCGGATGTACCACCCTCCTGACATACCGGGACTACTATGGGTCAGGATGCACATATTCATATAATTCAGGGCTGACAAAGTCACTCATATTAAAGCCCTCTCATCCAGGCACCAGCACTCTCCCTTTCCCAAAGCAATTCACACGCCTAAATAGCGACCTTCCACATATACACACACAAAGTATTTATACATACAAACACATATACACACACATACACATGTATACACTCACACACGCATGTACACACACATATATATGCTGCCGCTGAAAGCTGCAAGGGCACGCAGCACCCTGTCAGCCGCCCAGTGTACAACCAAAGCCCAGGTTAATCACACGTATGCTTTTGCTTACCGTCGCTTGTTGGTGTCGTACAAACATGATGAAGCGGCACATGAGGCTCGGGTTCAGTTTGCGCGCGTCCTGCGTGTGCGCACGTCAGTGCCGTACGAATAGGTTTACCGTTGAGGACGGCGCGTCCTGGTTAGTTCATTTGATCTAGTAAAAGAAATCACGATGATTTTTTGCAGAAGATTATGAGCTTATAATATGGTTCTGAAATGCCAGCTGTAGAAGCAAGGGAATATCTTGTACATTATCTGGTTTTCACGTGTTAAAATCAGCGGCCGTGATCCGTAGGACCTTCTGTTGAATGACTGCTGGGCCGTTAGGCCATAGACACCGCGAAACGTTCTAACCTTGCCGCAATCAACCAACCAGCTGATCAGTATTGGTATGAGCTGGGTTCAGAGTCCAACAAGATCAGAGACACCAGCCCTGGCTGAGCTGTCGGCCGTGCGCACTGCCCAGGGCGCTCTGGGGCCCACGTCCTCTTTTCCCCATGATGTTGAAGGCCAGTAACACAAGCGGGTGGAACTCAATCCCTGGAGCCCCACTTGCTGCCTGCTAGCCCGGCACAGGCTACCCGCGCCCCGCACGCACCTCGATGCGACTGCTGCCGCTCTGGCTGACCCCCAGGACGTCAATCATAAAATTTCCGTGAAGCAGCACCATGTAGGCGCTGGTGGGGAACATTGCCAGGCCGGCCTATGGGGGAAGGAACGAGGCAGCAGGTGATGTTCTTAGCCAGGTGGACGTCAGGACGGCAGGAGTCGCAGGTGGCTGGCAAGGCACCAGCTACCGCATTTCGTGCCTGTGCGTGTGCTGCAGGGAGCTGGAACTTCCAACTTGCGATGCACAGGCAAGGCAAACCGCATGCAAGGTAAGCTTCCTGCTTACACGGGCAGGAGCGGCGGCACCGTATCAAACACAGCAACCTGCCAGCCGGCCAGCGTACCTTGATAACCTGGTGTGCCCGGTTGACGGCGTCTGCGTCCACCGTGTAGCGATCTTTCCACACACGACAACACCTGCCGCAGCAATCCCGCCCAAGCGCAACCAAACCACAGACCAGGAACGTCGAACATAAACATAAAAGGGACGCAGATCGGCTGTCGCAAGGCGCCACAAGATCCAAGAACAACCAGCGTGGCTCAGTAGTTCTATTACTGGTTTAGAGCTGCTGCTGGTAACGACATGGGGTGTGTAGCTGCTACCCAGGTTGCTGGGATCAAAGCCGCCGGAGAGTAATATCCATGCATGAGTTGCGAATGTATGTGTGTACGGGTGGTGCGGAGGACGGCGGCGGCCATAGCCGATGCCTGGGCACCGTCCGTAAGGAGCGTAATACGAAGCTGGTCTGCGGGCTACCAGCGCTTACTTTGCCAACGGGCTCTTGGAAGTTGGAGGCAAAGTGCTGTGTGTGACTGGCTATAGCTACCTAGCTAACAATGTCCACGAAACACTTGGACACGCCACATGCACGTGCGTGTGTGTGTGGGGGGGAGAGGAGCCGCGTTGTCGACAAACGAGCAGGAGCGATTGGTGTGTGCGTTGCGCCATCCAGCCCTATCTCTCGTCCGCCGTCCGGGTTAGGCAGAAGCGTCCCCAATGGCACACTTGGCGTGGTTGTTAACAATCCAGCAGAATGGCGCATGTACGAATCCCACGAGCAGCGTACCTTGCCACGATCTCCACGTCGCGGGGATCATCCAGGTTTTCACACACGTCCTCCAGCCGGACGTCCGGCCTGGCGGTTCTGCGGGGCGACCAAGTGAAGCGGCGGTACAAACATCGCGGGATCAGATGCGCCACATGGACCAAGAGCAGCCCTGCGCATTGGAAGGGCGATTTCCCTCGCAGACAAGCACGAGAGCGAGCTCTCTTGGGGCCGCAACCGGAGCAAGTGTCAAACAGAGCAAAATGATGAAACAACGCAAGCCCAAGGTCGGTGCAGAGGCCGCAGCCGCGGGCCGGTGGCAGGCACACACATACATACACATACACAAAGGAACACATGGACATCCGTAGATGCGTAGATACGTAGATACGTGCAAACCGAAGCAAGCGTCACGACTCACGCGAGGGCCTTGAGAGCCGACATGGTCATGCTCCGGATCACCAAAAAGGACGTTAATGCGCCGACGCCGAAGGCCGGACCGAGCCCCACAAGCATTAGCAGTGTAAGGGACTCGGACCACTCCTGCGCCCTGTCCGCGTGAATCCCGGGCTGGAAAACCAGCAGTACCAGGGAGACGCAGCACCATAAGATGGTGGCCGCCACACCGCCCTTTAAGTAGTTGACCCAAGCCACCAGATGCGGGTTCTGCAGGTGTTCACCATCGGCCGGCCGGGAGACAAGGATGGAGGGATTGTGCAAGGTGGCACCTTGGCAGGCATACAGGCGGCTGGCAGAAGTTAAGGCCTGACTTCTGCTCCCAGTCGATCCAGTCGACCCGGGTTCAAATCCGCCTGCCAGCTCCTCGGGTGTTTGAGGAGTGATGAAATGGGAGGTGGCCCCTCATCATATGGACGGTGTAGGACGTGATAATATCAACTTGCGAGCTGACCAGGAACTAAGTTGATGCGCCGTTGATCCGCTAGATTTGGTTGGATGCTGGTGGTGAGTTGCCGAACCCAACGAATACATTCTGAAGTCGGATGGGGTGACGGATTAGGGTGCCCCTCTAGCAGGGGAGAGCAGGGACTGCCCCGGGAAAGGGGGCCGCTGGCGAAGTTAACCACCCTGTAACAACATACATACCGTGGCATCCAACAGCATGTCGGCGCAACCTGAGCTTGCCTATTAAACAAATGATACTCTCATTCAAGAAATGGATACACACAGCTGTTGTTGCACGTTTCGATGGAAGGGCGAGGGGGGTTCTGCCCCTTTCTATGTATCAGAAGGAGCATTCTTTCGAACACACACGCACATACGAGAGGACCAACTAGCTGCCGAGACGCGCTGGACTTACCCTCCGAAGGCTCTGCCAGGCTAGAGCCAGGGACAGTGCCGTGTACAAACAGGCAGCTACTCGTTTGTACCCCACGAACACATCCACGAGGGTAAGGAGGACCTGCGGGGGGGCAGAGGCAGCCTCCATGACTTCTGAGGCAGCGATAGCTAGGTTTGCGGGCAGGGGTGCGTGACTTGCGAAGAGCTGTGTCGGCATGACTAACAGGTGTCTTGTGTGGCGCTTTAGAGGATAAGCTAAGGGAATGCTGAATGATCGACGATTTTGTGGGTTCCCGGGCATCACGTTTGTGTCGTAACTGAATGTGCGGGTGGGGGAGCCCCGAGTGCTGGAGAGGCGGATGCTATCCTAAACTATTTAGGTTTGGGGAAATGACTGAACGGCACGGTTTCGGCGGTTAAGTGGAATGGTAGGAAATAGCAATAGTTGAAGGCTGGTGAGGTGTTGGTGAGAAAAACCGCTTCCTTAGCGTGAATCTCACGTGCTTGGAGCAGCAACCCAAGTCCCCGGACGAATACGCGTCCGTTCCAATCAGCGGAGCATGGAGAGGCTCTGGGCACGTAACCCGAACCAGCTCGTATCGGACAGGTCTGCAAGTACGGGGTTTCCGCACCGTTGAACATATAACACATACATACATACCGATAACTCCACATGGTCTTTATATTTACATGTCATTGCCAAAGCATGTAGCCGTGCACATGCCATCAGCCGCTTTGGAATGAGGCTGTGCGTCAGAAGCGCAGCATGGATCACAGGGCACGAGCTAGGACTTCAGCTTATCGCTCTCAGTCACGCCAACTTGCACGCCCGATAGGCCGCATGTATACAATGATATGCAAGAGCGCACGTACGTACTCTTCGCTGCTGCACATCCCGATACACCTCGCAGACAGCTGCGCTGTACATTGTCACGCAAATGGCAGGCCATAAATGCATGTACGATAGTACGGCACGTGAACTGCTACGCTACGGCTTACATTGGCAATCGCCGTTGTGTATCCATTCCTATACCTGAGGAAATCCACGCACCACTGCGCTTCACGGCACCGGATACGTCATACCTTGAATGCAAAAGCCATCACCTCTGCCCCACTGTGCCCCAACGCCAGCGGCCGCCGCGACAGCGGATTAACCTCCACCTGCAAGCGCAGCGCGGCGCGGCACGGGGCTCGCTCCGCTTCTTTCCGCTTTTGTTCTTCTTCACATAACTTATGCAGCGGTGCAGTATCGAGTCCTAACGGTCACGGATGCGGCTGGGTGCGAAGTAGTGCATGGCCTGCAGGCTCTGAACGATGCGGATTCCAGCTTGCCGGCTCCTGTTAAAGCCTCTACACTACACACATCCGGAACCAACTGACCGGGCCCTCCCTCCGCTCCTCACCTCCGCCATGTTGAGTAACAGTGCAATGGCTACGAACAGTACCAGACTGAGGGCCGAGACGACGGCGTGGAGCACGTGAGGCGTTGAGGTGCAGCCTGCAACGGACGAGCAAATACTAGTTACTGCTAGCAGAAGCAATAGTAGCAGCCGTAGCAGCAGCAGCAGCAGCAGCAGCAGCAACGACAATATGTAGGCAGCAAAGGCCACTGTAGCAACTTCGCCCATCAAGTAACATACGGCAAACATTGAAGCAAGCAAGCAAGTTGGCATGAACACTCCATATCACACGGCCTGCTTGTATCTTTACTTTTTGACGTTTGTGCCAACACATGGCTGGCTGGAAAGGAGGGCCTTTCCCTGCCATGCCTGCACGGCGCACTGCTCACATACTTGAGGCGTATACTCACTGTAGCTAGGGAAAAGGTCCATGTGGAGGCGACGTCCTCCATTCCCGGAGTAGTTACAGCTGATGCCCAGCTGTAACAGGGATAGGCGGCCGCCGGGATTAAACGCATGTATTGTTACAGTCTGGTGGGGAGCCCCGGGCATTCAGACGGAAATCATGGAGGGCAGGCTCTGGGCCAGCACCAGGTACATGTGCGAACCTCGACACCTCAACAACAGGCCCAGGAAAACCGCGATGAGCTACAATTCACTACAGAAAAACCTTTGGATGTCGCTCCCTCGTTCTCGCATACGGAGAAGTGCTGTGCGGTCGACGTCGGGCCCCCGCAGCGCAGTCCTTATGCGGTGCAGGCTAAGGACGGGCCCTTAACAAGCTAACGTTTTCCCAGCAACAGCAGATAGGCGATGTTGTGGTATCACACTCTCCAATTCCACTCCAATCCTAATCATCTCTCCAATTTCACTCCCCCTCTGCGTACACCACAGTCGAGGCCCACTCATCCCTCACTCCCCTGACCCAAAGGCTGCAACGCAGCACGCAACATCGGTATGCTGAACTACTGTGCCTCAGACGGCAGTGACTTTTAGCATGCACAGCATTGGACGACGGCAGCCAGACACGCACCTGTAGTAGGTTGAGGGAGGCCACATCGAAGGCCTGGAAGAAGACGCTGCTGAACACGCGCAGCACCTTGATGGGCCACACAACGGGGAACTTGTGCTCCTTGAAGCACCAGGCTACCCACACACAGAGCCCCACGTTTCCCATCAGCAGCGCCACCATGGAGTAAAGCACCGCTAGATACGCTCCGTAGCCCTGACAGCCAACCAGCCAGGGTGAATAGGGCCGAATACTTTGGTGCAACAACCATACATGCAACGATATGCCGATGACGCAAAACAAGGCTCGAGCACAGGTGCATGCCTTGGTGACAAGGCATGTACCTGTGCTCAAGCCTTGTTGAGCTGGAACATGGCCATAAGCGGGCTGCGCGCCCCTAATATTGCGAGTCAGCTGGATCCTTGCTGGCAGAAGTTCGAAAAGGCTGTTCCTGCAATTGCTGCAATATCCTAAAGTTAGCTCGCAAGAACCGAATGTACTATAGTAAGGCATGAATTCAATGGGGCGGGCTGCTTGCTCTAGAAAGCAGCTGGAAGCGCGCGTGTGCGATAGGACGTATTTTGCTGCTGGGGTAGCCACTGACGGTGCCCATGTGCCGCACCGTAACGTGGCCGTGCGGCGTAACCTCCCCGGACACATGGCCCCGACTCCAGCATAGCCCTAACGCCCAGCCCACAGCCTCTGCCTGGCGCCCGCCTTGCATAGATGGGACGTTGACCCTGCCCATGGCGCCCGTCGCCCAGCCGCAGGATTTACACCTGACATCCCTTCCGGCCTGCCCATGGCCTTCCATTCCCCCCTTGCCCCTTCATGCCCTACCAGCCCGGATAGCCAAGAGAAGTTGAGCACGCCGACAACCACCCACGCCCTGAGGGAGGATGAACCCGCAACAGGAGCTTGAAAACTTAAGAGGTAAGAGCGAGGAGGGCACCGTGCTGGTGACTCGTGGCATTTTCACAGACATACAGACGCACACACACGCGGCGGCTAAAGTGCTGTAAGCTACACCTCGATGAGGATGCTAACGTTGCAGCAGGTTCGTCTCTGCCTTGCCTGCTGTCTGAGTACCCGGAGGTCACAAGCGCACTTAGCAGTTGAACTAGTTTCACGCAATTTTCTGTTCGTGACAAACAAAAGGACCAAATCTTCACAGCGACAGCTTCCCCAGAGCCCCCACAGGTTGGTACTGCACAGATTTTCCTGGCAAGCTTCGCATTAGGCCTGGCATTACGCAGCCTAGTGACCACACAGCGGCTGGTTTATGCCGCACCAGGCACCACGTACGTTCCCTTGGGTTTGATGTTCCATCCTTGCTTGGCTGGGGAAATGACGGTTGTGAACAACTGCCAGGCGTCCAGAAGGATTTTCAGGAGTGTCCACCTGATGCGAATGCGTGTCTCACTGTTCTCCTTGCTGTGGGATATCAAAGGAAAAAACATGTAAGGCGCATGCAGGCCGGTCCCAAGTTAATGCACCAGACCTGAGGCGACAATGCATGTGCGCATGCAGTAGAAATCGTCGCGTGCGGTATGGCGTGCACCAGCATGCGTGGAGCATGCCGAATTTCAACGATAGGATGTCTTAATTAAAGGGCGCAATGGCTTGTGGCTTGTGGTTTGCAAGGCCTCATAGTAAAGCCCGGATGTGAATGACGCCGGCCCTGGGTAGCCTACCTGAGCGTGAACAGGACCCCGAAAATGCCGTTCTGCAAGGGGGAGCGGCCAGCCACGCACAAAGACACCATATGGATGCCATGATGGACTTCCTCATGCAAACGAGCACTTGTACGAGTTTCATCTGTTCGGTCAGCCACCTAGCTATGTGCTATCCCACTCAACACTGAGTCCTATAGCCAGCCTTAATGCGTGTAGATTTCAAGGAATTTGTACAGGAAGAGTTCACACGTATAGAAACGCAACAATTTATGTGCGGCGAACCCTTCGTCACATATCAGGTAAGACATGCCACGCATTTCGACAATAGAGAAGTCACCCCCATGCGCTATCAGCAAGAAACATAATAATGAAATGCACGAGTATTAACCCAAGAGAAACGTACCTCCAGGGGCGACCTTCTTTCCAACAGGTCCTCCCCATGGCGCTCCTGGTGCTCCCGTTCCGCACTGAAATGCAAATTGGACGCCCCAATTAAGAAAACACCCGAAAATGTGACAAGGATCGGAGCAACTGGCTAGTATGCGACCGATTGAGGCCTGAACTGTCATGCAGTAGTAAAGCGCCCACATTCCTAAGCGGCATACTTCCCAAGCGCACACTAACATGTATTACAATGACAACCGCGCTAACATATATGTATCCACATTCGAGCTTCAACACTTCTTGACAGCGCATTACCGGTGAAGACCAGGCAGGCCAAGTTAACCTTATCTGTGGTCTCTGACGTGTAACATGAACACACACAGTTAAAGCTTGAAGATTTACCGTGCGCGAACAGAGGCCGAGCTCCGAGAAGAGGCAACGCTTGCAGCATAGCTCGACCCGTTGAAAGAGTCAGACATAGATGTCATGGTTGTTAAATACTAGATCATAATAAGTCCCTTATTAGTTATTTTCATCTATGCATCCAGCAGGCGGCCGGTTAAGAAGGCGCCGATGCGCGCAGAAGCTTGCAGCCTCGATTCGCCAGCTACATGGGAGATTTATTCATATAAATGCGTTGAAATTTTTATGACCAAAAAATTTCGGTTGCAACTACAGGGGCAGCGCCAGAGTATACTTCCTACTAGGAAGAATCAGCTATTAGCATTTATGCAGCGCATCACGACAGCATCACTCTTAACCAGTAACATAAATTGGAGCGGAGTTAAAGGCGCAGATGTGCGCGTAAGTCTGTAACAGAAGAAAGTTACGCTTGTTGCCGTACACTTTCAGCCCAATCCTTGGCGGTGAGACCAATGGAGTGCGGCATTACATAGGCGTCCTGAACCAATGACCACTATTGGAATCAGTCCATAACATGCTAACCTGTACGTTATGAGTAAGGGCAAATGCCCGTCCGTTAACATGTACGAAAATGCCACATCAATATAAGGAAGGACTATTGCGTGCATAATTCTTCTTGTGTGTGCTCGTAATCTACTCATTAGATGTTCCATGGTGGACGGTCCCAATCCTTTCGCCTCCCCCTTTCATACCCGAACGACAGCCTGACCGCAACAAGCCGATCGCTACCCATTTAACTACTAAAATGTATGCGATAACTCAACTTGATGCTAATAGGCTGAAGCCACTATTAACCAGGACCTTTGTTTCTGTATGTACGTAATGCTGGGTTAAATCCGTCTAACAATGGTTATTTCATCAAAGACGAACGTTTCTATCTCTACATGCCCCTTAATATTGGTTTAGATAAATACAAGTAGGATAACCGTATATGTTTTAGCTTGCGTGCTGGGGATCCGCAGAGTTTTGCATCATAAACGTAGATGAAAAAGCTCGCATGCCACAAACGTTCATAAGGTTGTCCCGCTGAGATGAAGCGCTGTCTGTGGTGACTCAGCGGCTTTGAATGAACATAATTACCAGTAGTGGCCAGAGGCGGCGTTTGCTGTCTCTTCAACCTTTGCAGCAACACTTATTTTGAAGCAGGGGTTCAGAAGAAAGTCAGCACATATTTTTTTCCTAACGCTTGTCACGTGAGCTGACATACATCCCCGTACTAGCGCACATCTGCGCACATCACATTCCATGCGGTGTACATGCCTGTTAGGATGCGAGAGATTCCGGTGGGCCTATCAATTGTGTCTTGGTCATTTTTATATTGTCCCGACTTTTGTCGGTTGCGTAGCCCACAGCAGGTTTGTCAAGGCCGTGTAAATCTTGCGCCAGGCCGAGAATAGACGACGATGGACAGAGGACGAGCGCACGCATCAGGATGGTGCCATTGAGAGTCATTGGGCCGCCATATGGAGCGCTGAACCGCTGTGTGTGTGTGCCAAAGCGAGACCAAACGACCACTCCCGTCAAAAGTTAGGGATCTGCCGGGTGTCGCGGAGGAGCACTTAAATCAAGTTGCCATCCTAACGGCAAAGGATTAGATTTTAATCCAGCTATTGCGACCGGCACGAGACACCCCGCCGTCGAGACGCGGTATTTACTGCAACCACTGCAGAGGTCGTGTATACCGTATTGCGCTACGAGGGCTACAAGGCAGCTACAAGAGCGCATGCCGGCACACACACACACACACACACACATATGTGCACACACACACACACACATGTGCACACACACACATATGTACACACACATATGTACACACACATATGTACACACACACACACACATACACACACACACACACACACACACACACACACACACACACACACACACACACACACACACACACACACACACACACACACACACATATGTGCACATATACGCGCACAGTGCCTTCTAACCCTACGGCGTTCGGCAGGGCTATCCGGAAGACGGCCGCATTGCTAAGCCATGTATGGAGGTGCTGGTTTTGTGGAAGCCGAGGAAAGTATTTAGCAAACCATCGACTACGTTGGCTGATCAGTGGTCACTGCTTACCTGCCTGCTCTAGCGTTCATTTCGTGTTTAAGGAGATTTTGTTGTGAAAAGAGATTATGCAACCACCAGCTCCACTCCATTCTTTTCACAGCTATCAACAAGGATACTCAAAATCAGTGCGCGAGTGCGTCTAGGCCTGCTCCTAAGCCGAACACTTTTAACGAAACCAAGCGAGGGATCGTTACAAGCCCTTTCTCATCGCCGATGTTGCGCTAGACAGGTACTGAATGCGTCGACATAACTGCCATCATTTATCAAATATTTCTTGATCCTCAAATTTCCTCACGCTGCTGGAGTCTGCACTCCTGGAAGTACAGCTTCGCGTGGCTAGATAGGTTGCGCAAGCGTCTGCATGCTCGTCCGTTCTCACTGCACTCTGCGGCGGTGTACAGTTTTTGTTACAGGGTTATTGAGCAGGAACAATCAAGAGACTGGAGAAGGCGATGCAACCTGCAAACCTTTCTGCAACAGCTAGCAGCCTAGCTTAAGTCAAACCCGGGCGAGAGATTCAACCTGACTTACAGGGTTCAGGCCCAGGTCCTCCATGCTAAGCACATGAGCAGGAAATAATGCAGCATGCTTGTCGTGCGTGCGTTATTAGTATAACTTTAAATCCATTAGGGGCGTACGTACTGCTCCCTGCTGTAGCGCTACAGCTAGCGCTAGCGGCAGGCGTGGAAAGACTCACAATCTTAAGAAATGACAACACTGCGCCAACATACGTGCGTACGTGCAACAAGCTTCCAACCGGTATCCCTCAAAATTCGGGCGTGCGACCCTCCGCGCCTTGGCTGCGTTGCATACGCAAGCATACGCTGAGGCGCAAGCTAAGGGTCGGCATAAAAGGGAATGCAATTTTGTGCTCGACACACCACCTTAAGGTAGACTGCACCCCCATCAAAAAGTACCCTAGAAATCCAGCGGGTCAAGCAGCTAAACCTATGAGGCTCTCCGCGCATGCCTGAAAATGCTGACAGTAGATAATGCAATGTGAATGCTGCACTGTCCCCTCTCCGCTTAAAGCACATGATTTTGCTCGACGAGGCGCAGTACCATACATCGCAAAGCCAAGAACAAACCGATTAGGAAAAATGCTTTCGTTCCTCCAAGGTGGACATATCGCGACCGTACAAGCAGAGAACGCAGGACGGCAGTATCTGGAAAAAACGCAACGGTAATAGCGCCAGCCGAGAATCCCTTCAACTCGATAAAACATATCGTCTGTGTCTATGTGCAGGTAAGTAGAATTCGGGTGCAAGTAATTTTCGCATCCGAGCCACACAGCCAATGCTCCATATTCCTTTCTTTAAAGCACAGCGTCTTCTGGTGGGATGGATATCAGTCATCGCAGCCGCTCGCTCGCCAAGAATTACTACGTATGCATCTCCCTCGGTAAACCATCCGGACTGATGGACGCGCATGATATGCAACACCTGCTCCTCCCAAAAGGAAACATCAATGGCGCCTCCTTCAAATTGGGTAGAGATGCTTAAAAAGACATCGGCAGCAGAAAGCGGCTACGGATATTATGCGAAGTAAAGTATGGATACAAGCCAAAGCACTTATCCAAGTTCGTTGCCCTGGCCAGCCTTCTGGCGGGAACCACAAGCTAATCACCACAGTGCGTCAATGTAGATAAGAGCAACGTCGTTGAGCGCCATAGATGCAAGCAAAGGCATAACGAAGAAACGAGCGCATGGTGGTATAAACGAAAGAGCACGCTGACACCGCGAATTGCATACAGCAGCCATGGCGGCAACGCGCACCTACGCAGGCATCGCTCCGGGCGGCAAGGAGACTAACGGCGCATGTGGCGCTGAGAAGCGCAAGCAAGGGCGGTACGGCAAAGTCGGAGCATGCTAAGGTATTTCCCCTTCCTCGCCTGTGCGACGTCAATTCGCCCTGATGCAACTGGGCCGTACAGACCCTTAAATGCCCACATGGGAACAGCACGAGGCAAGGGCCAAAAAAGAAGCGCCTGCAGGGCTGCAACGATAATAATAGAATGCACGAAGTGGAATGCGGGGAAAAGTCTGGAAACAAGCCAAGAAATGTAGGGAATACTGCAAGCATGGTGCAAGTGCGTGTCTGGCTCGCTGTAAGACAACGAACTTGCAATGACAACCCCCATACCGACCGGGATCAGGTGCGACACCCTGCGACATGCAGAATGGCTGAGGTGCAGCTGACTTCTTGCATTAGCTTTCGGTTTTCCTCGGCCTTCCTCGGCCAGCTACCCACCTGCCTGCCTACATCACACCAAACCGCCTCATTGTCGTCACACCTTTCGAATAGTGATCTCAATCCAAAGTATGGCTAGCGCCAGGCAACACTCCGCATGCACGAAGTGCACGTGATGCATGCACGAGGTGGGCGCCTTCACGGCCACAAAGTGCGGAACAAATGGGCTGGATCATGCATGACACCCGGCCATTCGAAGGCAGCATCTACATACAGAGAATAGAATCCTAGGCACCTGCGGCGCTTAGATGCCACCAGGCATGGCAATTCTATCTACAGCTGCAGACACCGGGCAGCACCTGCGGGAATCGTCAAAGATGCTTAGATGGCAGGTACGCGACCACGGTCCAAGGCAAAACTCGTCTGGGGTTGTGTCGTTATCAAGATCCATGCAGACCTCTGCGCCGTTGGCCTGCTGCAGACTCCAATTCAGCGGAGTTGCCCGCACAACATTATCTCCTCTGGGAGCCCAGGTAGGATAGATGTATGTGTAGGTAGCGTCACTGCTGGACTTGACAGCAAAACCGTTGATGTTGCGGCGCATGGTGTCATTGACCCAGAATTCCACCTTAGTGACACTGGCAGCGTCGGCGCAGGGACCCTGCATGCGCCCGGGGGGGGGTGTCCATTCCGGAAAGCCGGCCGCAGATTTAAAATTGAGGTGTGTGTGTCAACAATTCAGCCATACAGCTCAATATTATCATTATTGTTATCATGACACTGGGTTGAGGCTGCAGCGCCTGCCTTGCATGCGCGCAGCTCTAGTAGATGCTTTGCTTGAAATAGGCCAACGGTTGTGCGGTAAGGCACAAACGTAACTGATTCTGACCCCATGTCAGCAGCTGCAGACGCTGAAGCACGTGAGCCTGTCAGCATAGCTTCCGGTTATTGTGGCTTGTGCAGGATTGTGCACGGTCCCGCTCTGACAATTTCCCGTGCATCTCCAAGTTTAGGAATGGACATCGGCACTCTGGAAGCCACAGAGTGCCTTCCAAAGCAGCTATCTCGCATGGCCCTGCCACTTTGACCCCTCCGATCCCTAAGTGCTTACGAGTCCATCCTGCACATTGCACACCTGCACATTGAGACGCGCTCCTGACAGACAGGGCCTAGTTAACACATGCACGCACACACACGCACATGCACACACGCACATCCCCAGGATAGTCATCATGTGCTCAAGGACATGTATGCTACATGCACGCGGTGCATGCATGCGGAGTCCCACTAACTACCCGCGCTTAGCCGCTAGCAAACCTAACCTAGATTCGCATGCTTGCATCACATACACGCATAACTTACAGGGTAAGGCTCAAAAGTCCATAATCGAAAGCAGTACTGCGTGCTTGCAGGTGTACGGCCGGGCTTGGTTGTAAAAGTTGGCAAGGCGCCAAAGGGCGTTAAGCCCGTTGTCATTAAGCAGCTGTACGGAAATTGAAGGAGGGGTCAGGAAGGGAAGTGTGAAGGACAATGTTTGGGGTCGCTTCCAAGATTGCTCATTCGGATTTTGCGTGTTGAAGATTTATGTTCTCATGTATGCGCAATAAAGCAGACGTGGCGGCCACACGGCGACGACTCTAGGGCCATCATGTTCAACATGTGCCGTGCCGAGGCAATTTAATCTTGGTAGGTCTGAAACTGCTCTCGCCTATGAAAAGGTGTGCAGGAAACGCTAAGGAAACGCTAAGTAAACAAACGCGATATCAGCGTCTTGGGCGCTAGCCTCCCGGGCTTCAAGGCCAAGGAATTTTACCTATATGCAACGCACGCGCTTCAGTCCCAGACGACCTGTACACTATCCCAGGACGACATGCAACACCGCTATTTGGACAACACCTCGGCCCCGGCCCATGCCCACTAAAACAGTTCGCAGCTGTGTGTTTCCAGGCCTCCACGCGCCGGAGATGAAACCGCCGGGGAGATACAGCCCATAAACCCCTCTCGATTACCACCTACCCAACACTCACGTGCAGTTAGGGAAAAGAACATCCAGTTCGCAGTTTTCGGTAGCCAAGCCGCTGATGCATGTATTGGGCATACCCGCTATACCGTTGTCGTCGATAAGCGGCGGGATGGAGAGTAACCCATCAATCGTGACCTCTATGGTGTGGTGATTAAGGTAAGCTGGACACTCCTCGGGTATCAGGGTATTCAGGAAATGAGTTGCAAGTTCGTTACCCGTGTTGGACAGGAATACGGGGACTGCAGAGTTTCCGGGATCAACGGTTTTGAACGCGCCGCAGATTATGATGGTGTCTTTATTGCAGACCTTCAACTCTAATGGATTGCTGATGAAAGCGCCAACCATTTGCGACGCTGCTGTCATCCTGGAGATCACGGTGGAACTGTAGTTTTCGCATAGCTCCGGGGTAATTACGAAAGGGATAATTCCTGGCCGCTCGTCCGGGTAGATCTTTAAGTTGACACAAGTTTGGCATTCGGAGAAAACAACCGGCACTGGGGGGGGCGGCGGTGGGGGCGGCAGTGGGGGTAGCGGTGGGGGCGGCGGTGGGGGCGGCGGTGGGGGAGGCGGGACAGGTGGCGGGGGAGGTGGCGGAGAGGGAGGGGGCGGTGGGGAAGATGGAACATCGACGGGGCAGCACTTATTGTTCGAACTGAACAGAGCAATAGAACAGGCGCCACGGTCCATTACGGACAACGGCGGCGGAACGCACAGCTGCTCCAGGTTGGTGCAACCCTTGCCCGCTCGGTTAGTTCTCAGGGTGATGCAGATCTCCGCGCCATCAGCGGTGGTGAGATTGAGGCCCAGTCGTGTGAGCTTCAGGATGGTGTCACCCACGGCGCCTTGGGGGGCCGCCTCAAAATTGGGTCTGACAACCGTTGGGGCACCGTTCAAGGTGGCGGAGAGGAGAACTCCAGGAACATCGCAACTGCTGTATGTATTGATCTGCAGGGCAGATTTGCGGTGCAACAGGACATGAGCGGGCGAGAGTTAGGTTGGCGAGCAGCCTTCAAAATTGGGGCGCGATACGGGGTTGTTTAAGAGCACCTTGCCGCACTCAACGCCTGCGGTACGCACCGCAGCGCGCAACTCACGCAATACCAGCCGGTGCAGTTTCCAGTGACGTGGAAGGTTTTAATGACTTTCTGTTGAACCCCTCTGCAGGACGGAAAATTCACCTTTTGACCGTAAGTCCATTCCAGCCTGACAGCACATTAATTGCAGTGGAGCCATTACATACGTCGTCCCGGTTTATTTAGCACAAGGACCGTGGAGAGCCAACACGCCAAACGCGAAAAAAGCCTTGCAACACGACAACTTTAGATATCCGCAAAACCTAAACAGGTCTTGGCGCCACCGGGTTATCGGAGCTGAAATACTAGAATCAAATTGGTTCCAGCGATATTCGGGAAAGCTGCACTGCTTCATGAGGTGATGATGGGCAGCGTGATATGAATGGGGAGGGTGTGCCCGGACTGCGGAAAATAATTAACAGCCAACTTTTGCGCATCTTCGCACCTTTACAGCGAGATGGAATTACTACGATTTAATTGTCTGAGGCCCGTATGCGTGCCATTGGCGCTCGTCGGGATCTTCAGGACGAAGCTTTGTTTGTGCGTTATCACGAGACAAGCAAGCCCACATTTTGAACATCGAGAAGTAAGAAGACAGCTCCAACCTTAAACACAGCAAACACAGTAAACACAGCAAAAGCAGCCCTTCGACCGCATTAGCCTAACTAGGACCTAACTAGGGCTAGAACTGCGACAGGTTCGTTTGATTACAGGAAGTGTTTCAATTGCTTTGTTAACTGTTGCCGGCATTGCTCGCCTACTGTCAGACTCCGTATCGCTCGCAAAACGCAAGGAATACTTGCAAACAGGCACTTACCTCGAGCTTCTTCAGGTCCGCCTGGGTGCAGCAATAGCTTGTGCAGCCCGGACGGCGAAGGACGCGAATGGTGAAGCAGTACGTGTTGTTGCCCCTGTACTTGTAGGGATTGACTACATCGTAGGCCCCGTTGCTGTCACATTCACAGAATGGAAAGTCCGGAAACAGACCAACTAGGTCCGCCGCCAAGAGCAAATGCCCCAGCGAGGCCCTACGTCACAGAATAACAATTTCTGTCAAGAGTTCCCAGTTTTCAAGAACCACGGGTGAGTGAGGCACGCGAGTCGAGCTCGGCGGCGACAATTTCTTTAAAACAATCTTTAGAGCGTGCATTTAATGCAGGCATAGGGCAATCCTGATGCCTAACGTGCCCGCTGCAATTAACGCGCAAATAAAAGCGAACAGTAAGACAGTCGTCAGATGGTGATTACAACAAGGCAGAACATGGCAGAACATGGCAGAACGTGATTTCTTCAATTAGAAACTTTCAGAGATAGCCCTAGCCCTTGAAATGAGCGACTTACAAGAGCACTAGAGTCAACGCTCCGGCGACCTGCATCCCAATCGTCCGAAAGTATTAGTGGAGCTGACCTGTAGTTCTATTGGCGCGTATTGGCCAATGCAGAGCGGGGATATAGGAATCTCCTTGCTTTTTTTATCGGTGTACCTGTTACGGCTCGCAGGAGCGTTATACGTCTATAAATATATTTGTAAAGTAGATTATATACAATAACATCCTTTGGTGAGGATACGGATAAAACATGAAGCAATGTGCAGATCCTTCCCTGAAGTACGTGTACGGATACCCCTCGTTCCTCCGGCTGACAGACTGAGTATAATCGGTATGACGACCCCGGTGATATGCTATTGACGTAGCTTAATATGTTTACATGCGTTTATTCCACGTTCTTCTTCGCTGCTTCTACTCTGTTCGTCACTTCGTACGACCTTTGGATTGCTGCATGACTGTGACTCAGATATGGGTTGAGGTCAATACGTACCTAAAGTATGGCCTTTGTATATATCGGCTTAAATATTGTGACTCAATATCACTATAGCGATCGAGGCTCGGCATTCAAATTCTGTATCGGCGCGAAAGCCCATGGACAATCAGCAGTTTAAAAGGAATAGTTTATTATATTGGGATAATGGGTGCTGTCGTCTTATGCACCTCTCATAACTCCTCTTCGCACCTGGAGTCACCTAGTGCCGTCGTTCGTAGCTAAGTGCAGTAACACTATTCCCTGGATACTTATGAAATAAACATTATTGGCTGTATTCAAAATATTACTTCCTAATTAATGGAGCGTGATGCCATGCCATCACCTCGGCTGAAATCGCTGTCTGGGAAATCGCTCGACGGGAGTTCAGTCCGTGGAGGTGACCGCTGCGCACGTGTGTCAAAGCCATTACAAAAATTCCTGGCCATTTTGGAAGGCAGTCCTTGGCCGTTTAACCAAAGCAGACGACTTCTCTCCTTGCTTTTCAGCGAAAAGTTGGCATTCAAGCGGTGATCAACCAAAAAAAGTCATACTAGAAACTTAATAAGAAAGGAACGCACAAAAGAGCAATGCAGATCCGTGCAGGCTCTGGGCCCCATCACGCATCGAGGACGGCAGGCTGCTTTCCGTGAACCTCGCGATTAAGTGATCTTGAGCGCGGGTGATAACAGTCACTCCTGCAGGAGAGAACAAAACCTGTTTGTCCGCATTTGCCAGCATACAAAGGATCAAAGTGCGCCTTGTGGGAAGCCTTCTTAAGAAACATCCAGGGTAAGGCGGCGGGCGCTTGGCGGACTAGCAATCGAACGAGAAATGGGGCGGGCTATATGACACCAATCGCCCTACTGCATGTCTCAAGCACATTAACGTGCAATTCATTTGCATACATCTAACATAAACTCCCCAAAAATGGTGCGACTGTCGTAAACGGACTTCCTAGTTAAGGCAAAATGCTGGCCGGTGATGCTGTATCGATAGGTAGCGGCGGTCAGCGAGCGGAAAGCGCGCGGACTATCCCGTGCCAGCCATGTTCTTTTGACGATGCCCTGCCTAAAACGCCAGCTGGAGCAGCTCGCTGAGTAACATTATATAGGTGTCATATCAGCGGTGTGCCCTAGGAAGGTTCTGTATGGCCAATTGAGTAATCTTCAACGAAATGGTTTTGAGCCATTCACGCTGCTCTGTGCACACCCAAACACGCTTTCCAACTCGTAATCTACGCTGCCACTCGCATTGACGTTTGCCCCCACATTTACATCGGCGCACATTGGAGATCCCCCCGGCTGAAGGTTGAGAGGCAAAGTATTCTCGTTCGCACATGCAAAGCTACAGCTAAGTCAAACGCACAAATGCGGGGGCCGTCTGTAAAAGCCGGCGCGGCCATTATTGTGGCGCCAAGTGGAGATCTCCCGTTCGCATGGACTCGGCGCGTCTGAGCGCGATGTGCCCGGTCTCCCAGACCCCTGAGGAAAAAGTAGCTACAGCTAAAAAGGGGGTGTGTCCGCCATAATACTACGCATTTCGCGCCCCCGGAGGACAACGTCCTGACTCATATTTCACTCGGAGGCCCCCATGGGCCGGTGGGCATTCATTGAAAGACATGCAGCTCATCCTCGACCACTCCGCAGTCAGAAAGCCTGCAGGTACCTCAGCTCGCGGCCATTAGGCCTGTTAGCTTCCAGTTCCCAACAACCGAATCTCAAATGCATGAGCGCCCGATGCAATAGCCGAGGCAGCACGGCCCCGGTGTGAGCGAGCCCCGCCAATCGAGATCCCTTGCTAGGAGATGCTCTTATCCAGTCCGGATTCCGGCAAGCTTTAACCCCATCTGGTGACTCCGGCGGGAAAACCTCGTGGGTCGGCCAAAGGGTGTCAGCACACGCCCTCCTCGCATCAAGTCGCTTAGAGAAATCGCTCAGGATATCACCGATAAGCAGCTTCACGGTAGCATACTGAGCAACCAAATTCTCGCCCTGTAGGCCCTCAGGCCCGCGCTGGCCAGGAAGGCAAGGATGCTTCCTGACCACCAATCAGCAATACCCTCGACCGCTAGGCCCAGGTCTGAAACGAACGCTCGGTGGCACATTGCCCCGCCGGGCCTCTTCACCATGGAACTCCCAAACCTAAGAACACGGGTAGCACAATGGAACTGCTGTGTGTCATCTGGGGTAGCTTATCACGGTAGAGACAGATCATGGTGGGTTTCGTGCACCTACAACGGCTCGCATGAAAGTGTGCTGCTCCTTGACCATAGGATTGGTCATAGTGCTTTCAAAGTTCATATTGATGCACTTGATTAAGTAAGGGCCCGACACTTGTGGACCACACGAGAAGACGGCGGGACGGCAAGTATGTTGTATGGGCCCATGCAAAGCTTAGGCGCTTAGTAACCTTTTTGCCGCGGTGCATTGCGGCGAGGCCAAACGTGGCTCGCCTCCCCGCGGCGAATAGTTGCTTCGTGCAGGCAGTAAAACGCTGTCCCGGACCGCACTGCAGCCCGACCTTAGTACGGTACGGTCAACACGCGCAGCCTAGTCCCACCCAACGAAACCATTGCTGTCTCCATGAGCCGCTTGCGCTCGCACGTTGGTCACCAAGGATAGAAGCACTTCACACTTGTTAACAGTATTTGCCGCCATGCCAGTCGCCTGACAAGTGATGATCTAGAAAACCGAGCAAGCACTGTGCTCGCTCATGCCCGGTTGCCACTAGGGATGCATTATCGTCGAAATGCAGGTCAGTGGGCTCGCCCCCACCCAACAGTGACACACTAAGGCCTCGTAGGCCTGTCCAACACTGTGGACGGCGCAGGAGACATTTGGTGTCGTGTGTGCATCATTATAGTGGACAAACATACCTCAATCAGGCGTCTGAATCAGAGTGTAACACTTGAACGGCACCCCTGCGGCAAACCCACGGCCAATCGAAATTCGGGTCCAAGCCTGTCACCCATCTTCACGCGGGCCTTGACTCCTGTGCAGCTTGCTTTAAGAGATTCCAGGATGCCCTCCGCTGGCCCATGCTCAGCATTGAAGTGCCGCAGGGTAAACAAATGGTGGTGGTGCGGCGTGCCGAAGCCACTCCTACATCCCGCCTGGCTCGCAGTGTGGGTATTGATATCCTGGCAGAATCGGATAACCCGATGTGGGATTACTGTGGGACGGCTCACAGCGATACCCCGTCAATCATCATAGCAGGAGAGGCAGCTCCCTTCTTAATGACGGGGGAATGATGTGTTGGTACCCCTAAGTCTATGCTCCACTTGCTGATTTCTAGAAGGATATTCGTTCACATTCTACGCATGTCAAGATTATGCGGGGGCCCTTGTCTGGCCCCTCGCATGGCCCACAAAGCTGATATTCATCCATCGACGGCGAAGAGGCTATGAGAGCACCTGATTACATACCCGCACCGCGCGTGCGCGCAAGGAGTTCAACAATGGTAACAAAATGTAACAACGACCATGTATGCGCCCTGGCCAGCACCTTTTTCTCGAATGGATCTGCGCACGTTTGCTGTGTAATTAAGCTTTGGAATCCGCCGTTCCATCCGCCGTTCCATCCGATCTTGCGTTTCCAACGAGGTAGGTGTCAGGTTATCGTCTCGCGATTGGACAGCAGCAGCAGCAGCAGCAGTAGCAGCAGAAAAAGCGACCATTCTGCGGCAGCTCCTCCAAACAAACAGATTGAGGCAACAGACGGAGGCCAAGTAGTTGTCCGTCGCTGTCCGTCGCTATCCATCGCTGTCCGTGTGCGTGGCTCGCGCACGCATGTGACGTGTGTGTGGTGCGGGCGCGTCCATGAGGGTGTGTTCATTCAGTATGAAATTGTGTTAATAGTGTTGTTGCAAAACCTGGCATTCATGAGAAGCAGAATGCAGATTCCGATTACTGAAACTATGCCCCGTGTGCGTGTGTTTATGTGCGCATGGTAATGCTGCTAAGAACAGGCACATATTTGGTTACTGCTGCCACCATCAATGCCTTGGGTTGAATCCAAACGTTACATATCAAAAAGTTACGTACAAGAGATTCAAGAAGACCAGGATGGAAATGGGCCAGAGCGAGCTGGGTGGCATGAGCGGAGCACGGCCATACACAGGAAGCATGCATTCAACTTGCACGCACCCAGCCGACCCCCTGATGGGCCCCCTGTAATTTCAGGCGGCAAGCCCATAATGCGAAAAGGTCTAATGCAAGCAAGCGAGTCCAAGCAGACATAGCGGGCGAAAGTACATCACGCCATATCTGTACGACATTTCTTCATCAGCATGTGGGCTGACACGATGCGCAATATGTCGAAATTCGCTCAGATTTCCATGAAGCATACAGCAAAAAGTTATGCGATAAAATCCAGTTATGCAGTCGTTCGCAACTGGAACGTGAAAAGCAGCCAAGCGCAGCCAAGCCGGCCGGGTTGTGACCACAGCTAGCGACACTACTCACCGTGCGAGGTTGTCAACTTTCCATATAGCATGTACGACCTTCAAAACAATTAAGCGTGTGCATGTCGCCACCCGCAACGGCATGGAGACGACCGTCACACATGAAAGTGCATGTGACCGACGTAAAGCAGTTACATCGAGCATGTTCAGCCAGTGTCCACGTCACCTCTACTGTACGGAAACCAGCGCCGGCCCCAACGTAGGTTCAACACCAACGTCCCGAACAGGCCAAGCTAGGAAGCCGTCGCCGCGCACTACAGCTTAATGTATATGTAACAGAACTTAATGTATTAAACAAGAAGCTCGTTGCAGGTACGAGCGGAAGTGCAAACCGACCTAATATGGACATACGCGAATCCTGCGTTCCTAATAGTGTTTCCTAAAGTGGCTGTTGTCCAATGCAAGGAACGGGATGGGAGGTAGCTGCCAGGGGCTCCACGCCGAAGCAAACGCCTCACTTGACCAAGCAACCGAAACAAGCCCCATATTACCACTGTCGGGCCACGACACCATTCCTTAGGAGCCACGAGTTTCGCAGTCGAACCCAACCGGTCTCCCCGGCCCCCTGCAGTCCGCACGCGTGCAGTCACCTCTCGGTAGTCGCTTATTTTTATGCTCCGATTCACGCCCGTCCCACACCGCCAATGTCCCTTGCCGGTCTCCATGTGTGCCGACCACACGGCCCACACGGGAAACCATTCTACATGGATGGTTTAGGGGACGAATGGCGATCCAATTGACGCGTACATCGGGCAGCACTTCTTGGTTGGGTCAAAGATGTTAATGAAGCACGCGTTGGTGTAGGGACCCAGGCAGAAGTCGTTCAGGGAAGTGGTGCTGTCCAGCTCCATGCAGATCTCGGCACCGTTTGCCAGCTGCAATGTCCAGTCCAGCGGAGTAGCGCGCACCGTGTCCTCACCCACAGCGCCCCAAGTTGGGGAAAGGAAGGTGTAGCTGGCAGCTCCATTTGGCTTGACATAAAATCCCCTAAGGCTGCGGCGCAGGGCGTCGCTGGCCCAGAACTCCGCCTTCGAGAACGTGGTGGCGTTGGCGCAGGGACCCTGCGCACAAGAGGAAAGAAGTGATGGAGGCAATGGAGGTTCCACATAGGTGCTGTGGAAAAAGCAAGACGACAGGTTGCAATCGAAGGCGTGGAGGGAACAGTGCTACACGCCAGTGTTCCGGAGGCTATTGCGCATGCAGGCCTTCACGCAGCCGCCCAAAAATGCCAGGCCCCGGAGCGAGTTTGTTGGATTTTCGCAAGCATTGTTGGAAAGTCCGATAACATTTTCAAAGGGTAATTGCTCAAGGCAAGATAGATTGCTGGAGCCCATAGAGTCCGTGCGTGCTTGTATTCAGCGCCTCCCTACACAATCTCTTCGTCCTCCTCATTCATCTTTTTCGATCCTACTTTTGATAGCTGCATGCAAAACACCATGGGGCATGCTCCACGGCAGCGTAACCCCCCTTCGTATGTGCAGTAGCTGCCGTACAACACGGCACCCTGTTAGTTACTAAAACACGCTAAAACGCATTCTCAGCATCTCTAGAGGCCTTTTTCGGCGCCCAGTATGCACTGTAAACGTGGAAGACATTAATTTACTTGATCGCTTGCTGTCGCGCACTACACTGCAGGTCGCCAAACTGGGCTGGGTGGGGCAGCTGGTTAAAGCAGCGTGCATGTATATGTCTCCTCCCTTATCACGCTCCTTCCCGCTGTACACCATACACCCTGCACCATGCGCCATACTCACACCCAGACCCAGCCGTGCGGTAACGGTGTACCCCTATAGAATGGCATGCAGGATGTGTAAAACATACGCGAAACCCCTTGCTGTGAAGCGCCTCCGTTGAATGCCTTGAATGATCCTAATGGATAGACAACTAAGCTCGCTTGCGGCTGTAAGCTACCCGAAAAAAGGTACACTCACCACGGACGGCGAGATAACCGCGAATGTGAAGCAGTACTGGGTGCGCAGAGGCTTGCTTCCCGGCTTAGTCGTGTAGAAGGGGAAGGCAGCAAAAGGTGTCGTGCCCTGCTTGAACTCGCAGCTGCAGCCAGGACACGGATCGCCGAGGCGGTGGACGGGGGTCAAAAGAGGGCAGACGGATGTCAGTGCACAGCACGTCTGCCACACAATCGCAGATACCTTGCACGCAAAGACGACGTAATGGACGGGACAGCCGACCGCACATACGGGGCTGTGCAAGCCGGGCGACATGCTGTGGCGCTTGCTTGTCTTTAGCTAAACAATTGTAGGGGGGAGCCGTACGTGCGACAGATAGAGCACATTCATTCATACCCCACCGTCCGCTTGCCGTGGAAGCGGCCTCAATACCCCCATCCACCCTGTCTAACGTCTACGGTCAGCTTCATGGGGTGACCTCAAGGAGGATGGTACGACTGGTACGGAGTGAACTATGAGCATCAGGCTAGCGTCCAACAAGACATTGACGACGTGCCGCTAGTCCCTGAGCAGTTTGCTGGGTCAAGCAACAGCAACAAGTCGAGGGAGTTCCTCCTGATAGGCATGATGGCATGGAACTGCCCGCACATACCGTCCCTGATACCGCTTCCATGCAGCCAGCAATTATACTGTGCGGCCCGCATGGTAACTAATAAAGGCCGAGAGGCAGGTAACAAACAGCAATTTAGACGGAAAGCAAGCGCGGACTTCTGCACTCTCCATACGTGAATCCAAGCCTCCGGCAATAGTAAAGTCGTACCGAAGCATCTCACATGCATTTCGGGAAGTCGACGGGAGGCGGAGTCAAAGCGACACTTGTCGTAGCATCAGGGCAGATCATGGTGGATGTTTGAAGCAGTGACCGCCGTCTTGAGGTGGCTGTGCCTTCCAGGCTTGCGATTGTGACCGTAACCGTGTGGCCGATGAGGTAAGGCGGTGCCACGCCGCCGGGCACCACAAGATTGAGGAACTCAGCCACAAGCGCGTCAGCGTATGGGGCAACCAATGCGCCGTTGGCATCCCTGAACTTGCCGCAGATAGTGACATTGTTGCCTGTGCAAGTGTTCAGGGTAAAGTTCTTAAATATGCTTGCGTTAGCCGCGCTCGCTGTCTTCAGGAAGGCCGCGGACACATATTTGGCGTACGCATCGCATTGCGCCGGGGTGAAACTGTATGGAAATACTGCGGTGGGGCCTGCTACGAGTGAGAAAGTGACGCACGTGTCACAGGTGCGGAAGCCTGGAGTAATTGGTGGTGGAGGCGGTGGAGGCGGTGGCGGCGGAGGTAGGGAGGGGCAGCAATCATTGTTGGAGCTGAACAGCGCGGCCGAGCATGCGCCAGCGGGCGCCCCGGGGGGCGGAACGCACAGCTGCTCCAGGTTGGTGCAACCCTTGCCCGCGCGGTTAGTTCCCAGGGTGATGCAGATCTCCGCGCCATCAGCGGTGGTGAGGTTGAGGCCCAGCTGCGTGAGCTTCAGGACGGTGGAGCCGGGAAACCCTTGTGGTGCCAGCTCAAAGTTCGGGGCGATGGCCGTGGGAACACCATTCAAAGTGGCCGAGAGGACGACGCCAGGGGCGTTGCACGCCGCCTTGGCATCGATCTAAAACGGCGGTAAGGGTGCGAGGGCCATCCCGGGAGCATGGAGTCGGTAAAAAAGGGGATCGCCAGATATATGTGATGGGACAGCTAGGACCGCAAATACCATTTCAGGTAGATGTGGATGGATGATCGTGAAGAGCATTTGGAGGGCCCTATCCACAGTAGCAAAAGGTTTACAGATGCCATTTGCCGTGCAAGCTGTAATGCTCATTTATCCTTCGAGGCCTATAGTATGAAACTCAAGCTGCAATACGCATGCCAAAAGCGCGGATAATGAACACTTCCTGTCCATGGAATGCGAAAATCCTAAAGACCTAGGTGAGCTACGGGACCAGTTGGCATAGTTCCTGAGGCACCTCGCAAGAAGTGCAGGATCCTATCGTCACAGAAATAAGAACGTGAAACAAGGGCACGAAAGTCAGTGTCTTATCCGAAAAGTAATACTGCCTGACAACCATGCTAGGCAGTTGTTCCTGTGTTAATACTAGAACCCCGGATCGGCTCCTCTTATGAGAGGAACCTTAGCAGACTGATTGAGCAGGACGTAGTCCGGAGTTTAGGGACCACTGACTTTCGTAATCTTTGAAAAACAGCCAAAGTCTTGAGATGCATTACAATACAGGATGGAATTCAGCATCTGATATGTTCACATTTTCCCAACAGTGTATATACAGCTATTGCTGGGTCGCCGAGGAAGCTATAAGCAGGCATGTTCATCGACGTACCTCAAGCTTCTTCGCGTCGGCCTTTAAGCAGCAGTAATCTGTGCAGTTGGTCGGAAGGAGAACCTTTACTGTGGTGCAGTAAGTGTTCGTAGTGCCCTTGCGGATGAAAGGTGACAGGGTGTAAGCTGCAGGGTACTTCTGGCACTGGCAGTAGGGAAACTCCCTGAATTGGTTCGTTTGTGCCGCACGCAGCCCAAGATCCTGGCCGAACGCCGTAGCCCTACGTCACGGAGAACAGAAGCCAAGGTCAGGGGGGCCGGCACTTCGACCAAGCATGTTCGACGATTCGCCAACTCCCGGCAAGACAGAGAAATCGCAAAGTCGCTGGCAGACGATAATGATATGCCTTGGGAAATGATACAGATTCTGACATAACAAACGCGTCTGGTGGTGGGAATTTCTGTGTGAGCTGTGAGACGCCCGGCTTTAACAGGCATGAGGTTCTTGCTATCAGGCGACCCAGTATCTAATGTAGTGACATCCATGAATGCACAAGATTGATATGTATGGAAGGCATAAATCAGAACGTGCAAAAGCTCCACACTTACAAGGATAGGAGGGTCAGTGCTATGACTGTCTTCATTTTGCTTGTCTTTCAAGTACTTGTGAGAAATGGTTCGGAAGCAAGTTATATTTGTGGCTAATTGTTCGATTGCCAATGCCGGCGTTTGGCGAACAGTTGGATCCTTGCGTGGTTGAACTGTACTGAAAATCAGGGTTCACTTGGGCGGCGCTTGTAACGGTGGGCCTTCCAAAAAACCAAATTAAATAACAATTTTATAAAATACAAGCATCTGATAGATTGTTGGGTTGCGCGCACAACTCTTGTCGAATAAGGTCGATTGCTATAGTATCGTCGTCCTTGCCTGTTTGCATGGTTACATTTTTACTTCCCAGAATCCTGGAATAAAAACACCTTTGTCAGGATGGCAGTGAGCTGCATAAGCTAATTTAAACAGGTCCTCATTGTTCGACCATCGCTAGAGAATCAGATTTCCTGAAACTGCAAGATGGAATACGTAACGTGTCACTGCTTGCCAATGATACATGGCTGCCCCCGATGGGCGTAGCTGGTAATGGTGACCCTTTGGCAAAGGTTTTTTTTATGTGTTTTGGCACGTGTAATGAGTGCTGCGAAAAGTGTGGCGTTAAAGCGGCATTGGCATTCAGAGTATTGACGCGAATTCGGGTAGAGGCTCATGCATGCATGCATATGGTTGCGCTGCCCATTCGAACTTGCTTTGCTAACAGATGCGAAGCGCTTACGATGGAGCAGTTAGGGCCAGCATTCACCTTTTCTTTCCTAGTAGAAGCTTTGGTACTTAGCTCTTAGCGCCCCGTAACGAGTCACTTGACATGCACGGCACTAAATATGTATGCCCCGCTACCGTACTTGTTCCATCCTAATAGCACGGCACGATGCACGGCAAACACGTCTACTGAAGCCTGCCTGTTTGAGGTTTTATGCATATCTCTACGTCTAGGAAGTCGATGCGTGGGGGAATGGTCAGAGCCGGGTAGGATTTGATTAACGGCCAGCCCAGTCTTACCTCCCCTGGGCTCTGGACACCGGAGACAGACTGAAGAGCTAAGCATAAAACGCACGTTCACACCCTGAAGACGGGACTACAAAAGCTCAGGTACAAATTTTGAACATACGATTTGGAAAAATTGAAATGCATTTCACAGAGGGCATGGGAAGACGTAAGAACCCAGCGGTAGGACGCGCGCCCATTATATGACAGGACTACAGTGTCCATTGCGAATGGCACTGACATCCATTTAATTTTTTCAATAAAAACGTTTTCCGATCAGAACGAAGAGTGGACGGAATAATTAGCTGGCTGGGTGCAACAAGTGTCACAGTCACGAGGCGGAGGGTTACGTGGTGGGCGGCCGAAGGGGCGGCACGGTGGGCGACGCCGCCGCGCCGAGGATATCGCTTGGCCGGCGGGCGAGCAAGAAGTCAGGGCGGCGAAGGCGCAATGAATCCGCAACTACGAACTCAAACCTCCAATGGAAATCTAACTCTTAAGGTTGTTTTCTTTGTAATTGGCTTCGTCTTTGTTTGCAATGTACGGGCTGAAAAGTGTTATCCCGTTCTCGTGCATTTTTCTGGTCCATATAGTTTGGATATAGTTTTGCTTTGCCATATTCAGCAATCGGTTCTAATGTGGAAATGATAAGGCTAGACAGTATAGCAAATCAGGCACCACAAATTATAGGGGATTCACGAACCAACCTATAAATGCATTTGTATCCTTTTGGTGCTGTTTTCTACAGCTTTATTTTGTTCAATATAGTTGGCATATCCGCCACGTGTTCGGTTTAGCCCCGGCATACAAAGCTGTTTACATAGAGCGCTTTAGGAAAATGCCCCATTCATACACGGATTTTGTAAATAGGTTCGTCCATTAAGTCAGCATGATTAGCATGGTGGGCGACTTCTACATTATGTGCCTCCTAAGCCGCCGATGGGTGAAGCGAGCCCGTGCGCAACTGAGCGCACCAGCTGCCGACGCATATAAGTACATCACCTTCATATTTTACATTGGATGACAGGCTGGGTGATGCACTCGCGCATGCATCTCGTGCGTGACAACTGCAGCTCAATTCGCAAATGCATACGGTATAGTCCCTGTTGGGCGTAGCCTTCTGATTTGACCTTCTCAAACTGAAGGAACTCGTTGACGGATGGTAAAAGCGCGTCTTGGCGGTTAGGAGGCGAAATGGCAAGGGGGACCGACTGGCTGCACGTTCGCGCTCTGTTGCCCATCTGATCTCAGGCGCCGAAACGTATAGCAGCGAAACACCCTACGGCTGCTCAATGGGCCACACGCCGTCCGAGCGGGCAGGCAGAGACCCAAGACGTTCTGCCCATGCGGCGCGACAGCGGCCTGCTGCGTGTCCATTGGCCGACGGCGTGGGAATACGATGCGCGATACAAATGTGCAGGGCTTCTCAAACCACCACCATCTCGCAACCATTTCCGCTAGCTTGACAATGCGCCGTACTTTCAGTCCTGAGCCTTCCCTTTGGTTGCGGTTTTGGCTGTCTAATTGACTTGCGTTGTCACATCTGGGTGGCATTCTAGTTTGTATAATAGTCTCTAGTGCAGTGTACGGCCAACTGGCCCGCTGGCCCTACTCTTCGTGAGTCTGGAGCCCACTGCAACAACCACATACACACACAAGCAGGATACAATCCGAAATTTTAGAAATTGCTAACCCTCTGCCGGGTTTTGCGGAAATTCAGCACATGAGACTACAGCTCGCTTCCATTTAAGGCAATACAGCCTACCGCGGCTGGTTCACCAGTTAGCCATTTGACGCGGAGCAACGGCTGTTAAAAACCTTGGTTGGGTGAACGAGCTTCTACACCGCATTACAGGGAAGCAGCATCCGGGCGTGGTTCTCAGCCACCAGGTTTCGATACCCCGAGGAGGGGTCCCCCCGCTGCTCCGGTACCCTGAGCGGCTGCTTCACATGCATATGGCCCCGTTGTGTCTCTTAAGCTCTTGGCATGCGTGGATTGCACACACGCACCTGCTACTGAGGTGCCAGAAGAGCCGAACATCAGCACAAGGGCAACGATTGATGTATCTGAACACTGACTGGGAAAGCCGTTTCATTACAAGTTAAGGCATCCAAATTCCGGGCCGCCTACTGTTAGGAGGTCAGTTCCCCGTTATGTATCCCCAGTTGATGGCGTCAGCACGACAGCCGCCCCAGGCACCTAGGAGAGGCTGCCCAATGCGGTGATACGACATGTTGGCTACTATCGCAGAAACAATTGAGAAATAATCAGCATGGCCTGGTGGGAATGTTGTGTGGGGTGTTCCGACCCACGGGTCGTGACCGCCAGCGAAGAGATCCACACATACACGTTGCGTTATGTGTCCGCACATGAGAGAGTTACCTAACATTGGGATACCACCATCAACTGACAACCTCCAGCCCGTTTCTGTAAACTTCCAACCTAACCTATTGATCACCCAACATAACGATGCCCTCCATGGATGACTACCGCGGGCTTCGGGCGTGTCCGGCCAGCTAGGCATGGCAGCATGCTGCCACGGCTCTGGTATGTTAGAGAAGAACGCTTAAATCGTCTTTAAGCAGCGTTTGACTTTCCGAACCCCAAGGAAAAGTTTGGCGTGTGGCGTGGTTGGACTAAGGTACATGTTCACTTATTCCTTCCATCTCCGTAATCCCCTTTCCGCAACCCCTCGTCGATGTAGGCGCCAGTTGGCGAGACGGAACGCCAGCGATGTATGCAATCTGCTCTTCCTGGGTTCCCATAGATTACATGGCGGATAGAGCCCTGTCTTAGAAGTGTGCGCGCGTTGGCATATGCCGTGTGGGCGCACCGCGCACTTTTTGGCCCCTCAGAACGCGCTATACTCCGCTCTACCTCGTAACGTAATATGATCTTTGTACAAGATGAAAATGGATGAAATTACCGGTATGCATTGGAGGCTCTGCCTAGAGGAAATATCTTGCCTGGTGGCTTTGACAGGACATCAGCGGCACACAGTCACGGCGAGTCACGGCGTATCACGGGTTCCAACGTTGGACAGTTGCTATGGAAGTTTGAAGCCTTCCTCAAAGGTTCCCTCTATCGTAATTACACAGTAAACGCGGTTCTCGTCTTGGACTGCGCCAGGTAGATAGGCCGCGTTCAGGAAGGATAACAGCTTAATCTTCCAGCGCGCTTCCCTTCTGACCGTTACGTCTTTCGGCTAGTGTGGAAGGCATGCAACTATTCGTAGACGCAGAGGGGCTCCAAGTCGGAGCTAGGTCACGCTAGTCCTGCAGCCTGCAGGAGGGTCCCCGGACAGGAAGCGCTCTGGATGGGCAGCTGCAGCACCAAGCTGCGTAATATTTTCCAGATGGCGCAAAAGCCTGAGGGCCCTCTGGGCAAAAACACATATCGCCACCAAAGTTCACATTCTCAGTCGCCAAAGGTATGAAAGTAGCTTTACCAATCTCGCATCCTCTCTACTTATAGTGTATGCTATCGTTTCACCACCTGCGGTATGTCTCACTCTCTCTCCCGTCCGGCACACGCCCTTTGCCAGCAGCCGCGCGCAACGACACACTTCTTTTCCGCGCTGGGGCGTGTGCGCCCCAGCTACTGCCCAGCTACTGCCCAGCTACTGCCTAGCTACTGTGCGGCACGCACCGCGTGTGTTTCGTTGCACAACTCTTTCCCCCGTCCCCCTCACCAAACTGTTCCTGAAGTGCGCAATTCCATGTGGCACCCACGCGCACCCAGCAGGCGCCAAAAAGTACTGTTGAAGCTCGCGACAACGGGTTGTGCGGCGCACGGCTGGACAGCCCAGGGCCGCAAAACCCGTCCACAGCTGCGGCCGCTGCTGCGCCTTTGCACCCTCCCAGCGATTTCTACTGCAGCTCTGGGATTGAGCAATTGAGTGCCACACGTAGTAGGTCTGTGGAGCGCCACAAGTCTCCGACTCCGACCATGTACGACGATCCGGCGGCGCAGCAACGACGGCAGGATTGTGTGCCGAAGCATCATTCGGACCTGTCGGCGGACGCTATTTCCTTGCATCATCCGGTATTTCGTTCTGGTGGCCTAAGGGCCGGGTTGGCTGGTTCGCAACCGCCCCAGCAACCGCCCCAGCAACCGCCCCAGCAGCCGCCGCAGCAGCCGCCCCAGCAACCGCCCCAGCAACCGCCGCAGCAACCGCAGCAGCAACCGCCGCAGCAGCCGCCGCAGCAGCAGCCGCAGCAGCCGCCGCAGCCGCCGCAGCAGCCGCCGCAGCAGCCGCAGCAGCTGCCACCAGTGGACTCACGGCGCGCACCTGGCCGTGGCCTCGCTGACTTTGGCCAGGTAGGGGCCGCTAACCCAGCCCAGGTGCAGGCCAATGCCCCATGTCTCTCGGAGACCCACCTGCTGCCGCCAGCGGCCCCGTCGTCGCCCCAGCAGCGGCAGCAGCAGCAGCTGTCTCAGCAGCAGCAGCAACCACCCCTTGATACACCGCCAGGTTGCCACACGCAACTGCTGACTACTGGTCCACAAACCCCTCAACAGCAACCGCAGCAGCAGCACCACCACCACAACCACTACAACCAGCAGCAGCAGCATTTAGAGCTACGGAGCAGCAGCAGTGAATTTGCTCCTACGAGCCATGAGCTTATAGGCTCTCTAAGGTCTTGGACGCCTTCATCGACATCCTCAAGTTCCGTGGAGCGTGATAGCGGCGGCTGCGACTCCAGCCTTCGCGGCAACGGCGATGGCGGCGGCAGCGGCGGCGGCGGCAGCGGTGCTGACGTCGCCGTGATGGCTGCGGGTGCCGCTGCCGTTAAGCCTGTCCTCTCCGCTCCTGACACCCAGCTCATATCCAGGAATGCAGGCCTTCAGCAGCCGCATTCGGCCACGCAGGCTGCTGCTGCTGCTGCTACGGCGACGGCGGCGGCGGCGGCCTCCGCCGTACTTGGTGCCACCTCGTCCCTCCAGGGAGATGAGCGCGAGCGCGTTTGCACTGCTGCAATCGGAGAGCAGTTCGCGGCGGCTGTGGGGGCGGGGGTCTCCGGAGAACCTTCCATGGCCCAGCGCCATCGAGGCTCAACAGCCGTGATATCCCGGGGCAGCATCGGGGTGTTCGAGGGCACGGCGGGAGGGTCGGCCGGAGGTGGCACGGCGGACGTGTATGCGCCGTACATCCCATCCTGGCAGCTTCCTGTTGCCACAGCAGGAGCAGCAGTACCCGGGCAAAGAGAAGCAGTGGCTGGTGATACCCAGCTCGCGGCGTTGCAGGCGCGAGGCAGTCTTGCACTGTTGGCTAGTGGCGGCTCAGTCGCCGGGGTTGGGAGGTGTACGGACATGGGCGTCAGCGCGTCGCCTCCAGAAGGGCAGCGCCCGCAATCACCGCCGCCGCCGCCGCTAGTGAAGCTAGAGGACGAACTCGAATTGCGTTCGCAGCCGTGCATCGCAGACGAGTCATCTGGTGCCGGTCATCTGGCAGCCAGTGGGACGGTACCACAGGCCCACGGGTCACAATACGCCACTACTGGGACACAGCCGCGGCCAATCCAGACGTCGCCGCCTCCGAGTGTGCTCGCCGCCCGGGACTTCCGAGGTCTTGTGCCGTCGCCGGCGGCACTGAGCATTCCCGGCACCTTGGTAACCGATCTGGTAGGAGATGAAGCCGTAACGGATACGGCTGCAGGTATTACAGCAACGGCCGCGGCCGCGGCCGAGACCGCAGTCGCCGCCAGCCTCGCCGGCTGTTGTACAGATGGAGGCAATGGAGACGAAGGCGATGGGCGGAAAGCTTGCAGCGGCGGCAAGGGGACTGACCTACCTGCTACCGGTACGACAACTAGGAGCGTGTCGTCGTCCACAACTCCAGGGCGGGTGGTGGAGGAAGCTGGGTACGATGGCCCTGCTGGCGGCGGCGGCGGCGGCGGCGGCGCAAGCCGCAGCAGCATTGATGGTGGCAGCCAATTTCAGCCGGGTTTCAAACCGCCGGCATCCGTTGAGCCTTTGAGCGCGGGCCGGGATGTTGTGGGGGCAACCGCAGAGGATGAGGTGCTCCCTGGCGATCCCGTGTTCGATGGCGCCAACCGCAGCGGCAACCGCACAAACGGAGGTAGGGCGTCTGACGGCGCGCCGGCGGTCGTCCTGTCTCTAGAGGGCGTCTGTAGCGGTGCCCTGGCCCCTTCATCACTGACTCACGACGAACCAGCGACTGAGGCCGCCACCACCACCACCACCACCACCACTGCCACCGCCACTGCCACTGCGACGACCGCAACCCCTGCTACCGCTGTTGCTGATACTGCTGCTGCGTCTCCAAATGTCGTACCGCAGTCAGGGTCGCAGCGGCAGCGCGACGAGCACCTGCAGGGACTACAGCAACAACACCATTGGCAGCAGCAGCAGCAGCAGCAGCAACAACAACAACAACAACAGACGCACCAGCTGCACCAGCAGCCGCACAACAGGACGTTAGCGGTCACGAGTTCAGTGCCAACCTCGCCGCCTAGCGGCGGCTTGGTCCAAAGCAGTACCGTGGAGGGTACGACTGATAGGACTCGTATGACTGGTACGACTGGTACGACTGGTACGGCGTTTACGGGGTCGGCGGATGCTCAGGGCGGCTATGCGAACATTCCTGAAGGCGCGGAGGGAACTCACTCCGAAAGCCGTGCTGCTGTTGGAGCGCCAAGTGGACGCCGTCACGGGAGCTGCGGCCACTTCGATGACCTGGCCTCAATCGCACAGTACGAGCAGGATCGGGTTAACGGCGGTGCTGTACAATCGCTGCCGTCGGTGCCGGCGCCGCCGCCGCCGGCGATCATGCAACAGCCAGGTGATCGTTCTTTGTGGTACCCGCATCAGCTGCTACGGCAGCAGTCCGTGCGGCAGTCGGCGCGGCAGCTCTTGCCGGCCCCCCGGGAGCAGTCGTCGCTGCCGTCTCCGCAGGAGCGTATGCAACGGTGTCAGCAGCAACAGGGCCCACAGCAGCCACAGTCGCAGTCCCAGCTGCAGCAGCAGGTGCTTATCTCTAATCAGAGGGAGCAGCCGCAATTACAGCCGCAGGTACAACCGCAGAGGCGGCAGCAGCAGCAGCAGCCACAGGGGAATCAGGGGAGGGGGACAGGGATAGGAGGATTCCTGAAATCCGCCTTTACCTCCATCACAGAGTTCCTGTCCGGAGGCCGCAAGGCCGGAAATGCGTCAGATTCCCCGCACGACTCGGCCCACTACCATACGCCAAGTCAGCAGGCAGGTTCTGGACCCCATCGTGTCGTCGAAATGGGTGGTCCTGAGGGCGATCTGGCGGCGGCGGCAGACCGCCTTACAGCTGGGCTGACCGGCGACGGCATCGTACATGTCGTACATGCCGCCGCCGTCGCGGCCCTGAGCAGTCTGTCGGTGCCGTCGGCAGCCGCGCCGGCGTGGCAATACGCAGCTGGTGCAGTGGGCGCTGCGTCACCGTCGGGTCCGTTCACTTCGCAACCGCCGGGGGGGATGCCGGTGTCGGCAGGCCACCCGGGGCTCGAGTCCCCGCGAGCCCAGGTCCGGAAGCTCCAGGATATCGAGAAGCGGCTTCGCCAAATGGAAGCGGATCTCTCAGCCGCCAATCGGCAGACCCAGACGGCACAGCGGGATAAGCTTAGGGTCATCGAGAATTGCGACCAATTGGAGGATCACGTGCGTCAGGTAGGTCATTTGATGAGCGGAAATTACTGTATATCTGTGTGGGGGGGAGGTTGTGTGTGTATGTGTGGCTGTTAGGCTGGGCGCATGGCTGGGCTTTCAGTGCCGCGAACGGCGGAAGCGGTTAGGAGGAGCGACATCAGCAACAACGGCAGTAGCAGCAGTACGGTGTTCGGTGTACGGCACACGGTGGACGATGCGGCTGTCACGAAAAGCGATTTTACTTATACTACAGGTGAAGCGGTCCATCCTGATATTGTGGACGGGTCCCCGCTCCCCGGTTGGGTCCCCGCACCGCGAATGGTTTGCCCGTTCCTTTCGACTGCGCCATCAGCCAACACGGCCCGTACCTGGGTGTGTGTGTGTGTGGGGGGGTAACACCCGTCGCCCGCTGGATACCGCTGGACATGCAACACCCTCCGCACTGCCGTAATATCCTCTCCCACCTCCCCGGATGCAAAGGCGAACACCTGGAGGACTTCTTTCATAGGCATGTTTTGCTGTCGGGGCGCTCATCAAGGCAGCATCACATCACATCACATCACATCACATGTGCCTTCCTCTCGCTTGCTCTCCCCTCGCTCGCTGCCGTGGCTGAGCTGCAAGGCATCCATCTCCCGGCCTTCCCTGGCAAAACCCCCTCCCGCGCCCCCCCCTCCCGCGCCCCTCCCTCCCGCGCCCCCCTCGCCTGCTCTGCCCGCTCACGCACAGCTAAAGGACCTGGTGAGGAATCAGGAGCAGCAGATTACGCAGCTCCGGAACCAGTCGACTCGTGTAACGGCTTCGGAGCGGAGGTTGCAGGTAGGGGTAGGGAGCACCTCACAGTTCCCCAGATCGCCCGGGCGTTCAGTTTTTGTTTTGGGGGGGGGGCGCCGTTGGTGTTTGGCAACTGCCTGGGTTGGCTCATCCACCACGCCGGAACGTGACAAAATGGGTTCGCAGACCTCGGGTAACATGTATTTTGTGTGTAATATATTCTGGCTGACGATCTGAGCGAAGCGAGGGGAGGGGAGTGTATGGAGACTGTGTGTTAGGCCGAGAGCCCAACGGAGTCGGCTGCGAAGTACATACATCTACATATCTTATAAGATATGATAAAATGTATAGTACATACATGTACATATTTATAAGATATGATAACATATATAATCTCCCACCCACCCACCCACCCCACCCGCACTCGGCCCCCGTTCACGCGTCCGCCCATCCTCGCAATCAGGGCGAAGTGCAACTGCTGCAGCGGCAAAACCAGGTGGGAGGTGACGACGAGGAGGGGATGATTGGGTCGGGTTGGGGTCGCGTGAACCTTTTATGCTGATGTATGATGTGTGAAACAGGGGGGTGTATCTGCGCCCGTGGCAGCCACCCTGCGAAACCCGGCTTCCCCGGTAATCGAGGCACCCTCATCCAGTCACTCTAGTCAACTTCATAGTGGAACGCTCAGGCTCCGCACCCACCACCAGCGTCCAACGGAATCTTCCGGGTCGACAGCGGCCCAACTCCGTTCCTGGTCGGCTCACAGGTTACCAATATCACAGGTCACCACCGTCCTTCAAACTAGAGGCGCAATGCCTTCCACCGTTGGAAGAACTTTTGACCCTTACGGGTATCGATCCCGGGATCTCCCGGGGGCAATGGTCGCGCCTTACCAGTGGTGCCAAACCCTTGTATGTATGTATGTATGTATGTAAATCATTTGTGTGTGTGTGTGAGGACCCACTAACTTTTACCCACTAATTTCATACCTACCTACTTATCTTCCCACCCACTAAATGTCAATATCAACCCGGTTTCCCAGCCACCAACTTCCGCACCGGACTCGCCGGATGATGCGATCAAAAGGCTGTAACTATAACACGGGAAAAGCGCTGCTCCCTCCTCGCGTTCCCCGTGGTTAAATACCGGGGAAGTATTTTTCCAACATTAACAGCACAATTTGTTTGATATTATTTTCCAGATTTTTGTTTTCCCACAATTCTTCAGTCGCTAAGTACCGACCGACCTGCCTGACCACCCCTTGGTGATCCGTGCCGTACACACATCACATTTACGGCACGATAGGAAATAAGATCTCAGCACACCAGTGTACTTCGCAAGTTGCACGCCGTACAGCAGGAAGTGACCGCACTCCTGGACGAGCGGGACGAGCTGCAGGAGCGATGCAGCGAGCTGGTGAGTGTGCGCCGTACGGCACGTGTACGCATCCAATAAAAATGGACATCATGTCGTACATACATCCGAAGCATGCAGCGCGAACGAACGAACGTGTATGGGTGTATTAGAGGACGCGTGCCCGTGTCACAAGTGTTTTTGGCTGGGCAAACGGCCAGGCGGGCAGAGGAAGGGAGGAGAGAGGCAGGGCGGATGTATTTACTGATGTATAATCCGCCGAGCGCGCGAGTAGAGGCATCAGCATCACACATCGCTATACAATGTGCAGCGGCAATGAAAGCAGGTGCTGTGCCTTTCCGCTTGTCCTGGTTCTCTCTGCGCTTTACATCCACCACTATTATTACTGCTCTGCTGTACAGCATTGGTGGCCGCGGCCCCGGTACGGCAGATCACATCGCTTATCTCCCTTGCACGAGACAACGGCACGCCCCATCATGCCGTACTCGTGTACTGCAGACCGGCAATGTGGATGACCTCCATGTACAGCTGTCCCTTCTGGAGCATCAGCTGAAACAACAGGAGGAGGAGGAGCGGGGGAGGATGGGCTCAGCTGTACAAAAAGGGGGAGGGGGGGCTATAGGCGGCGGCGGCGGCGGTGGCGGTAGTTTCCAACTGAACCGCCCCGACCTAGGTTACCGCGCGCCAACAGCGCCGCCACCGCCGGTTCTTTGGCTCGATGCATCACGTCTGCGGGTGGGGGCAGATCAGGAAATTGGTTTCGGAGTTTCGGAGCTGAAGAAGCACCTGTACGATCTTGCTTTGAACCTGGAAGATATGGTAGGTGGCGATGGCGGCGATGGTGGCAGTCGGGCGGTGCCTGATCAGGCAACGGAAGAGAGACGTACTAGTACTATAGTACTAGCCAGTACTAGTATTGGGCGTAACTCTCATATTTCTGTATCGGAACACATTTTGTGAATTGTTACCTTTTATCATCATATTCCATCTATCATAAATTCAAAACATTGTAAAGGAAAAACTTTTGCTATGTAGGAATTAGTAAACGTTTTACATGCAGACAAAAGAGACGCCGCATGGCACTGCCACTTTTTGGACCTCCAGCGCGATCCGCCGGAACATGTTTTTATTTGTTAGTTATATCTTTCCACACGTAGCTTAGCGCTGTTGTGTTAAGATCGCTACCACGACCACGACCACGACCTCGCACCCGCGCGCAGGTCACTATGCAGGTACAGATACCTCGCGGCGATGTCCGCGGCCGCCTAATCGGCCACCAGCTCCTGCTCTGGCTGCTGCGGGAACTTTGGTCCGACACTACCGGACTGATCTGCCGCGCGGGGCTAGGACAGGGCGCGCTTCGGGTACGGCATGGTACGGCGACGGCGACGGCGGCGGTGCCATCGCAGAGAGGCGACCCACGGGTCATTGCGGAGTCCGCTCCTGGGTCCTGGCACTTGGGGCCGCTGCCACTGCTTCCCGAGGAGCGGAACCTGCAGTCGCTGCTCCGAAGCCACGCCGCCAGGCGATGGTATGACGTCGTACGGGACGTGGCGGCTCAGGAGCAGGCGAGTACGGCAAGCGGCGGGAGCGGTCCCGTGCAGTTGAGGCTTAACGGTGGCGGCAACGGGAACACGGCTGTCGCAACGGAGGCGGAGGCGGCTGTACGTCACGTTGTGGACTTCGTTGCATCAAGTCTTCAAGATGTCGTGACGGAGGCGGCGAAGGGGCTGTGCGGGGTACGGCAGCCGCTGCAGGCGCCGTCGACGGCAGCAGCAGTTCGCATCTTGCGGGTCCTGTCGTACAATGCTGTCCTGGTTGGTCTATTCGTGCCCGCGGCGCATCCCTTGCTGCGGCTGGCGGTATCGCCGGCGGCGGACCCGGCGGCGGCGGCGGCCGCAGCTGCTGCCACCGTCAGCGCCGCCGCTGCCGCCAGTTCCGTAGGGCTTAGGGCGTGTCCGAAGATTGCAAACGACCAGTCCTCCACAGGGATTGAGAACGGGGCTCGTTTTGACCCGAGCTTTCAAATCAATGCAAAAATGCTTTCCCTTTCCCTGCCGCCACCGCCGCCGCCACCGCCGCAGCCGCAGCCGCCGCACCAGCAGCAGCTCCTCAGTAGCCATGGCCGGCCCAGCGAGGCCCAGGATCACGCGGCAAGGCAGCCACACGTGCTGTGCTGCGTAAAGCCCGGCGCAGTGTACGACGACGTGATGGCGGGTCGCGCTGTCTGTGCGGTTCAGGAGGAAGTGCTGACGTGGACGAGCGCGCCTCCGACCGCTGTAACGGCTGCCGTACCAGCGACAGCAGCAGCCGCATCAAACGCGGAGCTGCTTAGTACTCAGCAGGCGGCGGCTGAGGGCAAGGTAGCTGTCGTGGCAAATATGGCGGTCACAAGCGTGTGTGCCGGCGGCAGCGAGGCTACGGGAGAAGCATCAGTAGCATCAGTAACAGAAGTAAAAATGGCGGCGCGGAAGACAGTGATTAAGACGGGTGTCGGAAAGCACCCAGCGGCAGCGGTTGACAGCAGTCAGACAGGCGTGGACGAAACCGGAGCGGCGGCGGCGGCGGCGGCAGCGGCGGCGTCCTCGACGGTGGACGCCAAGCCGCCGTCGCCGTCGTCGTCATTGATGGCAGTCTCGGCTGGCGGCGGCGGCAGGCAGCCAGCAGCTGCTACAGCCCCGACAGCGGCGCCGACACGGGGTGCAGCAGGCGGTGCTGCCGACGAGAAAGCGGCCCATGCGCTTTCGCACGTGAACGACCTGTCGACAGCGGGTACGGCAACCGCGGCACTGGTTTCGGCTCAGAGGGCCCCGACAGCCGCGTCTCTTTCACAGATGGGGCCCACGACGACGCGGCCGGCGGCCTCCGCCGCGCCTGCCACAGCAGCGGCAACGCCCACCACCACCACCACTACCACCACCATTACCACCACCACCACCATCGCGTATAATGCCCCTGCAAACCAGCAGTTCGTCACACTGGCACAGGTCCCGCAGCCTAACGTCCCGGACTCCCAGACCGCCAAGCCCGGAGGCGAGTCACCGGGGTCACCGGGGGCGCCTCCTCCCGCTACTGCGACACAGCCCCCAGCGCCGCCGCACACGCCGCCTCGAACCAGCAAGCAAGCTGAGAACAGGTCCGGACCTTCCGGAGTCCCGCCGCCGTCGGCCCCGCCGCCGCCACCGCTGCCGCCGCCGTCGCCGCCAGCGGTGTATGTGTCACCAGGGACCACTGCCGCCACCGCCAATATCCCCGCCGGCAGCCATTCTGGGCCTGCGATGCGGAGTTATGCCACCGTCGCGGCTGCTGCCCCTGCCAAGCCCACGGCGGGCCGGATGCCGTCGCCGTCGTCGTCGTCGTCGTCGTCGCCTTCGGGCACCGCATGCCCGGCAGCCCCGCCGCCAGGGAACACCTCTACGGGCGCCGCGACTGCTGCTGTGCACGCGCAGCAGGGGCGATGCGGGCTCGCGTCCTTTATAACCAACACCACCAACACCACCAACACCACCACCACCACCACCACCACCAACAACAACAACAAAAGTGACAGCTATGCCAGCATTGCCAAGCGTAACCTGGACGACGGGCAGGCTGCCGGTAAGGATGCCGAGATAAAGGATGCGGCGTCGGCTAGCAACGGCAATAATAGTTGCAGCGGCGACAGCAACTATAGCAACAATAGCGATGGCGACTGGTTTAAAGTCGCCTTCGAAAGCGAAAGTCACAAGAAAGCCCGTAACCCGGTAGGCGTGGATAGGCAGGGTGGTACAAGGAGTGATCGCGGTGGCGGTGGCGGTGGCGGTGGTGGCGGCGGCGGCGGCGGCAGTCATGATGGTCATGGTCGCAAAGGCAGGCAACGGTGACGGCAGTGACAACGTGGGCAGCGACTGGGACTGGGGCACTGGGGCCTTACGGGTGCACTCCGTGTGCACAGCTCAGATCTATTCCGCCTCGCGCGTGAGGAGAAGGAGGGAGTAAGGGGAAAGGGGGTGAGGAACAGGGGAACGAACGGGGAAGCTGGCGATTGAGGGGTCGGTAAGAAGGCAGGATGAAGGCGCAAAGCCTGGAAGATGGTTCAACGTGCAGGTTATGCGAATGCGGGCGGTACGTTGAGGACGACGTGAAGAGCATTGACGGCAGCGGCACGCAGGCGAGGGGTGGCCAGGAGCGGAAATAGCAACAGTTGCGCAACCTGTACGTACTCGAGACTGAAGCGCATAAATTTTCATGGAGTATATGATTGGCCATGCAAGCGGTTGCTTTGTTAGCGTTGATGGGTTGTGTGCTGGATGTCGTCTGTTGTGTAAAGGCGCGCAATACGCATGCAGACGTGGGCAGAAGAAAAAGCTGACTTCAATTTTTGGCTTGTTAGCTGAAATCAAGTCGAAGGGAACTGGGGGAAGAGCACTACAAGGGATATTCCCTCGTTATAGGTCCAGATGGAAAATGTTTTACGTGTGCACCGTTGGGAGGTTTGCACTGGCGTGGATCCGAGGCCTCCATTACCAAAGACTTTTGTCGAGCATTAATGAAGAAATGTACTCGCCATGGATTAAGCCAGATCTCGCACAGAAGCCTTTTCATAGCAAACGGCTGGTCCTTTGCAAGTGGAAATTAGGAAACCCTAGTTGATTGGTGTGCAACATTCGGCAGGGGCTTTTGGTTTGCAGAGAGTTGTTGCTGACAGATTCCTGTTGAAATCAATTGTGGGAAGTCTTATGAATTCTTTGGGGAATTAGGGCTTCCGGCCATTTACGTAAGGACTCCGCTTACGTACTCCTGACGAAACTGGGGTTGCCATTTTATCATAGATGCTTATATTAGATCGCTCAAGTTTTTCGATTGGGATGATCAGCTGAAGTTGCATAACCATTGGTGCACACTTTACATACAAGTTGTAACGACTGAACGAACTGATCGTTACGGAGGTGGTTGTAAAAAGATTTCTCGAGCCATCAGTATCGTGCCCATAATAAACCCTATCATCATATTTACATTATGATAGATAAATTTAGTCCAGGATTGCACGTGAATGGCGCTCACGAAAAGGAGCTGATCTCACGCGAAGACGGGCATATCTTCGCCGGCAGCTACAGCGGCTGTACGAACGAAAATCTCGTGTGCAGGCCGGATGGAATGCGCTTGAAAGGGTCATATCTGTCCGAAGACAGTTCTGTGCAGCCCGACAGCGCCATCCGGTCCTCCCCGCGCCGGCTGGAGCACCTTGATGCGACATCGCAAACTGGTTCTTACGGGACTTACATGCGGGCAGATCGACAGATTGGCTACTCTGATGAGGGTTCACAACGCCGAATCCCAGTTGCGAGCCCGGGGGGAAAATTGCCTTGCAATGTACAGCAAGACGGTTGCGGTTCGGCGTCGTTTTCCGACCTTCTGGCCTTCGGGGTTACCAGCAGCGATCTCAACATCCCTTGCAGTTCGACCACGAGCAGCTGGGACAGCAAGCACGACTTCGTTGGACTTTCGCTGGCCAGCCTTCCCGACCTCGTGGTTCGGCCTTCGCACTACCTCACAATCCTGAACTGCGACGGATATTACCTGCAACAAGAAACAGCACGGTCGCCTGACGAATGCCGCCATCATGGCAGCGACGCTGCCGCGACAGCCCTGGAGCTCGAAGCCGCGCGCCAAGCAAGCCAATCCAAAGAGCCGGCTGACAGCCTAAACACCACCTCCCAACCCACATCTCAAGAGCGCGCAATCAACGAGCGGGTCCTAGCTGTCAGGGCACTTTGCGGTGGATTCAGTTCCCAGCAGCAAGACCTGGCCATCCCACGTACAGCTCGCCATTTCCCTACTGTTGTAGCTACTGATTCCGTACACGGTAACGAAGCGGTTTCGGAGCCGACTGCTTTGGCTAGTACATCAGCCGTCCGGCAGCAAATCAGGCCCATGTCAGGTGCGTGCCCACTTTCACTAACTTTTCCAGCACTTTACGTTTCCAAGAGTGCAACCAACCCATAGAACATGATCATCACGGTCCCGTACGATACCCCTGTTGCATCCCAACATTTTGAAGAAATGAAAAATCACCCTGCAAGGCAGCTATTATGCCTGGGATCCACATGAATCCGTTTTCCCCCTGTTAAACCTGCGGGCCATGAAGGTGAAGGTGGTAGTTAGGGCCTTTTTGGCCTTTGACGCCGGAAACCATTGTGCCTGATACGGTGGTTCGTTTTTCCTACCCGCCTGCCCTCTTGCCCTCCCACCCCGTAACCCCCAGATACCGGCTTCCCAGAGGCACCCTCCTGCACTACTGTGACTGAGCGGCTGTGCCTGAGAGCTAACTCACCTCACCAGCCGGTCCCAACGCCTCCGAAGGTCCCGCCGCATTGTCGGGAGGCCGACTCGCTCGGAGCAACCTCACGGCGGGGGTTATCCTCGGGCCAGCTGACCAGCTTTGGCGTCTGTTCCGGCCCCTCCTCGTCCCTGCCGTCACAAGGAGTATCGTCCTCATATCGTACAAGTTCCGTGCCGTACACAGGCTCCGCAGCCGTTGGAACAGCTACAGCAGCAACAGCAATAGATGAGAGGTCGCGCTTCGTGAGGTGCAAGTGCGACGAAGCGCTGGCACTGCCTGATCAGCTGCCGGACGATTCCGTACACGGCGGCAGGCCCCGTCATCCCTCCCGGGACGCCACCATGCAGCCGTCCGACGGCCCGCCGTTGCTTGCATTGGCCGAGGCCGAATCAGCCGCCCATAACCGCCCAATATTAGATCCCTCAGCATCGGTGCTGCCTACCGCGCCCGTTACGGTCTGCTTCGGTGCTGTTACGTCGTCGGCGGGATCTGTCGTCTTGCCTGGCATGCTGGCCGGGGACAGGGGAAAGCGGCGGGGGGCGGAGGCAGCGGCCCCGGGGCACGCTGCACAGCAACTGCTAGGGGATCTGCATATGCAGTTGCGGCCGTTGTGTATGGCGGCCATTTGGTTGTTACTGTTGGCGCTGGCACTACCTAGACGTCAGTGACGTGTGCACCTCATTTCATCATCTGCAAGCAGAGTACTGTAGGGTAACTCCAGTCTTGCTTCCTTGCTGACTTGTTTGCACATTCTCGATTAGTCGCTTCCAGGCCGCGTCGTGCTTTACTACTGCAACCGTTTGAAGATTTCCTTTCATTGTGAGTTGTTTCCTGCAACCTTCACCTTTGGAGATTACCATACCTCCTTTTGAGCATTCGCAATGCGGGTTGCAATTCAGAGGGCCACATCTGACGTGGCAGCTAGCATGTGCCACCCCGTGCGCATTTCCCCTGACCGATCGTGCACAGGGCGTAACATTTGCAAGGTCGGCGTCTCTGCTTGGCACAAACTTATCGTGCTTTTCCAGCAGCAGCTAGCCCTAACTGACTTCTGGCTTTCCTCTGCAGCATGCATGAACGCCTATACGCACGTCGTGTGTAGTTTGTCACAGGGCAGCAACAAATTAGCGTCATGACAATCATGGCAGGCATCTGCACACATGCCTTTCCTCACCACAGTGGTGTGGGGATATCTGGCTGTGCCCCTCGCCCACCCCCTTGTCAGGATTGTGGCTGCGAGGCTTCAAAAGGGGTCTTTGGCGCAGTTCGTGTGGCTGGGCTCTGAGGAGCCTAGAGGCTATCTACAAAGCGACTCAGGCAATGTGACATGCTCTGTTTCCTAATCCAGGTCTACAAAGCGCAGCTCATTTGCAACTACCGGCATGCTGTATTCCCCTGGGGTGGTGCCTGTTTGGGTCTCCGACACGAGATCTGTATGTCTATATGAGAGGGTTTGAAAAAATGCATTTAAGACCATACAAGCCATGCATGTATGTGCGCATGTATTTATATCGACATTATTTTTTTTGGGCTGCTACGCATTTTGGCGCCCTTAAAATGAGATGCTTGGCCAGGGAGCGCTGAAGCTGTCTGTTGAAAACCTACATGCTCGAGATGCCGGAGGGGGATGGTACGTTGTTACGAAGCGAACGCGATGGGGTATGCATACGCTACATCGCGTAACGCCACGCAGAGGCTAGCCTTCGCGGCTATAGCGGGACCTAAGAAGTGTTGGGAATCCTTTCCATTTGTTTGGTCCCGTTTGGTTGTGACTCCTGGGCTCCTGCGTTGGCTGCTTGGGGCTCGCATTATCAGTTACCAATCTGTCCGGGGTTGTTGTCCATGCTGTTGGGCTTGTGATTCGCTGTTTGAGTGTGCGAGGTAAATGCAGAAACATATGCTCGATTGTGCCATGGATATGCTATGGTCATTATTTCCCTCTCTTGCAAGGCACCACGCGTGAGAATCGGGAGGGCATATGTAATTCTTCCCTTTTCAAGGGGCAGGAACTGTGAATCCTGTGCCGTATTTTCCTTAACAGCTGCGTGAGGCATCCACTGGGTTAAAACCCGCTTGCCAGGTCTTGGGCAGCGCTGGGCTGGGCTGGGCTCCACATGGCTGCGTAAACTGCAACGGCGTCCCCCGCAAGCTTGCAAGGCATGTTTTAAACGGTTGCAGATCGGGGTAATATCTGTGGCAGACACATGCGGAGCTTGGCGTGCAAATAACAGGGCCTTGCAACCAAATGGAGGACCTCTCAGATTGGAACAGCGAAAATGCAGGGACCTTGCGCTGTGCATAAGACTCTGGCATAAAATTCCCCAACATCTCATAAGCCAATCGAATGGCTTAACAAGTAGAGCGAGTCTTCGTCGTGGTCGTCTGCGTCATTGCGTACGACATTGCGACGTCCATATGGCACACGACCGCGTGTGCAACCTACACGGACAGCCTTGTCCTGTCAAGGTTAGCCGTACTTAAATTGGCTGCCGTGGCTAACCTCCGGAAGAACGTCATAGTTTTTGGTTGCGCGTTCCGTGACATTGCAGTTCAGTAAAGTTGAGCTGAATTAGGAGCTTGACTCCACAGCCAAGTTGGAAACTCTAGCTTTACGATAGCTAAACACAATGCAGCTCAGGCTAGCGGGAACGCAGCCGCGCGTGGTCCCTGTATGCGGGTTTCCTCGGCCGCTTTCCTTGCGAGCAATAACGACAAGGCATTCCCAGCGCACGTTTTCAACTTGTGCTGTGGCGGATGGAGCAGGTTTGCAAGACAAGTTCAGGGAGCCATGGTGATGGTTGGAGGGTCGGCTGAAGTAGTATTTTTCCACGCTCACAGGGGAAGACGGCATCACTGATTATGCTGCTGTGGCGGCAAGCTTGAACGCTCTGCTGGCAAAGTCAGACAAATCGCTGATAACCGGGCGAGATTTGCGGGAGCTTGTCTTACAGAAATGGGGTCGCAGCTACGATGTGCGACTATGCAAGCTGCAAGGACGCATGTACCTTCAAGGCAAGCACATACTCTCTGGACGTTACTGTTCCCCGTATGTACTGCTTTGACCAAAGCTGCGTCTCGCTTCCGCCGCAGTGATGTGGAAGTTCTTGGAGCAGCGCTCTTTTCCCTTAAGCGAAACAGAGTACATGCAGCAGCTGGATGCAGTGGCTGAATACCTAAACGACTGGGGCGTTGCAGATACGGTATGTGCACCCTTGGCGGTGTTCTCCCCGCCTCTTATGTCCCGGGGACAGGATACATGGTAATGCCCTGCCGTCGGGACATGCGCAGTCCTATTCATGAGCTCCATGGGACGCTTTCCACGCTGCCACCTGTCTATCCAGACTTGTTTCCTGTGCCCGACACGTCCTTGTTTGCTGACATGCACCCCTGCGTCTTGCCTGTTGATATGAGGCTCACCTCCGCCTGTTGCTTGCCCCTTTCCTCTCTCTCCCGCCCATGTCTCCGTGTACCAGGTGCGCCAGGGCATTCTCCAGGCTCGCAAGCCACCTGGCTACACAGGCGGCGGTAACGCGCGCTGCATCAGCATCCCGCTGGCTGTGGACCTAGGCGGCGGCAGGAGTGCGGAATGGCAGTGAAACGAGCGAGCGCACAGGAGAGCAGGCCAGCTGTTTGCTGGATTGGTGCAGCTAGACATAGTGTGCGGGGGATAAGTAATATTTATTGTAGGCGGAGTAAGGAGGCGGCACGCTTAGTGCTTACGGCACGGGGTATGCATGGCCATCTCCAACAGAGGCAGTGGAACACGCAGGGCGCCTGATAGACTGGGAAGATGGTGACTAGGCTTGTGCGGCCTGTCGCTGCACAAACCTGCCTGACAGGGTGCTGGACCAGGTGTGTTCATGTGGACTCAGCTATCCGACCGTTTTCATATGGGTCTTAAGCGGCACAGGCCATAGCGGCTCGACGCAAGTATGACATCGTAATGCTGCATGGCTGGGAAGGGGGAAGCCTAGCAAAGAAGGAAGAGGGTCAAATGCAGATGGGGAACGCCGCCGGGGCCGCACCAGGGGCCTTTGGTCGTTGAAGCCTGCAGCCTCTATTCTAGACTCACTCGTCTGTGCCGGTGCACAGGCATCATCCTTGCAGGCCATTATCAGACAGATCAAACAGCTGGGGGACTTGCTGCGTTATCTCCTGTTGCGTAATGTATAGTAGCGGGTGCACACTATAAGCTGGTTTGCCTGTACGAGCAATTGCTGCTGCGTATGCGGCCTACGAACGAGGGAGAACCTTTCTAAGTCGTTTAATGCCGCCGGTGAAGTTATGGCTGTGCTCAGCCAACAGTGGTCGTTTCTTGGGCACAGCCGGAATAGTGAGCGGCGAATCATTCTTACAGTGCGCGGTATGGTGTTGTACGATGCAGCTAGTATGCTGTATGATTTGATGTCCAAGCCCCGTACGGGCAGTTGAGCCCCGTACGTGTGGTTCTTGTTGCATACACCAGATATGAAGAACTGCAGGGCTCGATGTGCGTCGGTTGGGGGACTCCCTTGCGTAAATGATATGGTTTGATTGCGTCGTTGTGGGCCGGCACGGTAATGATGTTCCCTGGTGTGTGTGTGTGTGTGTGTGTGTGTGTGTGTGTGTGTGTGCTTACGTGCCATCCTGCAATGGCGTATGTATATTGGAATTCGGTCCCCCACGGCGCGCCAACAATACTGGTACTGCTGCGTACAAGGTCGGCGTGTTTGAATTTGGTTGTCATGCATTATTGAAGAAACGCTATTTAGGCCGATTTGATGGATTTGACATTGAATAGTATTACGGGGATCGGTTATGTCCAGGGCTGCGTTGATAAATTGTGCAAGTGTCGTAACAGTGCATGACTGTTGGCGTGCCTCTTTGCAAGCAACGAGAATACACGCGATGGTAAAAGCATTGAGGAGAGCCTGTTGTTGTTGTTGTTGTTGTTGTTGTTCTGTTAGCTTCCGTGGTCGCGATAGTTGCGACGGTGACTTTAATCGTAGAGGCAAAGAGAGGAGCGTGAGATGCTTTCGTGCTCACTTTCAAAGGTGTGGCGTTTTGCTGCAAAGCTAGGGTTGCGGTGAACGTCGACATTCGCTAGTGAAGATCGTACCGTGTCTCTTGTTTTTGCGCTTGCAGCGCGTTGGGCGCTGGATGATGCATTATGTAACGTGCAGCAGGTGGGCTGGTTCCAGATTGTTGGTCAACGCCCTTATGCTGCTACTGCCGATGGAAAGTGAACGACACGTTTGGTGTGCACAGTGTAAGGCTTTTTGACAACATGGAAAGGTATAGTAATCGCATATAAGTCGTTTAGGTTAGCGCGCAAGGAGTCCGTCGAGGCTTGGAGCTTATGAGAGCACGGGTGCTTCAGAAGCAAGAGCCGTCCTAAGCAGCAGACCTGTGGGCGATCCGAATCATGCAGGGAGTACTGCTCTTGCTCCAGCCACACTAGTGCAATGCATGATACAGAAACAACATGCAATACAAGGTTTAGAGTGTCCACTCGTCAACTACGGCAAACCAGAACTGGGGCGAACCCACCCTCGCCCCGCGTGCCCCTAGGCACGCCACGTTATCCCCCAAAGCAGCATCGACATAAAGCTCTCGTAAAGGTGCTCAGCTGATTGCATCCATAGGAAATCCTGAAATGCCTGCCTCCGCGTGACTTATATACGGTACCTAAGGTAAGTCCCGACCCGATAAGTTTTGTAATGTCCAAAATGATAAAAGTTGTTATGTGTTAAGAGAATTCCGTAAGCAGAGCAACCTCTTGATGGAAACGCAATGCCACTGGACTCTCAGCTAGTCCAGGGAGGCCGTTGCTAGTGAAAGTTAAGTTGGCAATTGCGCATTTTCGCACTCTCTTTCCTTACAGGAAGGTGCGTTATTGTTGCTGCAGCCTATTTAACTATGTTTCAATTGTCTTTAATAAAAGCGGCGGCGGTTGTGCACTGCAGGCACGGATACAGCGGGCAGCCATGCAAATCTTCGTGAAGACCCTCACGGGTAAGACTATCACCCTCGAGGTGGAGTCTTCGGACACCATCGAGAATGTGAAGGCCAAGATTCAGGACAAGGAGGGTAAGATGCTAGGCGGCGCTCTTCTTGATGTATTGCATCACTTTGGTAATTTTCATTATATATTATGAAGGGCGGGCTATGTTGTATTTCTGTATGGAAGGCTGCGGCGCTGACGGCGCACTTGTCTTTGGGGGCCTTCAGACGCTTTTCCTGTGCTTTACTGTTGTAGGTATTCCCCCTGATCAGCAGCGTCTGATTTTCGCTGGCAAGCAGCTGGAGGACGGCCGCACACTGGCCGATTACAACATCCAGAAGGGTGAGCAGACGTAGTTATTTTGCGCTTCTGTCATCCACAGGCAGTGGTGCCATGTCAGCCTAGTTTTTCGTCTGGCTGTGGGATTGAAGGTGCCGGATGCTGATCTCCTGTTCAGCGGCACGTTCCTCAGTGTGTTACCAGGACCTGCGCCTACATAGCAGAATGCCAAAAGCAGAGATTGCCGCCTCAGTCCGCATGGATGACACGACTCCTAATTTGCCACCTAGAATAAGGTTCTGCTGCCCAGGTGGGGGAGTACACAGACCTGTCCACGTGCCATAAGTTCCGAGCACTACTGCTTGGCTTCGTGGTCCGGGTTACGCCGGATTGAGTGCGGAGGCGCCGTCGTGGAAGCTGCTCTTGCACCTGGAGCAGGAACCTCACCTCTATGAAAGTTTTCTATTCCTAACTGCGGCCCAGCATAGCTTACATGGAGCGAGAGAGGAGATGGACTTCAGGCAGACACTGGTAGCTTACTCCACCGCAGCATGGGTTTTGACCAGACCATGCAGTCATGGGCTTGAGTATCATCAGTACATCAGCTATGGCCAGCATAGCTTCAATATTATCCCAATCTGACCTGGGCGGTCACAGCGAGGCTCGCTTATGCTGCTGGGCGCTAACCTGTTCAGATGGTCACGATCTGTACGGGCAGGGGTGCTGATTCCTGTTCCTCATTAAAGGCAATACTATGGTCGTTCTCCTGGCGAGGCTTCTCCTAAAAGCTATGGTCGCGGCATGTCCCAGACCTCAGGATTATGCGAGCAGCATCCTGCAAGATCCTGTTGTTGCATGGGTCCCTTGTTTTGTTTGCGGGCTGCTTCCGCCCTCCTCCTGGCTTGGTGTCGATACAATGCATATAGGCATGCTGCATCGCCTTCATTCACTTGTGGAACCCTGGTCTGTTGTGCTTCCAATTCCTGCAGAGTCCACCCTCCATCTGGTGCTCCGTCTGCGTGGCGGTATCATTGAGCCGTCGCTGCAGGCTCTGGCCCGCAAGTACAACCAGGAGAAGATGATCTGCCGCAAGTGAGCTCGGGGTGCTGGGTTTTGTTTGGGCCTAGCCCATGTGATCCCTGGCGTGGAAAGATGTGACCTGTGCCTCTGGCGGCTGCAACACGTCTTGTGTCTTGATTTCCATGTCTCTGTTTTGAGGGGTGGGACTGTGATTTGCGGAGGGGGGGAACTAGCGAAATCAATGTTTCCTTTCGAAGGGAGAGTAGCAAGCTGCCAACGTCTCAACGATGTTTGGCGACTGACAGTTGGAATGCCCGTGGGGGCTTGTGGAATATGCAAGCGTGAATGCACATCTGTTCTACCAATGGATAGGGATGGTGGGGATCACACGTCGCTCTCCGAAAGAACCAGAGCGAAGGATCTCCTGGAATAGAACCGTATCCGTGTATTACTTCCGCTCTGTGGCTATTGGAACCCTTAAACACCGGGAAGTTATGGTTGCAAGGGTTGTAATGTCTGGTCGGACACTTACACAGGGCATACATCTTCCACTTGTGCTCATCCCCATAGGTGCTACGCTCGCTTGCACCCGCGTGCCAAGAACTGCCGCAAGAAGTCGTGCGGTCACACCAACCAGCTGCGCCCTAAGAAGAAGTTGAAGGTGAGTTGCTCCGCTGGCACCCTAGTTAGGGCCAAGTATCTTGGTGGTATGGAGCCGTTTTCTTTTGGAGGTCGGAGAATTAAGCCAGGGTGGAATCTCCTACGGAACTTCAACGCAATTGATTGCTGCGAATTGGGCGTGTTTGCCATTACTGTACTTTGCCACTCACCCTTTTATTTAATGCAGTAAACCTCGGACATCCAGCGGTCGAGGTGTCTGGGCCGCAGTTCGATTCGGTGTGAGGAGCGGCGGACGGAGTTGCCTTGAGGGTGGTGCATGGATTCCTGCGTTGTGCCGTTGCTGTTCATGGGGATACGCATCGGCATGCGCCGCATCTCGATCCCTTCACTTCCTGCGTGGGTGGTCCTGGCCCTACGGGCAAGACGGGCTCCGTGCTACGGAGAGAGAGCGCATTCACTGATGGTCCTGCGCTTGTAACCAGGATGAGGTTTTCATCACACCGCTTAGCAGGCAACCCTGATTGAAACTAAGTCTGCAGCAGGCCGTTATGCCGTTTGTTTCCTCAATTTAGGATTGAGGAAAAACCGTACGATATAATCGCCAGCGACGATTCGATTTGTAATTAGTGCTTTTGAAGCAACGCAGACGAAGTCATAATTAAGGGTAAAAGTTGCTGTGCTACGAGGAAGAATTGGCAATGAATACTGATTCGAACCGTACTACTGAATATGTCGTAGCGCGGGAGCCACAGGCAGACATGCTTAGCCTGAAAGCCACCCCCTGTCAACCCTTCGTGATGTGCTCGCGGGTTTCTGTCACAAACAAATCAGGTAACTTCAACCTTAAAAAACTGCCTTGTAAACGAGTCGCAACCGTAAAAGCATGGGCGGGCTCAAGCCATACATTCACGCCTATGTATTAAAGCCACATTGAAGATGATTGCATGCAGGCGCAAGAACCGCTACAAGCAGTTCTGGCCAGGCAAAATGCACTGTAACTACGTGTCACGGAACAACGAGCCTCTATCCCACTCTGGCATGAATTTACGAACTTCCGAGCGCACCAAACCCGTGTGTATGGCTTGAATCACCTGTCCCGATGTGTGCGCTCGAGACCGTGAAGCTTATACCTTGACGCGAACACCGCGTTAGCGAACTATCGGTTGACTTCAAGTAAATTATAAGCAGCGAGCACAGAAACACACGATACTCAACAAAGTGTAGTGAATTTTTTGCATTGGCTTTGATGCGACTCGCAAACTTCCGCCGCACATGAATTTGGCGAGCTTTCCTTATCTATTCTGCTGATCAAGTCCTATTACATGACAGTTGGCAGGTTACGCTGGATATATTAGAACTTTATTACCTGCTCCGTCGTCAGCTGTCCATTGTGGTATGTGACTGATTCCCCTCGATGCATCCTGAAAATAGCACCATTTTCACATCATGTTTGTATCATGTACTATATCTGAAACTGTTGACAGCCTGTTCCGACCGTCTCGCTCGTACCTCACTGCCTCTGCACGTCCTCTGCGCTTCCCTTACTGGAATAGCAGCCATGTGAATTGTTACATCCGTAATCTCAACGGCTTGGGGCTGCGGAAGGGGCTCTCTCAGAGGGCATCGGGGCTATGGAGACTGGGGGGGGCCAGCGCCAGCATCGTGTCGTCATGGTCAGCGGTGGGTGTGTGCCATACCCCGTGCGGAAATACTGTCGCGAACATGTACCGCAATACGCAAGACCCCAGACCGCTGCTAAAATTACAAATTCCGCACAAGTGCGGGGGTGTCTGTAAAAGCCGGGGGCCCATGGACGGTAAATCGTTTCTAGTGCGGTTACGTGGTGGATCATCATCGTCCTCCCTCGTCCGCTTGAGCACGCAGCGCCTTAGAGCAACGTGCTGGGTCTCCCAGACTTCCGGGAAGACTGGCCAATGTTCACAGCAGGATGGCGCTGCTGCGTTCCCGAACGCAGATTTTTTCTATCCCAACTTTGGTGGCGTGGAGAACCACATCTATCAGCTATCGCAATGCCTCATAAACTTGGGCCACAAGGTATGCGGTCTGCGGTAGGCTGCATGGGCCCACGTAGGGGCGCACATGGATCCATGTAAGCTATCAGCTCGGTCCTACCGGTACCCCCCATGGGGAACCTCCCTTCCCGAGGCCCTTCGAGGCTCCTTCGAGGTTCCACTCCGAGTAGTGGAACCAATGGCAGTGCGGGTTTGCGCGTTCCGTCCCAATAAGCAGTGCTGCTGCTACTGCGGTCTCGGTCCCATCTGGGACCATGCCGAGGAGAAGACCGTTAGGACGAGGGAAGCGATATGACTTTGACCCACATGGCCCAGGTGGAGCCGCAGCTGGAAGAGTCGCCAGAGAAGGGTTTGGGACGTCTAGATTACGCAGTGCAAGAGTGTGCGTGAGAATAGGCTATAACCCACATCAACCGGAGGTCATAGGGCTGACCATTAGTTGCTGGCGTCAGGGTCCGGAGCCTGCATCGCATCAGGAGCTGTTGTGACTGACAACACGGTTATAGCGATGCCGCCTTCAGCGGCTACATCTGTATTATATGGCCTGACAAGGATAGCGGCTGGGGCAGGGAGCATAGTGCCGGCAGTCCGACTCCCTGCTCGCCGACCCCAGCCCTCACGGAATGGGGGTTTTGTTGATCACACAGGTGGTGGTCGTTACTCACGCCTACGGCAACTGTACGGGAGTACGGTACCTTACAAATGGTCTCAAGGTCAGGATGTGCTTCAAATTATCCTGCAGCTGCTTCATTCATGTTGTTGCTCCTGCTGATGCTGATGCTGGTGGTGATGATGATGATGATGATAATGATGATGATGATGATGGTGCTTCGGGGAGCTGCTAGGTTAGGAGAGATTGCTGCTTCGGTAGGCGACTGAGCAATCCCTCCGTGATTGCAACTCGCAGAGCCTCCCCCCTTTTTTGAGCTGCACTGAATGGGGGAGTGAGCTGCATGTGACCCGTTCCTTGGCGAGCGCACAGCCAGCACACGCGTTGTTGTTGAGGGCCTCCCCGTCATTGCTAACCTCCTTTGTTTCCCGCATGCATTGGCTTTCCTCATGCCGCCGTTGCTACCGCCCATGCTTCACGTAGGTAAGTCTTGGGTAGAGCTGCACACCTTGCGTTCTCCAAGGAACGGGAGCGCTTGGCACATCTTGCACTCGCTTAGGGGAGTAACGGCAGTTTTAACCAGAGACGGCCGGTTTATACAGCTCCTTCCTACGGAAGCACTGCTAGTGCAACTCCCTTCGACAAAACGCTGAATACCACGTGCGGACAGGACGACTGCTGGTACACGACGCCGCCAGTAGAGTTCACGGTCGTCTGGACCAGCGACATCGCTTTGGAGTCCAGCAGTTTGCGACTTTGTTTTTGACGCCGGTAGTTGTCTTCCCTTCACTTTATAGCATGTAATGCCCTCCCAGGTGTACTACCTGCCCCGGCTGCCCTTCTACCAGCAAGCCACCTTCCCCACGCTGATGGGCTGGGCGCGGTTGCTGCGAGTCATCTGTGTACGGGAGGGTGCCACGCTGGTGCACGGACATCAGGTGTGGTCTGTGAGTAGATAATTAATGCATTCAAACAGGTGTAGATGCCAATATAAGCTTTCTACAACCTAGGCTGGATGTAGACCTGTAAACCTGGGACACTGTGCACTGTAGACCTGTGACACGCGCAGCAGTGTGCAGCTGGGTGTTCACCTAGCGGTCCCATGTGCGTGAATGTGCCATGCACAGGATGTACGTTAAGATGCAAACTGCAGGACGGCAATTAGCCACCGTGGCACCAGAAGTCGTGTGTTTTGCTTCCGCCCGTCCTGTCGTCTCATCATCACCATCATCGTCATCATCATCATCATCTTCGCCTCGTTAGTTTTCCTCAACAGCCCGCTGCGGCCTCCTTAATCCCCGGGCCCCAGGCGTTTTCCACGATGGCTCTGGAGGCGTGCATCAACGCACGCAGCCTGGGACTCAGGGTGAGGAGATCGTCGCCACGGCTGAAGCGGGACATCAAGCTCTGTGATCTCCTTGCTAGCTTCCTGCTCGAACATGACCGTGCTCGTTACCCCACTGTGGACGTAGTAGTGTGTGTGTGTGTGTGGATTACACCTTAAGTTGCGTTACTCGCAAAAGTGTAACGGGCCATATTAATGTGTAAGATTGCAGAACTTTGCAGGAACATTCCTGGGCCTTATGAACATCATATAGGTGATGGCTGTCCCGAGCTGTTCCCCCCTGCCTCCCCACCCTCAACCCCGGGTCCTCTACCCACCTTCACCACCCACAACCCCCTTTTCTCGCCTCCTGGCAGGTGGTGTTCACGGACCATTCTTTGTTCGGATTCGCTGACCCGGGCTCCATTGTCCTCAATAAGGTGAAGGGGAGGGCCCCAGGATGGAGGCCGCGGGGTAATAGGCAAAGCGAGGTCGGGTCAGGTCACACCTGGTGAGGTGAGGTGAGGTGACGTGAGGTGAGGTGCCTGTCAGCAGACGGGGAGAGGAGGGAAAGAGGAGGCGGACAGCGGCCAAGGCGCCAAGCTAGCCGTCCGGCTCAGGTTTTCCCTTCAGGGCAAATGCCATCCCTGCATTTTTTTTCGGTACATGTACCTTAAGACTATGCGTGCTACATTACACGTCTCCGATAGCCGTTGGAAGACAGCCAGCTAGCCAGCCGGACAGGGTTGCCCTTCGTCGCCTCCTTACTTCGTGACGCTCTCGCGTAATGTCTGCTTCTGTGACACATGCTCTCGTGCCGCCCGCCGGCCCTCCCCCAGGTGCTCAAGGCCGTGCTCTCTGACGTGCACGCCGTCATATGCGTGTCGCACACCAGCAAGGAGAACACCGTGCTGAGAGCCTGTCTGCCGCCTTCCTCGGTGTCAGTCATACCCAACGGTGAGCGCTCGATGGGAAGGCGAGGGGGGGGGAAACGGATGAGGAAGGAAAAGCTTAGGAGGGGAAGAGATGGCGTGACCTCACGCGTCGACTGGGACACCGCCCGGGTGCCGTATTGCGGATCGGGTGGTATGAAGGGGCGAACATGGGCGTGTAGGTGGACGGTTGGGAGGGCGGGGAATGGACGATATATAGAAATTTACTGTTTCCGCCGCATCCCCTCCCTCTTTCGTAAGCCATTTCTCCTTTCCTTTTTACTGGGCCCTACACTCCCTTTTCGTCGTAGCCGTGGACGCGTCCCAGTTCCAGCCCAACCCCCGGGCAATCTGGCCCTCCAACCCTGTCCGTGACGAGATTGTGCTGGTGGTTCTGTGCCGGCTGGTGTACCGCAAGGGCGTGGACCTGCTGTCGTTGGTGCTGCCGGCGGTGTGCAGCCGCCACGCCAACGTGCGAGTGCTGGTTGGGGGAGACGGTCCCAAGCGCCTGCTGCTGGAGAAGGTCCGTGTCCGTCTGACTTCTGTCAAATGACCTCAGCTGTGCGAACGAGCAGGCGGCTGGTTGCGCAGGACCAGCGTGGCGTTATCCTCTAGCTTCAATCGATAGGTACATAGACACGCTGGTGGGTGACTAAACACGCATCAGCGACAGCAGCAACACCCAGCCGCAGCAACAGTAGCAGTAGCGGCAATCCCACCGTGTACCTGAATTTGAAGGCCCCCGTTCCACACTGCAGGTCATTTCGGATCATGGCCTGGAGGAGCGGGTGGTGTTGGAGGGGGCGGTGCCGCACGAACGTGCCAGGGACTTCATGGTGAGTCCATAGGCCGAGGTGGCTGGCTGGGGATCGACCCAAGTAGTCTGTGACGAGTCTGTGCTTACACGTGCCCTCCGCCATCAATCGGCCCTCCTTCCACCTCGCTTGTGTTACCGGACTTGCGTCTTGTCCACTAGTCGTTTCAATGACTCATGGTTTCTATAACATGCGATAAGCTTCCCTTCCCTTCCGCTCTGCAGGTTCGAGGCCATGTGTTTGTAAACGCGAGTTTGACTGAGGCCTTCTGTATGGCCCTCGTGGAGGCGGCTGCTGCCGGGCTGGTGGTGGTGTCTACGGCAGTGGGGGGCGTGCCGGAGGTAAAGCGACTGATGGGAAGGGAGAGCGACAGGGGAGCACGTTCACTCACCGTCGCGGCTGTAATAGCTGATACACAGTACAGCACACATAACGTCTACAGATACGCGCTAAGCGCTCCACCAGCATCTCAAGAGGCCTTTTCAGCGGCCAGCTACTACAAATGGAGCTGAGTCGCGCGTAGCAAACGAAGACGTTGTTTTTCACCGTTTGTCCCTTCATCCATTTGTCTAAATTTCATTCGGAGCAACGCACGGGTGAGCGGCTTAACTTCGGAGCAGGGCCCAAGCAAGCGCGGTTTCGAAAGCTGCAGCTCGGGCTGCCGGCTTCGGCGTCGCCCATGTCGCTATGTTGTCATGCCGCCTTCCACTTCCTTTCGTCACCGACCGTGGTGCTGTCCCCAACAGGTTCTGCCGCCTGACATGATCGAGCTCGCGGAGCCAACCGCAGAAGGGTTGCTGGTGAGGCGTACTGCGCGCGCGTGTTGGTGCACGTGTCCATGTACGTACTTGCATAATGCGTATTCCCTAAAAGGGCGGTGTGTACGTCTTCCCATCATCTGCATGGGTATCCTTGAAACTTGGACCTGGGTTTTACCACATCCATCTGGACGTGTGAACGCAGGCAGCGATAGAGCGCGCGCTGTTGCGTGTGCCGCATCAGCGGCCTGCGGCGCAGCATGAGCGCGTACGGCATATGTACGATTGGAACGACGTGGCGCAGCGCACCGTGAAGGTGTATGATGCTGTTGAAGCATCGACGCGGGACGATGGTCTCCCAGCGCGGCTGAGACGGTGTGTTGCACTGGTTTTCATCGCACTGGCGTTTTGGCATCAGTCCTTAACCGTTTGCTCCGAATTGTACATTTGCCCTGTACATGCCCTCGTGTGACTTCTTCTGCCGTATGGGCTTGTAGGGTGCTTCTTACAGGCTACACAAGGCTACACCCACACGCGGAACGTGTATTGGAACCAATTTTTTCCAACAACAAAAGCTAAAAAATGTACATTGTTGAACAAGCCTTTTGCCCCTTGCTGCAATTAATGCGCGCGCGGGCGTGCCATGCTGCATACACGGAACCGTATACAGACATGGTTAATGGTGTATTGTTACGGGGCGTGTTGCTCGTGACCGCACTACATGTAGCATAGCCGTTCCAATCCTATTAATGTGCTCTACACGGGGCGGCCTGCCACAGGTACGCCGCAGCAGGCCGCTGGGTGGGCACCTTCTTCGGTGCCGTGGCGGTGCTTAGCCAGTTGATGATGGCCTTCCTGGACTGGTGGCAACCCCGGTATCTGATAGACACCGCCCCGGACTGGCCCAGAAGTGCCGGCGGCGATGAGCGGGAGCGACAGGGGACGTGGGTACAGGAGGCGGACGAGCAGCGCGAGGTGGCGCAGCCAGGTGCAGGGGCGAGGCCTGTGGTGTGCAGAGGACGAGGACGGCCTGGGCGCATGGAAGGAAACGGAAGGAATGCGGCCGACATGCGAGGAAGTGTCGCTTGCGCAGCTGCTGCAGCTAGCCCATCGGCAATGCCAGCGGCAGCGATGATGCCAAGCGGGCGTGGCAAGGTACCGGGGCTTGGGGCTGGTGCGGCGGGGGGTGCTGGCGGTGCGGCTGATGTGCAAGCGGACAGCCGCATGGCATGCCAGGGGGATAGTCATGGACCTGCGGTTGATGTTGAATTTGTATTAAGTGGGGGAAGGGGTGCAGATGGCTCTACGGGGACCGCTGCCGTGGACGGGGATACCTGCACAGCTGCTGGTGACTTGCCTGTTGCCGCAGCTGCTACTGCGCCTTGGGTCCGCACAACACCTAGCAGGCTAGCGGGGGAAGTACGTCAGGTCCCAGAACGCAGGCGGGGAGCAAAAAGGAGAGGAGGTACGGGCGGGGATGTTGGGTTTGGTCCAGACAGCTGAGGATTGGCTTCACGCTAGGCGTGGCCGTGTGATTGGCCAGGAATATAGGTATCTGTGTATCGTGGAGTGGGTTCGCGTAGTTCTTGGCAGCATTGCGTGTGATTCCTCGTAATGAATTTAAGTGAGGACGATTTGCATGCTGTGATGACCTAGTGGCGGTACGAATGTGACCAAAGTTACGGTGGGAAAACGTATGTGGCGGCTATGAATGGTATGAAGCATTGGGAGCCATTAGTCGACCAACCAATGTTGGTGGGATACCCCTCACCGCGGAGTAGATGCGGAACGAACATCAATTATCCGCGCAGCGTGCAACTGGAGCCACAGGGCCTCTGCGGCGTACAAACGCTTGTGTGCTTTTGCCACGGCCGCGAACGAGCAGGCAGATGACTTTTGGTATCTTTCAAGTTGTCCCTTCGACTTGTGTGGATATCCCCTCCCTGCGTATGTACTTGCGAATGGAAGTGAAGAGTTATTACACGGCACCGTTCTCGCACCCGTCGGCCCCACAGAGAAAAGGAACCAAGGTTCGGGTCGGGGACTAGCCCACCTGGCCCATAGCCGCCGCCGTCGCCACCATCACAGACAGGAGTGCTAGTATCGTTGTACCCCATGAGATCGAACAAGAATATCAAAAATCCCACATTTATGGACGCCTATGCTTACAACAACATAGGCAGATGTGTTTAATGTCATGCGGGACGGATGTACGGTGGCTAACAAAACGTTTACTGCCGCACTCGAGCACAGACCACCACAGGAGCTCAAGACGTGTGGCGGCGTGCCTGACAGGTGTTCAACCTGCCTGTCCAAAGCCAGACATGCAGGTTCCTACTAATGCAACCGGTCGGTTGCCCACAACTCCCAGTCCCCACTCGCAAACGCCTACAAGCCCCCTGGCGTCTCGTGGCACCAAACCAGAATTATAGGATGAGGGGTCTACATGCCCGTAAATAAGCCATCATGCAGTCCATTAATCCGGCACATGTGCGGGTGCGCTCAAAAGCGCTTGGGCCTTCTTTCAGCCCCAACCGGTAACACCCCACCGGCAGCCCCAGCTCCTTAGATTCAGCATTCGTTGTCCCAACGGTAAGGCATGCGTAGCATTTGCAGCAGTCGTTGCCTCTGGCCCCGTAACGAAGCGAACCTACTGCACTGTGGCGGACCGTGTAATCGCCAGCAGAACCTTTCGAGCCATATCCAGTACCATATCGGACTGCGGCGGCTGTGGTAGTTGCGGCATTTGTTGTTGCCGTGCGCTGCGCAGCGCGTCTCCACAGACAGCAGCGGCTGCAGGTGGCGAGCGCGATGTCGCGCCCTCCTGATCCTCAACCTCAGGCAACGTGCCACAGAGACTCTGGAGGTACCACCTGTGTCCAGGACGCAACGAAGCAGCGGGGGGGAAGAATGGAAGTAGGGTCAGGTTGCTTTGCCTTCAAGACACTGCTCTATTATACACACCAATCAATTGATACCCTAATGCGGCAGCATTGACCCATCACAGGGAAAACTACCTCTTTCCGGGCGTGCTTGCTCATTTCATGCACTGCAGCATCCGCAGCGCCATGCGAGGCCAGGAAAGCCCCGATCTACGCTATTCACACCTTTGCACGCCTGGTGCCTTGGCAACAGTGGTTCGTGCCCTGCCCTCTCAGCTCCCACCCGTGGCAAGGCGTTCCTATGTCACTTGCTTTCCCACCTGCTGTCCCGATAAGGGCCACCACGCACCTAATGTTGGTGTCCCGTTCCAGAGCGGCCCCCGCTGTGGGATCCACAGTCACCAGCGCCAAGAAGGCCCGAAGGGACACGGCCGCCGCATCGTCCGGGGGCAGGGCCTTGCCCTCACGCCCACGCGGGTCCAGCCAGGTTACCAACTCCTGCAGGCCACAAACAGCAAACACAATTGGATATCTGCATGTGGCATGGTCCTCCAAGAAATGCTACTAACAGCCCTGTCAGACCTGCCAAGCCCACGGATTGGGCTCACCTGTAACAACGCCAGCACCTCCTTCCGATGTTGCGACTGGATAGAGGGCAGCACGCCGCCTGGTGATGGTGCCGTTGCCGCTGCGGTGTTCTCGCCGCCTTTCCCCTCCTTCGCACCCTCCGACTTTCCCCTTCCGCCATCTTCCTCCTGAGGCAGCTGTAGCAGCCCCGGCCAGCACAGTACGTCCGCCAGGATGGCACTAAGACCCGCCAGCGAGTCAGCATATGGCAGTGGCTCGAGGTGCGGCGATTCGTACTCACCAGAGCATAGAACTGCCGTCACGTCAACCAGAACGCGCCGGGCGAAGCCTGCCGTGTTCGTGGTAGCGATAATGGGAATGGGTTTTCCGGAAGCAAGCAGCACTGAGCAACAGAAGGGGGTTACGCCAGGCGAAAACTGTAAAAGAAAAAACGACTGTGGTAAAAGTGGTCGGCCGCGCACTTGATTCCAGGCAGAGGCATGCAGATCACGTCACAGCGGAACCCATCACCCTGGAATTCAAAGAGGCTGGTTTGAGACTGCTCTACAACATGGCCGTCTCAATCAGGCCAGCCAGCCCGGATACATGCTTGCATAAACGCCGCGGCGGCTGCGGCGCCCAGGCTGGGTGCTTGCTGGCCTTGCAACCGTCAACCCACGACTCACAACACCAGCTGCACCTTTAAACATGCTGAATACCGTACCTGCCGCCAGCAATGCCTGTTGTCCTGCCGGGCAGCAGCATGCCAGAGCCTCTGCCTTGTGTGCCACCCGACGCTTCGCTGCCGTAAGTTTTACGCTGAATGTGCGGCTTACACTGCGGCCACTGCCGCCGCCAGGTGCTGCGGCCCCAGCGCTATCGTACTCCGCACAAAGCCACCTGGCCGCACATTCCAAGAAAACTTGCCGTTGCAACCCTGCCGGCAACTGTAGCCGCAGCGGCGGCGACCACACTACCGGCAACGCCGACGCGTAGCGACCCTCAGCATCATTGACAGCAACGGTGGCAGCGCCACCGCTGCCCTCAAAATCCGTACGGCAGTACGATATGACTGTCTCAGCGGCCAACAGCTCTAAATCGTCTAGGATGGGAGGTGGCACAAAGGCTGCATCCTTCGAGTCCCCATGTCGAACATGCCCACTCGCGACCGCCGCCGAAGCTCCGCCGCCATCCAGGAGGTCAAGGAGCGCAAATCGCGGCACGGATCCCGATCCCGTCCCGTGGCCACTGCTGCTTCCTCTGCCACCACTGCCGCCGCCACTAGCGCTCCTACATACAGCCGCATGTGTCGACGATGCCGACTGCTGCGCTTGGGAAACGAGCCCCGACCGGCCACCCGCTGCCACCGCTGCCCTGCTGGCCAGCACAGCGTGAAGCGTGTCGTAAAAGTCGTTCAGCGACGCTGCCACCGGCGGCCACGAGGCCACCAATTGCACCGCTGCGCGCACGACCTGCACCGTCCAGCGCGGTGCAGCACTGGCGGAGGCGGAGGCGCAGCCCCTTACGCGACCGGCCATGTGCCGCAACAGGCCGCACATAGCCTCTGCCGTAGCCGACTGGCCCTGTGGATCTCGGGAAGGCATGACCGCTGCCCCTGTCCCAGCTGCAGAGGTGGAGCCGGTGCCAGCGGCGGTGAGCGCCGCATAGTCCGCTGCTGCGCCCAGAATCCGCGCCGCCGCTCCCAGCCACGTCTCCGCCTGCGAAGATGCCGTAGCGAACGCAGCACTGCTGGAGCCCTGGACAACGCCCGTGGCGGCGGTGGCGATGGGGATGGTGGCACAGGCCGTCGTGGCCGCTGCGCGCAGCATGGTCTGAAGCAGAGGCACCAAACCACTACCGCCGGCGCTGCCCATAGCGGCACTGCTGCCGGTGCTGGCACCCGTCAGCGTCAGGAGCGACAGCGCACCGTTTGCGGCCGCCACGCTTAATACGTCGGAGGCGAGGAGCAGAAAGACAGTGCCGCCGCTGGTCGTATTGGCTGCTCCGACAGCCGCCGCCACTGTCGCCGCTGCTGCCGGTGGGCGCCCGTTGGATTGCAGGAGCCAGGGCTTATCCAACGCAACGCAAAAGCAGTTGACTAAATAGCCCAACATCCGCTGAAGGCGCAGCAGCTGGTTCTGCGTGGCTGCCGCCGCCGCTGCAGGATCCATAGGCGGCGACTTCTGTGGCGAAGACCCAGACGCGTTGCCCCCAACACCCCCGCCGTCCCTGGGCTCAACGGCCAGCAAGGCAAGATTATTGGCTCGCGCCAGGCCGCCCAGCAAAGCAGTACATGCTACTAGGTGTGTCGACGAACGGCCCCCACTCCTTGCCACGCCCCCACACTGCGCCACTGTCCCCATGTGGCTGCCGCTGCTGCTGCTGCTGCTGGCGGCAGCCGCGGTAGCGGCCACCCACGCCTGGAGAGCCGCTTCTAACGCCGCCGCAAGCTGTGTCGCCGCCGCTGCGTGGGCCACGGGCTGTGTTGCATGTGTCGCGGCGCACAGCCTCTGCCACCAACGTAGCTCAGGATCTAACAGAACGAGCAAGTCCAAAGCTGACAAATCCACCACCACGGGGTCCTCCTTCCGCATCCCTGCCGCCGCTGCCGGCACCGGTGTCGGCGCCGGTGCACCGCGCGCCAGTCCCGCACGGATCACGTCACAGACGGCCCTCGCCGCCAGCGCTGCACAGCTGGTCGGCAATATGTGGTATTCCGTCACCAAGCCTGCAAGCAGCTGATGCGCGACGCGCGTGAGGCCCACAGCGAACGAGTCCAGCGCCGCCGCAGCGGCCAACAAACTGGGCGCGGACGTCTCTGTGCCTCCGTCGTCGCCTGACGGCAGGGTCAGACGCAGCACAAGGGCCGTCAAGTACGGCGCGAGGGCATCCAGGAGCTCCGCCGCGTGAGGCGGCGAGCTGACGGCACTGGACGAAACGAGCTCCTGCAGCACAGTTAGTAACAACTGCTGCTGACGGGGTAAAGCCACCAGCTGCTGCGCTGGCTCCCCGGGGTTGTGTCCCCCCCTAGCCGCGGTGGCGGCTGCGGCCGCCGGCAAGCACACCAGACGGCCAAGGGCATCGCAAAGCTGTGGCCATGTGGGTCCGAAGCACAAATCTTCCAGGAGGTGCACGTCTGAGGACAACGCCTCTAGGGCCGTAATGGGAGAATCACTGGTGGTCTGGGGCAGAGGGGCAAAGCACACAACAGGCGTAGCAGGGGAGGATTGGCGGCATGGACAGCAGTCCGGGGGTTGTGGGCGGAGGGCAGGGGAACCTTGTCACGGGTGCACCTGGACACAGATGTGCAGCAAGCGTGACGTCGTGCAGCTCCAAAGTGGATTTAATGGGGCTAGAGAATGGATACAAATGGTTGAGCGCATACACAGCCGGAGCTGTGTCGTCAGGTTCGGCTGGGGATTTCGGGGCCGCGGTATGCCGCAAAACCCTAGCGGTCCCTTACCAGCTCTGACAACAAGCTGTCCACCTCCTCGGGACCCAGTAAGTCTATCGGCCCGCGTAGGTCAAACATAAGTGACTGCTTGCCCCGCGGAACCTGCACCAAACGGGTTTACATGATTTCCGAGAATTTTAGGCCATGACCAGAATAAGAAGCTGCTTAGCTTAGCCAATAAGCAAACGGCTGGATCCCCCGACGAGCCCCTGCGCAATCGAAGCCGCACCTCAAGCGCAGTGTCAGTGTTTGCACACGTGCTAACAACCGCCTGTATAAACTCAGACAACATGTCCTCCTTCTGAATTTTTGCCAAAGCAGCTTCGCGAGCCCTCCTCCCGGCCTCTTCAGGCTTGTCGTCATCACCCAAAGACAGCTCCACGCGCTCGCCAAGCCAGTTGTATAGAGCATTATGGAGTAGTACATTACAGTTTGTGCCCTGAAAGAAAGCGGCCGTTGGATAGTCGTGTTCAAAGCCGGCATTCTTAAAGTACTCAGGACCCACCTGCAAGTCCTGATTAGCGGCAGCCCGTGCAAGAGCCTCCGCATCATAAGGAGATGCTAAAACGTCACATAACTCGCCAAGATGTCGGCAAAACGCCTGTATGGTGTCTGCTGGTGGAGTGGAGCCTTCGATAACGTTACTGTGCCGACCTTGCATGATAAAGCTACGCAAATGCCATCACAAAATAACATGTTTCGAGGAGCGTGGTGCAAGGCTGAAAGTACACGGCAGCCAGATAGTAATCGGTTAGACCCGCCAGCCGGACCGGGTACGACAGCCTTTGCGACCGGCCACTGGACCGGAACCGGACCCGCCGAATTTGGACCGAAAAGGTGTTGCTCGACGCCCCCAATCATGTCCTAGTGATAAAGTATGACCATAGCCAGCGTTTTGAGCTGTCAGGCCGACGCGCGCGACCGGTCTTCGCTATGTTTGGGTTGCTTTGAGACACATGGAGACACACACACATGTACGCGCAAATGAAAAATGAAATGAGCAAATTTATATTTTCTGTTTCCTTTAAATTGAAGTTGGAAGTGGAACACCCTCACAGTCCGTAACACCTAAGACCTCAAGTAACAATGAAGTTCGATAAAATTTTGGTAATGATAACACCTAAGACCTGAAATTAATGATGAAAACGATGAAGTTCTGCCTGCGGCTCTGGTGCCGACGGGGCATGCCGGTCTGATGCGGGTGGCTTCACCACCGACGCCGACGGGGCATGGAAGTCTGTTGTGGGCAGCTGCAGCGCCTACGGTGTGGGCTGCTCGCGAACCGGTCTAGCGTGCGACGGTGGAAGCTAGTGCTGAGGAATCAGGACCTTTTGCATGCTTGTCGACGTTGGGGTTGCAGTAGTCGGGCAGAATGGTGTGTTTAGGCTTTTGGATACGACACCAAGTCTGTCAGCTGACAGGTTGTTCGATGAACTTGATCTGTGTACCCTGCGCTGGTCCGCACATCCACCACGGAACCCGCACCCAGCACATCACCCCGAATTTCTCCCCACCCAGCTGTCAGCCCCACGTTACCTAATCTCCCGACCGCACCAAGCATGATTGCTGACACATTGTGCAACAGAAAGGCAAGGGTCTGGCCTCAGGTATCGAAGCTCTCCTTAGCCGCCTTAAGTGCGGCATGCTTCTCACTGTATGCACTTTTCTCCGCCAGGGGCAACTCCGACCACAGCTTGCCCAGCAGGCCGGAGATGCCTGCCGATGGCACCCCATACTTCACATGAATGGTGGTGCCCTGAGAAGTTGCCAACTCATGCTGCTCCTTGCAGAACAGCATGTAAGCATTTGGAACCTGCGCACCCTTGCCGCAATTGGATCTAGAAGCACCATTGGTACGCTGCTTCTTATGTCGCCCAGCCTCCCCAGCCCTGCTGCCCGTTCCGCCTGTCTGCATCACAGCTGCCGCCTCCCCAGCCCCGCCACCCGTTCCACCTAGTCTGTACCGCCGCTGCCGCCTCCCCAGCCCCGCCACCCGTTCCATCACTCTGCACCGCTGCTGCCGCCTCCCCCCCAGCCCCGCTGCCTGTTCCACCTAGTCTGTACCGCCGCTGCCGCCTCCCCAGCCCCGCCACCCGTTCCACCACTCTGCACCGCTGCTGCCGCCTCCCCAGCCCCGCTAGCCAGAACTCTTCGGAGAGTCACCTTTTGCTCTGCCTTTACAGGAGATTTGTACATCTCAGGGTGCACAGGGGTGACATTAGCCTCCACTCAAGGAAGTAACGCCATCCACCATGAAACCAAGGCACAGTAGGATGAAGTAAGCTTACTGAGGCGGCTCCTCTACTGCATGCTCCACTGCATCCTCGACCTCCTGCCCTGCAGCCGCGACCCATACGAGATTGCCGCCATGGCGCGCATTGTCATACATCTGCTCCATTGCGCGCAGCTATATGATATCTACGTTAGGTATATGAGCAATATCAAAGACTGATAATTTTAGAGCTGGGAATCAGGCTTCATGGAAGGCTAGATGGAACGGTTGAGCGAACGGGAGGCTTAATGGAGCTCGTCCACGAAATCAAGATGTCCGTCAGAAAATAAAAAAAATTGTATTGACTAAAATAATAGAAAATGTATTTGGTGCCAAGTGAATGAGGCGCTTGCACAGTCGGACTGGAAGCTGGTTATTTTGGTCCGGCAGCCGGTCCGGCGATGACCGGAACCGGTCCGGAATCCCCGTTTATTCATCGGATGACAGAGTACGACACTGAAGCTTTATACTTCTTTACCTGAATCCTGATCACGTGTACGTTGCTTAACGGATATCCGTTGTCTGGGGGGAACATTGTTGCGGCCGGTAGAATATGTAACAACTTGCCTTTTGGGTAATATCTGCAACAGTTCCAGTATCCACAGCAAGGGACAGGCAGCGGAACAGGCAGCGGGACCTGGGTGGATACCGGAGCTCCCCTAAAATTGGTGCTGGAAGGGACCTCGTAGAAGGACAGGAACCCACACCTCCGGTGCATACCACAGTGCCATGAAGCTGCCACGGCGACGAGGCTGTCGGTCAACCACATGCCTCCTGTCCCCTGGTAGCCAGGTTACTCCCGTATTTTTTCCGACAAGCCGAACTTATCATGTCGCAGTTCGGACAGGTAACACGTACCGCCACGAGGCGCATCTTCTCGCCTTTGTTCTCTGTGCCACGCATTACACCATGAAATCCACGTACAACAAGAATCGAATCACGGCACCGTGGCCTCTGTTTGCACCCAGCTCTGTTTGCGCAGCTACACGCTACCCGCAGAATTGACAGATTCCCAATCATATAGGCACGGACGTCGTCGCACTTGGCCGAAGACAACTGGCATCGCAGTTCAGTTTTTCAACTAGCAAGCAACTCACAGCGACTTGCCACCGCAGAATACACCTCACCTGTAAAGTACCATCAAAATGTCTCCGTGCTGATGCAGGCGCGAGGACGGAGATCAACAAAAAAAATTGTGCGACATCGCCCTGCCGAAAAGAATATGTTAGCTGTCTACGGCTCAAGACTGCGCAAACAGGCAATCCACAGCCGTCCACACTGTTCGGGTGCGGTACAGCGCGCCCGCCACAACGGCACATCTCCCAGCGGAAAAAATCATGCAGATATGTATCGATGTATGTATCGAGGCCTCCATTCCCCTAGCAGACGGGGTTTCAGCAGATAATACGGCACGCTTGTCTTCATGCACCCATGTGCCGTACACTAGGTTTCGCGACCTGCGGCAACAAGCCAGTCCCCAGCCCCGTAACCACTGTAACGACGCCATAGACCAAGTTTTAACGTGTTTGGAGTGACTTGGTCTTAGGCACTCGGTCTTGTACGTACATGTGCATACAAATACGTGATGCACTGCGCCACGCCGAAGGAAGAACAACCACTACCACGCGCCGTGGCGCAGCGCAAAAAAAAGAAGGCCACTCCGACGCGGTGGGGCCCATAAAATGCAACTGCACACACGACATTTACCACTTTCTGCTCCCACGGCATTTCCATTTGCCAGGAGCCTGTGAACCTGAATGGGAAACATGCTCAGCGGCGAGCCACTACAAGATTTCGTAATGTAATGCAAACGAGCCTTGCGAAGCGATTGATATTTTCATCTACCGTTTTCCGTCCTGACGCCCATGAAACCTCCGTCCATCCTCCTGGCTCTTCGCCATCGCTCGCTTTCTCCTCAGAAGATGTACTCTGGCACGTCCAGCCGGAAGGCGGGGCAAATAACGTCAAAAGTGGCACCTTCAGGCCGTTCAATAGTACCGGGCACGAACTGGAACCTGCCCTCCATCGACCCATGGGTCGTTGACTGGTTGGTACAGCTGCAGTACACGAACTCCGGCTTTCCGGGCTCCAGGACGGGAAACAGGCCGATGACGCCCTCGCCGTCGACCTACGAATAAAACATGACCACGGAAACATATGCACAATGAGGCAAGGCGTGGAAAAGAGACATTGTACATGGGGCCAGGGCTTATATGGAAAGGGCATGGGCGTGGCCATACTTTATATTTAAAAATAAAATTTCGCTTTCGTAGCAGCTCGTGCGGTGACCAACATGACCTTCCGCTCCCTAACACCCACGCCCCGCCTCCTTCTGCCTCCTGTGCTCTCTCTCTTTCTCACGCGTGCTCCCTGGGCACCCCCAGGCGCACCGTTTCCTCCTCGCCCGGCTCCGGCTTGATTACCCAGTGTCGCCGCGTCAGCTGACACCGCCTCAGTGGCGCATTCTCCAGTAAGCTGAAGCGGATCGAGTAGGCGAACAGGTGACGGCCCTGGTGCTTGGCTTCCGGCACGTACACCACGCTGGCGCGGACCTGCATCGGGCGGGTCCAGCAAGCACATCGTGTATGTGGCTGTTGGCTGTAGGCTGGAAAGGCGGACATCAAGCACGGGCTGCGGTGGATATCGCACGCCCGTGCGCCAGGGCGTAGCGGTAAGGGCGGCAGATGGGTGTGCGCATGGGGTTAAGCAACCATATGCCCAATGCATGGCATCAAGCCGCGACGACCTTGGCCTACCGGCTGAAACTCACCTAGCTATACACAAAACTGCCGTGACAGCAGCACCAAGGGCATCCTAACCTCAGAACGGGCAAAATACAGGACACAAGCGACTACCCGTGCGCCACGGCTTCGACTGCCTGGCTGCCACACGTACGTACCCGCACGCCCTGCGTCACCGCCTCTACAAGACAGGGCGGCTTCATGGGAAACAGGCTGATGACGCGACTGAGCTGGGGGTGATGCTCGTCCATGTCGCAAACCTGTCGTACAGGACCGGTGGCGGTTGGGACTTCAAACGGGCGCTAGGAAATGTTTTTTCACCACGTCGGAGAGCGAGTGAAGCGCGCGCGGATAGCTTGGAGATGAAAAAGACGCCAGGGGTGCGACACTTGGGGCAGGGACGTGAGAGAGGCGGTGAGGGCGCCAGCATGCTGAGATAGGGTTCCCTGTACTGTGTGGTACCAGTGCGTGCGGTGGCGGTGGCGGGAGGTTGCCCTGGTGGTGGGCTCCGACGTGAGGCTGGAATTCCTCCATTACAGATACGGGGTTTCCCCTAAGCCCAAGCAGTGTGTCCGAAACTCACTAACAAGTCAACCCAGTTCGAAATGCGGCCCAGGCCAAAAGGNCCGCATTTCGAACTGGGTTGACTTGTTACTGTGCATGCACAACATATCCCCGAGGTACCCACTTCTCGAATTCGTGTTCCATCCCTCCTGTCAAGTTCAGTATTACAAATCGGCTAATTTCTCATACTGGTGTTGAACTATATGAAGAGGTTTCAACCTCACAGCCCCAAAACTGTGCCCGGCCGCCACACCCGCACCTTACCTCGTACCAGCCGTCCGCCAGCCGCCGTGCGTACTCCTCAAACCAGCGCAGCGGTCCGTCCTCAGTGTCTGCAGGTGTCAGATGTCATACGACGTGTCAAGGGGTATAGGAAAAGAGGAACCACGAGCGAATGAAGCTAAGGAAAAGGAGCTTCAGTATTAGCTGCGGAGGGGTATGGGCCGGCAGAGAGAGAGATGCAGACATGCAGAACTGGATCCCACAGCCTTTTAGGTCAGAACGCCTAAACCTATCAACCGCTGTCCCTCGTAACGACAGGGACGCAACCACTTTACTGGACACCGCCAAGCATCGTCCGCCGTCGCGGTTTCACCCACCGCGTTCCTCCGCCAATTCCCCAAGCGGCATCTCCCCCCACCCAACACACCGTAGCTCCCGTCGTCGTAGCTCCCTTTCACCCCGCAGGGCCCACCTGATTTTGGCGCCGCCTCACGCAACTCAAACCCGCCGGGGACGACCTTGGCCACCGCCACACCCCCGCCCACCACATCCGCCATGACCACTTTGTCGGAAGGGTTGTACGACGCTGTCAATGGCAGGAGACGGTCCTGTCCGGCGAGAACAAAGCAGTTGTGTGTGCGTGCGGTGTGTACCGTTGGCCAAACCGATGATGTAATCCGTTGTGGATGGTCACAGAGGGTCACAGATGTTGCGAGGGGGGTCAACAGAGGGGTTTCTTGAGCTACCTCGGAGAGGAGCGGAGGGATTGTGCTGCAAAGCTACAGACGGGGAGCGGGCGGGAGTTAAACTGGGAAAGCGGCTTGATTTGCCACGAGTCCGTCGTTTCTCTTCCTTTCCTTTCCTCCTCAGAAGCTCCGTTTCCTTTATTGCGGACACTGGAATACGCAAACCATACATGCTGGGCTTCATGGCAGCTTTGCCAACCCCACCTACTCACCATGCCCTCACGCAGCCCTCCACAATGGCGCGAGGCCGCCGTCGCCGCCTGCAGGAGCTCCTCCCGCCACAGCACCGCGCGCCGCAGCGGCAGCAGCCGGGACACCACCCTATGGTCGTACACAGCGTACCCACCAAACAGGCCGGAGAAGATGGACCGCGCCATGGTATCCTGATCCACGTTAATCTCCGCCTGTAGGTTCTCGGCCGGGGCGACGCCGCTGCCGCCACGGGCTCGGGCGCGATGCCGGATGCGGTTCTCCACCACCGCGTCACAAGGCAGGGACTGTCCGTCGTATAGCCTGTTACGAAGGAATTGGTGTTCACAAGCGGCACGCCGGGCAAGGCAAACTTCATTGATTGAAGTTACTCCAATTGCTTGCCGGATTGCTAGAGGGGCCTTTGCTCACAGGCGGGCTCATTTAGAAAGAAGGGGCTCATGGGTAAGCGCCAAGCAGGCTTGAGCAAGAGGATGCCGCAGCACGTGCCAGGAGCCACCGACGGTTGCGACGGTCATCGACGGGTGACGGATGCAACTCTGCCCTGAAAGCCACAGGCACCGCACTCTCCCCTGAAAGCCACAGGCACCGCACTCTCCCCTGAAAGCCACAGGCACCGCACTCTCCCCTGAAAGCTACAGGCGGGACACATAAAAACACTAGGCCCAGGTCGAACCAGCTGCGACTGTGCCTTGCAAAACATAATTATGAAGCCTGGCTTGGCTACCCGGTCCGGTATTCCTTTCTTACCGAGCCTCTGTTCCTAGAGCACTCACCGGTACAGGACTTTGAGCGCGTGTGGCAGCGAAAAGCCCAGCACCATCTCCATGTCCGCCACCTGCGCCTCACTCAGACCGCTCTGCAAGCACGGGACCGCAAGAAACGATGCAGATCCGTGGGACATCGGCGACCCAAAGCTTAGCAGCTTTAAGCGCCGGGCCCTTCGTCAACGGCCAACCCCAAAATGGATACTTGACAGAAAGACGTGCCGTCGTCCTCTTCTTTTTATACAAGCGAGAGAACTGGATAGCGACCCTGGAGGTGTGGAGATGAGGGTTGCAATGGTCCCCGTTGAAGGGGTGACCTCACCCCGCAACTGAGACTGTCAAACAAAACGTTCCCTGCCTGCCTGCTCGAACATAACTGGGAAGCCGCCGCTTGCCGCGAAGAATTCCCAAGCTGCTGCACAAGTGAGGAGCCACCCGACATCCGAATGCATTCACCCACCTTAATGGTCACCAGGATATCCGGAGCGTTAGCCCCCAGCCAAGCCTGTTAAACATACCGACATCAGGGGAATGAGTGGCCTGAGGGAGTGAGTCCAGGCCGAGAGCAGCCGCAGCCACTAGCTGTAGCCGCTTTACCCGTACACCACAAACTGCACGGGTACACGAGGGTTGCCAACAAGGATGCTTCGCATTCCTGCAACGCTCGCACTGAAGAGGGTCTGGCGTCCTGCGCACTCCGCCCCCTTCCGCCCGTCTGGCGCCCTACATCGCTCTGATAGATTTGCATGGTCCGTTCCTACGCCTAAGTGTTTATACGGGCGTCATATAATGGATGGCTGCGTACCCATACAGTCATAATACCGTACCTTGATTTTGCTCCATGCCTTAATGGCTCGGCCTAAGAACGGCCAGTACTCGTCGCTGAACGCGTGCCTCCAGCTTAAGTATACTTCCCTACATGCAGACATTACATCAGTTCATCAGTTCAAGGTTTAGCGAGAGAGGGTAGGCGTTCGAGGGCCAGGGGTATACTATGTGTTTCAGGAGGCCCCATGGTCTATGATTGGGCGAAGAACAGAAGCCCTAGCTTGCAGTCTGCCGCGTGCACGCCATTCTCACCAGGAGCTAGACTTGGAAGTGCCATCAGCACCTTGCTTATCGAAGATTCCCAGCTCCTTCTCCAAATGGCGCTTCCACAGAAGCTCATCGTTCACGACAAGGTCGCGCCAGAGCTTCGTCGTGCACGACGCCCGCACTGCATCGCGCGATGTCATATGGCTGCAAGCAGGGTTTGGATCAAGTTTTTCATGTGCATGGGAAAATTATTCGGTGTGTGGCGTTCGTAGGGATGCCAACTGTGGTTTGGCACCTAATCACATATAACACAGCAGACTGCCTACCTTAAAATCTGTTCTAAACATTGCGTTGTCAGCTCCGGTATGCCTGCCACCGGATCCATGGCTCTTCTCATGTCTCGAGAATCATAAAGCTACGTTCCCATAAATGGCGTCATTTTGTTATCTGCATGTCTCTTTGATATAGTATACGTTGGTAGTAGTTTGTAGCAGCGGATTGGTTTCGGGAAAAGTGACGCTGCTATCGGAAATAACTGAAAAAGCTTGATGACTTGCCGGCCTTTCCTGTCCTACAGTGGCTCCTAGAGGTTTTTGTCTTAAACGTTCTTCCCATAGTTATACTGCAGTTGTATTCTAAGAGATCTAGGCACACGTGTGCTTGGTGATCTCTGTCGTCTGACGGCTGCAATATCTTGCTGATACGCTCGGCAGTTTTTCCCCCTCTGCTTTTGGTACCCAGCCCGTTACGTAGGAGTAAAAATGCTTGGTCAAAGCAGCCATCGCTGCCTCGGTCACAGGGGACAGGTGCGGTCTTTTTATTTGACATTGCCACGAACGAGCCGAACGTCCTGCATGATATTTCCCCTCCGCCTGGCCCGCCCGCTTGCAGCAGCAGCAGGTCTTTCGTACTCTATTGACATCCAATCGACGGTTGAACAGCAGCCGGTAGGATGAGGACCCGGGGTGGCTGTCATGGTGTGCTTGCGGTTGTTTATCAATGCTATATGCCAATTTCGTTGCTGGAAGACACAATGTAAGCGTAATTGAACCCATCCTCTTTTACAGATCTGCAAGGCGGGCCGGAAGAGCAACCACTGTCGCAGTTCGCGCTGGACCCGTGGAGATTGACGAGGAGGTAGAAGGAACCCGGTGTAGACATTGTAACCATGGCCATAGCATTTGCGACGGCTGCACAACATCTGTGGCAGTCTGGACACATACATCAACGTTAGTCTGTGGGTGATGTGCAAGTGAATCTCGCGAAGCCCGTGGCCTCCCAAGTGTGGGTTCCTCAGACAGTGCAAGGCTAGACGCAATGGTTACCCCCTGTCGTTTGATTTTACCCCCGCTCTTCAGGACCTCATCCAAGGCAAGGACCGTTACAAGTGGTATGAGGCCAAGTTTTGTGCCGAAGACCAACCGGAATGGAACATTGGCCGCTTTGTGTCCAGTCGCCAGGTATGGGATGGAACACCGCAGGTTTACGTTTTTGCCGCTTATCATTGCCCGGATGCCGGCTTTTTGTTATGTATGATGTGTGGGAACAGGGGGGCATATCTTCACCCGCGGCAGCTACTCTGCGAAACCCTGCCTTCCCCGGTATTTCGGGGCACCCTCATCTAGTCACCCTAGTCAACTTCTCAGTGGATTGCTCAGGTTCCGCACCCGCCACCGGCATCCAACGGAATTTGCCGGGTCGACGGCGGCTCAATCTCCAATCCTAGTCAGCTTGCAAGATCACTTTACCCCAGGTCACCAACGTCCATCAACTAAGGGCACACTTGCCTTCAGCCATCGGAAGGATTTTCGACCTTGACTGGTCTCAATCCCGGGATTTCCCGGGGGCAATGGTCGTGCCTTACCAGTATTGCCTAAACTAGTATTGTTATGTATGATGTGTGAAACAGGGGGGTGTATCTTCGCCCGTGGCAGCTACCCTGCGAAACCCTGCCTTCCCCGGTATTTCAGGGCACTCTCATCCAGTCACCCTAGTCAACTTCTCAGTGGATCGCTCAGGTTCCGCACCCACCACCAGCATCCCACGGAATCTGCCGGGTCGACAGCGGCCCAACTCCGTTCCTGGTCGGCTCGCAGGTTAACTTTATCCCAGGTCACCACCGTGCATCAACTAGGGGCGCAATGCCTTCCACCATCGGAAGGGCTTTTGACCCTAACGGGTATAGATCCCGGGATCTTATGTATGTATGTAGCGCGAAACACAGCATGAACTGTCTCCCTGTCTGAGGCCCTCGCTGCCACGTTCCATTCGCGTCACATGCGTTGCCAGGTGTCCCCTGAATACCGCGCTGTGACCGTGGAATGCGAAGCCAGCCGCGAGCGCATTCCGCTGCGCGCAGCCTACAAGGCTGCTGGGCAGCGCGCCTCATTACGCATCAACAACGGCGTGGAGCGCAACTGCACAGGTTAGTGTGGCTTGGTAAAGATTGGATCGAGTCTTGGCGGTGGGATCCAACCGAGGTGCGCTTGAAGACTAGAGCAGACGCGGTTCAGTCGGCTGAGATGAGCGGCAAAAAGCTTTGGTGGGACTGACTTGGAGCTGTCTGCCTCTTCCAGTCTTGCTCCTTGACGGGGCGCGACGCGGGGTTTCGGGCCTTTGTTGTACCTTTGTTTGCTGGATGACTGAATGGGAGAGCCAAATCGTCCTTGCTTGTGAGCGCTGATACCTTTGTTGCAGCTGTCTCCGCGTCCAATGCGGTGAGGAACCCTACAGTAACTGGACCCATGCTAACTATTCCGGCATCCGGCCCTCCTTGGTGCCGTCCATCCTGCCTTTGTCCCGCAGTTGCCTCGCCACCTTTCCCAGAGTCCATCAACTACGAACCCCTGTTCAAGGTGCGGAGGAAGGGCTCCTCATTGCCGTTTGGCATTGGCCCCACGTGAAGGCATGGCTCCTTTGGCACATTCGTGCTACTGAAGCCTCTGCACTTTCATCTGCATATCCCATCTGCTAATGTGTCTTCTGCCCCATGTGCAACCATCCATCCTTAACGCCGCAGGTTCGGGGTGACCTGTTTGCCCACGAAATCAAGACGGTTCGGGAGCCTATCAGCGTCAAGGTGAGGCAGAAGTCCCTGCCTCCCTTGCTGCGTGGCTCCAAGGGAAGTCGAGCACCTTTGCAAAGCCCTTCAGCCCTTTCTTGCGGGGTCCTCCCAAGTATCTTAGTTCTTCCAGCTCGTATGCACGCTGGCTGTTAAACATCGCCACTGCGACCCCTGTATATCCTATTGCCACTGTTTCGAAGCAAGCGCTTGACAATGCCCATCCTTATGTTCATGCATACATCCTTCCCTCGCATTTGCTTTTTTCGTGGCTGCAGGCGGAGCTAACGGTGATGGTGACGCGGAAGGAGGCCCCGGAGGTGTACGGCATGGGCCCCGACGACGTGGTGGAAGTGGGCCCCTTTGTAGGCACTGGTCTGGACCTGCGCTCCTCTCCGCTTATGGCCATGTACTCCTGCCCGACGGTGAGCGTGCCGGGAGAGCGCTGTTGCTCATGCAGGAGTAGCTGGGATGTGTGTGTGTGTGTGTGTAAGAACTTACTAAGCAGTGCGCCTGTTGGTTCTGACGTACGGAAGGTACCCGATCATGCCGGTCTATCCGCATCAAGCTGGATAGGATGAATCGCATGTTCGCCGACCTAACTTGGGTACCAGTCGTTGAAGTCTCGCCCACCGCCCACCCATGTCGAGATACCTCATCGCTTATTATCGATTTTGGAGTTCGAGCAGCGTAGGAGTTTTTGGCACGTGTTAAGAGTGGAACCCATCAATAGGCCCATGTTTCGCCAGACCCCATATTTATGCCTTGTTGCTTTCCTTTCCACTGTGACTCAAACTATCATTACGTCCCTTTCATGCAGGTCGTGATGTTCGTGGCAGGCAAGGGTATCGCCACGTGCATGTCGTTGCTGGAGTCCACGTCGGACGTGCCCAACCTCAGTCTGGAGTTCCGCAGGGACGTGCGGGTCTATTACAAGGTGCGAAGCGGTTAAGTGTGGGCAAATCATTCGGACAGTGTCACCTTGTAACCGAGAGGAAAGGGAACGGCTTGGTGGCGACAAGAGAGGGAACGGAGAGGGCACTCCCTTGGGAAAAAGTCGACCAGGGGAACCTATTACAGGCGTAGTAAAGGATTGCATGCTGCGACTGCATTACACAGGGTTTGCCAACGCCAGGAGTTGTCAGATTGATGAGATTCCCACATATTGGGCCTTCTATGAAACTGCAACCTGCTTACCGTGCAGGCTCCCAATGCCTCCAGCATCGCCTTTAAGGACCGCTTTGACGACTGGGAGCAGGGGGGGCCCTTGAAGATCCTGACAACCACCACCTCGTTCCAGGTGCGCTCGGGCGAGAGGGCTCTGGCGTAGCCTTGAGGGCTGCCTACCTGACTAGGAACATCTGGCAAGAGCGAGGGCAGTGTTCCCATATCATACTACAATAGCTGTGATAATGACACGGTTCATGATGCCCTCATCGCGACGTCCTTTCCGGCAGGACGCTTTCGACGACGACGACTCGCTAACCTACGACCCGGAGTCCACTGGTGCCGTCATCCTGAGTGAGTGCAGAAACTTATTTTCATTTTCTTAGGTTTAGCAGCCCTACTAGTATAATACATAGCAGCCCTACTACTATCTGGCTGAGTGTTGCCAGCCAGCAGCACCGAGAGCATGTCCTGGGTTCGCGCTTTGACCTGCCTTGCGGCGCAACGGCATTACAGTCGTGTAATTTGGACATTGGACTCCGACCCAAGAACGTTGACATTGAGAAGATAGACGTCAGAGCTGGGATTTATGGCGGCAAGGCCGGGCAGGGAAGGGGACAGTGGAATCAAGCGGCATGGGCGACCAATGTTTGTGTACAGATCAGTGCATGTGGCATTGTTGCACCGTTCAAACTTTTCTTGGTTGATGCCTTGTTGGCGATTGCGGGTGCCTCCGGGATCGAATTATGTTGTCTGAAGCCATCTGCAATGAGCTCCCTCTACACCCGATTCCTCTACCGCGTTATCGCAGCCGGTGGTGATGAGGAGGCTGAGCGGGAGGCGCTGGAGGTCTGCAAGTACGTCATTGCAGAGGCGCGGGAGGGTTGGGCGGGCATATCCGCACACATGAATCCCGGCAAGAAGCCTGGCCCTCTGCGTGACACTTGGTGTTTTGTCCTGTGTAACCATTTCCCAACGTCACATTATGTCATTTTGGCCCTTCAGCCCACCTAGTCACCTGTCCTACAACTCTCCTTGATACGGCGTGCCGATCAGCCACTGATCGTAACACTTGCACAACGGTCATAATCCCCTAGCAGTTAAGTTGGGTATCGTGCCCTGCCCACCTGGGTCGCCGTACAGGGATGCGGAGATCAGCAAGATCCTGACGGACTCTGCGGAGCAGGCAGCCCCCGTCTTCCTGAGCAGCAATCCCTTCCAGGACTGGATGAGCGGCAAGGCGCGGCGGCCGCCGCAGAGGAACTTCCCGGCCGAGCCGGAGTCGGGGTCGGAGCAGCAGACCAGCAGTGGCACGCCCGTGGCTGTTTAAGACCTCGTCGTGATTGCGCGAGGCCCCCTCAACGCGGCTGATTTCATTGCGTCAAGCCGTGGGGTGCAAATGCGTCGTGGGTCTTTGCTTAGGAGGGTCTTTGGGCTGTTAGCCTGAGCTCCAGCTCAGGTGGGGTGCCTAAGCGCCGTCATTAGAGGCGGTTTTGTGGCAGAGCAGTAGTAGGTGACAAGGGCGCTTTATGGTATTTTGCAAGGGCAAGGGAAGAACGGTGAGGGATGGTTGCTTTGCTCGGAGCAGGGGAGGCTAAATTGAGCGTGTGCCCTTGAGAAGGCCATGGGTACGGCTGGGATCAGCCAAGTCTTAATACGTATGTCATGGATGCTTTTGTTTGGATGTTGCTAACGGATGCATGGGATTTTTAAACCTCTAATCTAGCATTTCTCCGGTGGTTTGGACAGCTGTCCTGTCTTTCCGGAGCGAGGGCCCCGCCTGCAGCCAAGTGGTCGAGGAGGGGGGCCGCGGCACATCTGATTATGGCGGTGGCGCGCTCGTGAATTCAATCCTATCCCAAACGCAATGGGGAAGTGCGTTTGCTCCGTACCCGTCTGTAGTAAGTACTGATCCGTAATGGTCATTAGGAGGAGCGCTTCCTAGCATGCAGCAGAGTAGGGGAAGACACAGACAGACTGGCTTCTGTTCAGTTCTGTTTGCTTTGCCGGGGCTCGAATGTGGAATTTTTTTGTATGGATGCCTGAATGGTTTGCCTTTCCTACGCCACGCGCATTTGCGTGCACACGTATTTGTGGGTATCTCCAATAGTGGGCGGCAACCACCTGCATTTTGCAGGATAAGCATGGCCCTCTTTGGAGAGCCCAAAAGTGAGTGTGTGTGTGTGTGAATGTGCGAGTGAGGTTCATTTTTTATGTACTTTGCCCAAGCTGGTGTGCGTATTAGTGGCGTGTTTTTTAATACTGATACTTGCTGAGGTGGCATGTGTGATGCGTCCGTATGTTTAAGCTGTGTAAGAGGGACACAGATGTGATGCACAGTTAATTGGCACGGCGCATTTGCCTGCCCTGCCAATTATATATTCCCGTGCTAGCTTGATGTTAGGGCCATGGCGACGGGTGGTGTTACGACGGGTCGTTTGCGTAGGGAACATATTGGCCTATTACGGATGTAAATTGAGGATTTTAAAGTGTGGGGCGGAAGTTTGCGCGCCTCTTAACATGGAGTTTGTAAAGCATGCTCCCAGATGCCGTGGCCGCTGATGAAGCCACTGTCAGGCTGCAAAATGCACCAGACAACCCTTTTGCTTATGAGATTCAACCCTTATACAATACGCAAACCAAAACCAAATCGACGCGGTGAGAAAAAATATTCGCATGGCCATGTCGGATCCAACCCAGCAGCCTCGACTGTACGCCACGGCTGTACCCCTCCAGAACCACTCAACCCCACCCACCCACTCACGTTCACCTCCAGACCGGCGCCGTACAACTACATCCAGTCTAGGTCCTTGAAACGCTCCGTTACAACTAATTCCAACGCACCCCGTCTACTCCCACGCCGTCATCCTCTCGCTACCCCGCGCTCGCAAGCACTACCCCGCAACTGTGCGCTAACCTGAACCGAGCCGCCCTCACCTCACCTCCCGCCAACCTCCTGCCCCGCTCCTGCCCCCCCCCCTTAACGAAACGACCTTGGTCGCTCACTCCCTCCGACCCTCTACCCCTCGCCAGCGTTCCGCTGCCGACCCTCTGCCCTGCCTGCATGCTCCGCAGCCCCGCCCTCGGGCCCATCACGTGTCCCAACCGTCCTGGCCCCAAACAGTATCTGCGGACATCATGCCCACCTCCACCCGCCCCCAGCCCCGTGGCACCTTGGCCACACACGCGCGCATCACCACGGGGCTGCCCGCCTCGCGGCCATCCGATCCGCACTTGAACAGCTCCACCTCGCACACGCCGCAAGAGCCGTGCAAGCAGCCCGTGGGGATGTCCGCACGGCAACGCGACGCCACCTGGGGGCAGGAGTGTGCCGTGTGCGAGGTAGGGGTCGTGTTGTGTGACTTACTTCCCTAAGGCATGGTTAGGGGCGTACGCGCGGGTGATGTTCTGGGTTCTTGAAAACCCGGACGCACACGACGTATCCCCTGCGCGCCTAGTCAACCCCAAGGTTACTATTTCAGGGGACGGCTAGCAGGCGGAGGTATGGAACGGCAGTGAGGCCTAAGCGAGGTGGACCAGCGAGAGCGAAATCACGGTAGAGCGTGCCTCTCTCCGGGCCCCGGTTCCCCCAACGCGCCCCAACGGCACTATCTCCCCTTTCCCAAGTATCATCTCTCCTGCAGGCTTAGTAGGATGGCTCTTGGCGTTTTCAGCAAGGGATTGCTAGCCCTAGTGGCTGTCGCCATCGCACAATTCCATTAACAACACATTCCTTGGATGGGCCGGGTTCAAGGACCTCGAAGTGGTCCGCTTCGGTGCGGCAGTACGCACCTCCAGAAAGTCCTCCCCAGGCCGGGCTTGCGTCGAGGTGCCCTCCTGCCTGCGCCAGGGCGACGGAGCCGGATAGGGATTAAGCGGTTCCGCCCACAAAATGCTACGCCTTTTCCTCCCCGTAGAACATATGAGGGAACCATGCAGGACGGATGGACTCCCAGCGGGGCGAATGCTGGTGCTCACCTGAAGTAGACGGTTACCACATCGGTCGATTTTGCGGGCGAAGCGACAGGTGTACTCGTAGGGGAATTTAATACCGACGCAGACACGGCTGCCTCCGGGCTGCAAGGCGTCACCACGGCGAAGGGCTGTTGGTGCTGCTGCTGCTGCCGCTGCTGCCAAAGGGACGCGCGGCGCAAGGTTCTTCGATTTGTGCATCTATGAAATGCGCTGGATCGATAACATGAAGCTGCCAAGCTGTTCATTTCCATTAGTTACTTCAGCTCACTCGTGAAAATGGCCGTTATTAATTGCACCCTAAGCGAAACTGTATTAAATTTGTATTAAAATTCAACAGTGAAATTTGACATGTGTAGCCATTAGCAAAGGAACCTATTGGACCAATGCATTCGTGAAATGGCGAATGAATGGTGCTTGTGGCCGGCATGACTTGGGTATGAGATAGGACCACGTATCATTCATCCTTAGTTATTACATGCTTACATATGTATCCTCCTGAGAATATAACTATTCCTGCTCGGTGAGCTCTCCTGCCTGTCTCCATGCGAGCATTAAACCCGCCTTGCGTGCTGCCCGCGTCAAATGCAACCGGCGTTAAAAGTCATATAAGAGCTCACTACGCTCATCAGCTCCCGACTACAGCGCCTGGCCAGCGGCTTCATGGGTTGCGCCCCGTCGCAGCGCTGCCAGACGGCGATGGCGGAGCGACTGCCAAGGCCGTCGAGGTGGGGTTAGGCCATATGACACAATGCTTAACACTTCCGCTTCCACAATATCTGCCGTCATCGGTTTAATTATTAGTCGTCCTGGAAAGCCCTGGCTACACAGCTCTGTCCGATGACCATGACCGGCCATGACCAAGCACCTTCCTCCACCGGGGCATACTGAGGCTGTTTCTTGCAGCTCAGCAGCTGCTGCGCGGACCTACCTCTCACCAGAAAACATATATCTGGCATCTACACTAGGGTTTTAAACTCTGTATTTCCCACTGCTGTCAAAATAGCCGTACGTTGTCGTAATGTCGTACTGCCGTCGTGTGATCCCTGCCAGATTGTAACGGAAGCCCTGCCGGCCTCCACGGCGGAGGCAGTCGACCAAGTGACGGCTGTGGAGCTAACGCCGTCGCCCCTGGCGGAGTCTCTGGCGGAGGCGGTGGGCGCCGCCGCCAGCGCCAAGGCCGTACAGGTGCAGCAGGCTGCGGAGCAGGTGCGCAAGGGGACGTGGGGACTCGTGTGGTTCAGCTCTCCGTCGGCCCCCCCGTCGGGGGTCGGGTCCCGAACTGATGAGTCCCACTTGAGTGGGACGTCGTGCTGCGTCCTGCGGGTTTTCAATCACCCCGGGACGTGTGTGCGTATGTGTATATGTGTGCGCACCCTCATATTGCGCCCTGTCAGCATTGACGCCCACCCGCCTGTCGTACCTTCCTGTACCGGCCACTCAACCCCGGCAGGCCGCTGCCGCGCTGACGGCGGAGGTCCTGGAGCGGGAGGTGGGGCGGAGGCGCAACTTTGCCATCATCTCGCACCCTGATGCCGGCAAGACCACGATGGTGGGTGCATGGAGCCGTTCCTTCTGCCCGTGAGATGGTGTCACGCTGCCATGCTCATGCTTCAACACGCCAGGGACGGAAGCGCGCAAATGCGTCAAAAGCACAGCGTGTAGAGGGCGGCATTATGGCCGTGTATGTTTGTACGTACGGAAATACGGAAGTACGGCTGCATGCCTCAAAAAGCGCCACTCTGGCCAACCCGAGCCGGCCAATCCATGTGGTGGAAGGTGTTGGCTAGTCGGCTGGCGGGATCGCTGCTCGCCGCCCATAACCACTGCACATGCGTGTCTGTGCCGAACTGCCGTACAGACGGAGAAGCTGCTGCTGTACGGCGGCGCCATTCACGAAGCTGGGGAGGTCAAGGCACGCAGGTACGGTGGGCTGGCTGGTTGTTCTTGGGGACGGGCAGCAGCCTGTGTGTGGCACGTGTGCAGGTTGGGCTTCTCCTTCTCCTCCTTCTCGTTCTTACACCCTCGTCGTGCGTATCCTGTACGGCACAGGTCCTCCCGCTCCGCCACGTCAGACTGGATGGAGCTTGAGAAGCAACGTGGTATTTCCATTACCTCCACCGCCCTCACCTTCGAGTACAACGGTTGCCAACTGAATCTGTTGGACACGCCGGGACACCAGGTGAAGGAGTTCTTGAGGGCCATGTATTGGTGCCGGTTGTGCAATTGACTCGTGTAAAACCCAAGGTGCTGTACGTGTCGTACATGAGCGGTACAAGGACCCATGGGTCGGTGGACTTTGTGGATGAGATAGAGACCCATGGGTCGTATGGCCGTTTCGGACGATAAGGCCCCCATCGATCGATGTGTCGCGCGGCGGCCATGAGGTTTTACGCGTGTTTGTTTGTTTGTATGTAAATATTTGCGCATGCGGGTTCGTGTCCCGTTACGGGTTGTACCTGGTATCAGGCCACGGTGCGTCGTGTCCCCTTTTTGAGCCGTACCGTACAGTACGAATATACGGGCACTCGCTTCGTGACCGCAGGACTTCTCTGAGGACACGTACCGCACACTGGCTGCTGCCGACAATGCCGTACTGCTGGTGGACGGTGCCAAGGGTATTGAACCGCAGACCCGGAAGCTGTTCGCGGTGGCTCGCTTGCGAGGCCTGCCCGTGTTCACATTCGTCAACAAGATGGACAGGTAGGGCGGGGGTTGGGAAATAGGGACTAGCGGAAAGGTGCGGAAAGGTAGGTGGAGGTCATTGCTGTTGCTCCTGGTATAGCTCTTAGGCTGCTGCTGCCTACCCATACCTGTTACTGCTATTGGCATTTCTGTAACTGCTACTGCGACTGCTATTGGCATTTCTGCTACAGCTGCCTAATGCCCCTCGCGCGCGTGTGTGTGTCTGCCGCTGCTCTGCATCTCAGACCCGCGCTCAATGGCTTCGAAATAGTGGAGCAGTTGGAGAAGGAGTTCGGCTTGCAGGTACGGGATGTACGGGATGTACGGCATATGTTGCATGTTTGCATGTATGATGCATCCTGTGTGGTGTTGTTACTGCGTACAACAACTTGTGGATCAAGCCTTCTTTCCCCCCAACACACACACACGCATACCTGCCTTGCGCAGAGATGACCTGTTGGCATACATACATACTTACATACTATGCATACATGTTATGCCGATGCTGCTGCTTTTCTTACAGCTGCTCATGTTCATATTGTCACTGTTTCGAATCCCCTCTGTCACGGTCCCTTGCTGACGGTACTGCTACAATTCGTTTGCCTGTCGTTGCTCGTACTGGTCGTACATGTTGGTTTCAGAGCTACCCGGTAAACTGGCCCATTGGCTCGGGTGACCGCTTCGTGGGTGTGTACCACCGGCCCAGCAAAAAGGTGTGCGGGAAGGGGGGACGAGGGCGTGGAGGTGTAACGCGGTATCGTGTGTCCGCTCGCGCATTCACACACAGACATACACACACACACACACACACACACGGGGCAAGGGGGTTGCGGTGACTACGGTTACAGGAGAAAGGGTCGGAGATTTAGATGTGGGCTGTGCACTGCACACTCCCCTCCTGATTTGCGACCAGCACAATCACACGGACCTCCTAACTCACCTACCTATCACACAACCCCTTTACCAACCACCCCAACGAACTCCTGAAACCACATCAGTCTCCCCACCTGTCATAAGGACCACCCAAAGCCCCACATGTCGTATATCCAGTCGACCCGGACGGGCCCTCGCCAGCGGCAGTTCATTTGCTTGGTTTCATTTTTTAATATTTTGGCTGGATTCAAACATTTACATCCTTCCCGCCAAAAACACTTTTACCGGACTACCGAAATAATTAATGAATGAACTGCCTCCCCACCGCCAGGTGGTGCTGTATGAGAAGAGGGGTCTCGCTGGGCGCAGTAAGGGCGCCACGAAGACCGAGTACGACATGGACGATCCAGATCTACGGCAGCTGGTGGAACCTGATTTGTGGGAGCAGCTGCAGGAGGATGTGGAGCTGCTGGAGGTCAGCTGGCCCCTCGCTTTGGTCTTCGTTGTGTTGTTTTGATTTGTGTGTTGCTATCCTTCTTCTGTTTCTTGACGTTGGGTCCTGCTACCGCAATGTCTACCTCTCCATGCATCATGTTGGCCGCCGACCCCTCCTTCCCCCCCCTCCCCTCCCCTCCCTCCCCCCTTCCCCCCCACCTCCTTCATTCGTGTGTGGTTCGTCTTTCCCCTCCCCTCCCCTCCCCCACCCCCATCCGGCAGGTGTTGGGGGATGAGTTGGATCTAGAGGAGGTCATGGCCGGCAAGGTAAGGAACGGAGGTTTGAATACCCCCTGGCTTCGCAGCCCTTGACTCAGGTTCACCTCCTACTCTATTGAATATGCCTCCTGGGTAATGTGACGTTATTCCTAATATCCCAATATATACACTGATGCACATACACACGCACACCGCGCGCAGGTGACCCCTGTGTTTTTCGGGTCGGCGATGAACAACTTCGGAGTGGAGCTTTTCCTGCAGGTGCGGGTTAGCAAGCGCGAGTGTGAGTATGTATGTATGCCCCGGCCTGCACCGCCTTGGACCTGGTGCTCCTCTGCTCCGCCCAGTGCACACATGTGTATACACACACACGCACACACACACATACACACGTGTCTTGCTCAGTGCCACCTGGCAGCTCCCCTCCCCTCACCGCCGTGGCCGCTCACTACCCGGGTCCCCCGCCATCGGTCCCCGCCCACCACTCATCATCATCATCTGCCTCGCCTCCTACCCCACCTCCCGACCCATATGCGCCATGTTCTCCCTGGTCCTCCCCCTTCAGACCTTCATACAGCTGGCATCCAAGCCTGGTGAGAGCTGGTAAACCCGGTCGCCCGTGTACGGCAATACCCCAGGGCACAGCAGGGCGGTGTGGTGGTGGTGATGGTGGTTGTGTGGCAGCGGGGTTAGGGTCCCCTAGGGGTTGGGGTCCGGGGCTGGAGCTGTGATATAACCCCTGATGGGAGGAGGGGAGCGGGGGGAAGAGGAGGAGGGGGGAAGGGAGAAGTGAACCTGTCCGTGGAGGAGTTGGTGCTACAGCTGCGGCCGGGGTTCAACGCCCTTCTCACGCCCTAACATGGCTCCTGTCTGGCCTCTTCTCCTTCCTTGGACTGGAACTCACCTAACTACAGCCCCTTCATATAGAACATTAAAACCCCTAAAACCCCTAAAACCCCTTAAACCCCTAAAACCCTACCCCCCTCCCAGGTCCCGCTCAGACCCGCAGCGGCGTGGCTGTGTCCCCCACATCCCCCAACTTCACCGGCCTGGTGTTTAAATTGCAGGTGGGTGGTGGGGTAGGGGCGAGAGGGCCGTTGATGTACAATACATAAATAATACATAAACAAGTTATGTCCTTCACACATTTCGGGTGGATCTGATTCTCTACCGGTTGCAGCGTGGGTAGGGCCCTAGGAGAGCTGCTGAACCCGATAACTGTTAACTGATGTTAACCGTCAGGCCAACTGTCAACCCACCACCAGGCCAACATGGATCCCAAGCACCGGGACAAGGTGGCGTTCGTACGGGTGGTTTCTGGTGAGATGGCTGCTGCTGCTGCTACTGCTGCTCCTGTCCCGTCAGCTGGGGGCCCCCGGGGTTAAGGGAATGAGAGTGAGGGTTAGGGCGATCGGGTGAGTGAGGGGGGGTCGCGGGGTGGGGGGGAGAAGACGGAGGTCCTACCAGGGCTCCAAGGGCTCCCCCCCATCCTCCCCCCTCTTCGTGGCTCGTCTTACCCCCTTCCCCCTCTCCCGCCGCCGCCGCCTGGTCGCCCGCAGGCAAGTTCGAGAAGGGCATGAAGGTGCGGGTGGCGCGTACGGGCCGTACCGTCACCTTGGCGGCCCCGCAGCGGATGTTCGCCAACGAGCGGCAAACCGTACAGGAGGGTTTTGCGGGTAAGAGATGCGCCACATGGGGGGAAGTTAGGGGTTGTTTGCAATCAGCGTGTGTGTTTAGCCACCACTCGTTCAAACCTAGCTGGATGGCGGCAGAGGGCTCCAAGGGCCGATTTGGTACCTGGGGGGCATGCTGGTTCGCCTGGTCTTCAACCTACCTTCACTCTCCCCCCCTCGGAAGGGCCCCTTTATTGAACGGCGGGGGTGGCGACGGCGGCGGTTTACCCTTTTGCTTCTTGCATGTGACTCTTTTCCCCCCCCTCCTTTTCCCGTCCCCGCGACGGCTGCTGCTACTGCGGCGACTACTACTGCGGCTACTACTACTGCTACTGCGGCTACTACTACTGCTGGTGGTGGTGGTGTTCCAGGTGACGTGATTGGGCTGACCAACCCAGGTGCCTTCGCCATCGGCGACACGCTGGTGACTGGCCCCACACTCGCCTTCCCGCCCATCCCCACGTTCTCTCCGGAGCTGTTCGCCTACCTGCGCTGCCCGCCCAACCAGAAGAAACCCTTCCTGAAGGGGGTGGAAGGTGGGGGAGCCCCGCCGGGGGGTTTCCCTGGGCGGCGTGGGTGATCCGAGCGAGTGCCTGGGGCGCGGGGCGTGTGCGTATGTCTGTGTGTCTGTGTGTGTGTGTGTGTGTGTGTGTGTGTTGATAAGATGAGCTGCGAGGTGGAGATAGAAGCTCGTGGAGCGTGAGCGTGTTTTTGTGTGTCTGCGCGTTTGCGTGTACACGTGGTTTGGAATCGATGGCAGTGGGGGAAGAGGCACTTGGGGTTGGAGCCCTCTCCGTCCTCAAAACCCACTGGTGTCCGAGTCCTGCACACGCGTGCGACTGCCTGCCTGCCTGCCTGCCTGCCTAGGACAGGGAACTGCCCAACAGTACCCCTCGCGGGCGGTTCATCTGTGTCTGTATGTGTACCTTTGCCCATGCAGGTCTGTTAGGAGAAGGCGCCGTACAGGTGCTGTACAACACGGATGACTACATCACGGATCCCGTACTGGCAGCCGTCGGGCAACTGCAGTTTGAGGTGGTGCAATACCGGATGAAGGTACGGCGAGCACGACACTGGTATACGGCACTACCCGTGGGATGGATCTCGTACAATGACGTGGGACATGCTGCTCATGCCTTGTAGGACGAATACGGCGTCGATACGACATTGGAGCCCTTGTCGTACACAGTCGCACGCTGGGTCAAGGGCGGATGGGCGGCGCTGGAGGACGTGGGGCGGCTTTTCAACACCACTATCATGAAGGATGTGTACGGCAGGCCCGTACTGCTCTTCCGTAATGACTTTGCGCTGCAGCAGGTACGAACGCACACGCAGTGTATGTGACGGCGAGAAGCCAACAACAGACAGCAGTAATTAAGCGACACGTCGGGGTGCACCCCGGCGGCACCGGAGCCCGTTCTCTTCCTCCTCCTGAAGGCTCCCACCGTGCGCTGGCTGCCCGCCGCCAAAACAGGACTTCTGCATGGGATTCCCGCTTACCTACCTACTCAACCAAGCAACCACAAGCAGGCATAACTGCAACTCTATCCGTTCACAACACTGTATCTCGCCTTCGATGTGTTTCACTCCTCCCCTCACCCTCCCTCCACCCCGCGCTCTCGCAGGTCCTCGGAGAGCATGCGGACAAGCTGGGAGAGCTAAGTCCCTTCGCCCTGCCCCCAGACGTTTAGTGTAGCTGGGGAGAGGTGGTGCTTAGGGGTTGCGGTGCATGCTAGGGTTAGTGCCCGTGGTGGGTTAGTGCCGTTAGTGTGGCGCAGAAACGGGCCTAGGGCAGGGTGGGTGACGGGGGGTTAGGGCGTCGGATTGAGATTTCCGAAGTTCCGACTCGGTCTCGGACTCGGATTCTGACCCAACTTTGACCACAGATCAGACCGGCAATTCGTTTGAGGATGGTGAGCTGTGAGGTGAGGGCAGGACAGGCGAGGACAGGTGGTGCAGTCCCACGGAGAGCAGACGACGGGTGGGGGAGGGCAGGAGAGCGGACAATTTTGGGACTGTGGCTGCGGCAGCTGGGGAGTGACGACGGGTGGCTCGACTCGATGGAGATTGCCAAGGCTGCGGATGGGGGCAGGGGGTGGGTGCCTGCTAATGGTGATGAGGGTTTGTAAGGGGTGAGAGAGGTGGAGGGCTGGGAAGGGCCCTTCAAGCGTGGGGGTTATCGTGGTGAGCTCGGTGTCGTGGTTTGTTTTGCGGCGTGTCGTGTGAATGGCAGATTGTAGGCGGGCTTTAGGAGTGCGAGGCTTTCCGCGGCATACGCGCGTTGAGGGGTGAGAGCGGGGAAGGTGAGAAGCGGTGCGACGTGATGCAATGCGGTGCGTATCACAGGTGAAGACGGGCCACGAGCGAGTGAAGCTGATGGGGGGGCCGGGGAGGGGGCAGTTTAGTGAAGGTGTGGTTGCTGTTAAGGAGTGCGTGCGCAGCGGAGAGGCTGCGAGGCCGAGGGCTGCCTATTACCGTGAACGAGGATAGTGCGCAGGTGTGCAGGTAGTATGTTGGAAGCTGGGCGAGAAATGACGTGACATGACACGGCGGAGAACTCCTCTCTACTTGATGAAAATGTCGTGTCGCGCTGTATACCGCTAGAAGTGCGCTGTGGCCCTGTGGTCCCGTACTTGCCGTAGTCAGCCAGATTTGTATTTTACTGGTTTATATGTCTGTCTGTTTGTCCAAAAATTACTTCGGGTTATTTCTTCAGGGACCCCCGGAGGGGAGGATGGACATATACATGTATGTACATATGTATGTCGTACATCTTGGAGTTGCGTATTTGTGTCACCCTTCCCCGCAGGGGTAACGAGCGAGCTCACACACCAGCCCTTCAGGAACACTCCCCGAGGGCAGGCCATGGTTCCAATGGTCTCTTTCTCTCACACACACATACATACTACATACACGTGTAGAGTCCATGAAGGCCGAGGTGACGACTGCTGCTGCATCCCCCCCATGTGACCCCTAGGAACGCACAAAACCGTAGTTCACACCACGGCCACCACACCAGCACCAGCACCACAGCCCCTGTGCGCCAGCAGCACCAGCAGCCTCAACCCGGTACCGCACCGCACCACCGCGGAGGAACGACGACCTCCTCCGAATCTCCTCCTCCTGCTCCTCCTGCTGCTCCTGCTCCTGCTGTTCGTGTTCCTGCTGCTGCTTGTGGTGGAGTTTGTGGTGCTGGCGAAGGTGGTGGTGGAGCTACCTCGGCTTTTACCTCTCGTCCTACCGAGCCCACAACCATCAGGATGGGAAGGTGGAAGGTTGACATCATCACCACCACCGCCATTATTATCGCCATTGCCGACCAGCAGCACCCTCGCAACGCCACCGCCATCCAGGGGCCTTTCGCTCCCCTATTGCTTTCCTCTCCCTCCCCTCTTGCTCTAGGAGGAAGGAGCTACTTCATGTCTACAGATACACGTTCGTTCCAACAGCCAGACGGAGGCTGGATGGCCACCGACGAGCCGGAAGCGCCAGTCTCCCCCGCCCCTGTTGCTACCACTGTTGGTAGCACTTCACTTGCTACTGTTGCTGATCTTAAGTTTATTAAACCCTTGTGTGTCCATGGTTAAACCTCGGGCAGTATGGCATCTCCGAGATACCGTCAAGCTTATGTGCTGTACGTCCCGATACACTGCCGCTCAAAGTGGTCTAAAGCCTAAATAAAGCACGCGGTACGGCGCATCATGTACACACCGGTACGGTGCTGGGGTGTTGGTGAGGTGGTCAAGTTGCGCACATGTGCGTAGGAGCTCCTGCTGGGCAGTCCACCCCCCCCCGGCCCTCCTGTCCCAACCGCCGCGTGCAGGTGGCGTTCAAACCAGGCCCCGAGGCATCCCCCTAACCTTCACCCGCCATCCGCAGTAAACCCCCCTGCTCCCACAGCGAGCCCTGCTGCTACCGGGGGACCGGGGTCTGGCGCTGCTTCACAGTGCCGTTCCCAACTTCCCAACCCCCTTTGTGACACAGCCCAACACAACACCCGCGGACTGGGTGGCTGGCTGGGTTGCTTATGAGAGTTACGAGAAGAGGTATATCCGCGCGGATATGTCGTTGACCACAAAATCAAACCCTTCCAGCAGCCCCGTGCCGTCCACCGCGCTGCAAGCTACCACCCGGCAGTGCCGCTTGGTGATGGAAGCGATGTCTAGGGCCTGCGGATGAGAGTTGAGACGGGGTGAGGGTTGTAAAGAGGACTGGGATGGAGCCCACCCCACAGGCTATTTCATTACTTATCGTGGGTTATTCTGTCTGTTTGTTTGTCTGTCTGTCCAGAGACCCGTCCCTTCCGCTAGCAGCACCGAGAAATAACACACAAGGGCGGGGAGGGCGGCACCGCTGCCACCGCTGTCGCGCCCTCAGCACCCACCCTCCCAACCCACCCACCCAGGGCCCCACTCCCACCTTCTCCAGCTCCACCACGGATAGTGCGGAGGGGATGTCCTGCTTGTTTGCAAAGATGAGCAGTGAGGCCCCGAAGAGCCGCTCCTCCTTTAGAAGGTTATGGAGCTCCTCCCTGAGGAGTGGCGTGAGGGCAGGGCGCGGGGAGCGAGGAAAGGAAGGGGGGAGGGACAGGGCGGGGGAACGGGACGAAGAATGAGGCGTGCAGGGACATAACATACCGAACCAAACCTACAGCGAACAACCGCACCCGAACCCGGAAAAGCTCACACAAATGCACGAGGATCCGCTGGTTAGGGGCTATGAAAGGGGTTGGATACGTGGGTGGCTACGAGGGTGACTCCGTCCCAGTCCGTCGCTTTTTCATGTACACCATAGTTTACAACAAAGGGTGGCTCCAATCCAACCTGCAATCATTAAGGCGCGCCAGGTCCGCGGAGTCCACCACCCAGATCAGGGCGTCGGTCTTTTCGTAATAATTCCTCCAGTAAGGGCGCAGCGTTTTTTGGCCACCAATGTCCCAGATGTTGAGCTTGTAGCTGGGGAACGGAGGAGGAGAGATTAGTCGTGAGGCCATTGCGAAGATTTGGAAATGGGGCAGCGTGGGCGACTGTAGGGCTCCGAGCCACCAGACGCAGTGCCGCGCCACGGCGGGGCATGTCCCAAGGGTCAGGCAAGGATTCGCCGAACCCCAGTGTCGCAGGATAACTGCAATCTGACAAGCTCACGACGATGTGAGCCTCACCCCTTAAAGGTCATGGTCTTGATATTAAACCCCAGCGTGGGGCTGATTGTCGTTATGTCCTCCCCGTTAAGCCGCTTTACAATTGTTGTCTTCCCGGCGTTATCCAGACCCCTGTATTTGGGATGCTTCTGTGACTATTAATGATAGGAGAAGTAATAGCAAGCTGTTGTCTAGGTACGTCGACTTACACCATGAGGATCCGCATTTCCTTTTCTTTTTGTTTGACCTTCTTTATGATAGTTAGGAGCCCCATATTATTTTTAGCTACCTAAGTCCTACCTATATATTGAAACCTAATGCATGCGACAATGAGGGTCAAGAATCCAAGTTCGTCCTTGAAAGATATCGCAGGCAAGGCAGAGGAGGTATACAAGGAAACGACTAACTGTTACAATACGCATAATGAACTGCTGTCATGCAAGAAAGCTACGATTGAGACAGGTGTTCATCGTACAGTCGTTGTTTCTGCACAGTATGCGGATTTACAAGTTACAACGATGTCCTCTCATTATCACAAACATATTCAAAAACATGAAATGCTCCATAGGACGCCTTACTTTAATGCGACCTCTAACTAGTATGCTTCGCACGGTTTGCACCTCTCTGCCCATTCTCGTTAAGTTCATGGCTTGCAATACATTCAAGAGCCCGGGCTTTGTAGTCTCAGGCTCTCAGCAAAATGTGTTAGTTTTCTGGCCGGTTAGTTCGGTAGTTGGGTCGGTTCCGAGTCAAGATCCTGGTCGTTGGATGCTGGATTCCACCTGACAATGATTTTGATTTGCACTTCCTGGGTTCTAATAACCTGAACACTATTAAGCCGCGGATGGGCTCTCACACATAATTTTCAACGTTAGGGCGTGGCCCCATCGTGCTCTCAACCATTCACGTGTTACCACCCGTGTCTCATCTCAACCCCTTTCCCCCTCCCCCCAAAAACCCAAGTTCTCCCCCCACCACCCTCCCACCACCACCCTTCCCCATGGCCTTTGAAAACCAATTCCCAAACCCCCAAACCCTTCCCGTCTCCCTGGCTCCCGCACTCCCACCTAGGTGGCAACGACTACAGCTCCCTGCTGACGTGGGCCTACACCGCAGGCCTGGTGCTCAGCGCCTTGTGCGGCGTCATGGCGGTGGGTACGTGGGTAGGGCTCTCAGTTCAGATGTTGCACTGGCAGGTGGCGAGTGGTGGTTATACCCTTCCACGCCAATAATGCTTTTTGACCCAAATCACGGCACGTATGCATGCATACATGCATACATGCATACATGCATACACACCACCTTAACACACTCCAAAACTCCTCACATCCCTCCCTTTTTCCGTCCCGACCGTTCTCCCGCTTCCCACTCTCCCGCACATGGCGGATTGTAACGCCCCGTAGGCGGGGTTGTGGTACGCTCGCGAAGTGGCCGTGTTTCGGTTCCTGCAGCCCCCGGAGGTGGCGGAACAGGTGGCGCTGTTTTGCCGCTGGCTCATACCGGGGCTGTGGCCTATGGTAGGCGGTTGGAGTGGTTGTGGTAGTAAGGGGTTGTTAAGGTGGTTGTGGGACAAGTGGAAATCGGGAGATTAGTTGAGATTGGGCTGTTAACAATAATTTTTTATTACCTGGAACGAATGAGGTTGTTGCTTTCGGTTGGAATAATCGGTTACAAGGGTATTTGCATGGTACGGCAAGAAGCTTTGAAACCACCTTGACGAATTTACAGTATGTTACAGCAATGTCAGGGATCACCGCACTGGACCCCCCCCCCAACTTCCAAAACTCCCGACTAACGGCAATCCACCATCGCAATCGCGATTGCAAACAGATGTGGAGTGTCGTCCTCTTGAAGGTCATGCAAACTCAGAACTGCATGCTGGCGCCGGCGGACGTGCGCCTTCAACGTACTGAGTAATGCCGTATTCGTACATTACCTGGGCTTTATTGAAATGGAAAAAAGACAAAGACTGAACCCTTGTATGTATGTATGTATGGTGCATGATGGATGTAGTGTCTAGTATCTAGTATGTATGTATTTGTGTAAGCGGGCTGGGCTGGGTCGGCTTGTGTGGGTGCGTGGGAGCCGGTGGATCACCCAGCGGCATTTGCTCGGTCGCGTTTTGCAGGGCAGGGCATGCCTGCGTAGCGGCAAGTGGGGACTTTGGTTTGCTTTGCAACTCATCATTTAATCTAAACCGTGAACGAAGAGAGAATCTGAACAGTTTTTAGGCTGGATGCTGGTACGCATTTTTTAAAGGGTTTTACTAAGGCGCCATTACCAACTGAATCCTAACTACTCCTAACCAACGCCTCCTGTTGCAAACTCCCCCTCTCCACCCCCCTCATCCTCTCCTAGGGCGCGCCCATTGCGACTAGCGTGTCGCGCTTCGTCCAGCTGTTCGTATATCTGGGGGTTGTGTTGGCCTTGCAGCACAAAAATCATCCAGGTGGTTGGGGCAGGTGGTTAGCCCGCAGTCGGCGCTGCTGGTCCAAGGCCTTATCGCCTGGTGTGCTGTACATGTTCATGCAGCTGGGGATACCAGGTATGTGGGGTTGGGGGGAAACGAATGTGGGGTTTGGGGGGGAAAGGTGGGGGGGAAGGAAGTCGTGGAATGTAAGGTCTGTAAATGTCCGTATGGGAAAATAGGGGAGGGGGGAAATTGGGAGGTCAATGGCGGTATTTGAGAACATGCTTTGCGTATACACAATCAGGTACATTCAGATCCATTCAACCACCGATGCCCTCCTGCAGCCCACGTCTTCAGCTGCCAGAGCTTCATGCATACAGCTGAACGATCATTGGAACGGGCTTTTATGCTTGAGGCTTGGGCTTGGTTTGTGCGCAGCAATGAGTGTTGGCAGCAGGTGCACGTGCACGTGCATTTTGAGCAACAGAGCGTTTGTAGCAATGATGCCGCCCCTACTGCATGCAGTTGATATTCACTACTCATTGAATCATCATCACCACGCCTGATTCTGTAGCCTGCTTCAGATTGGGCACCTTGAAGGTCTGGAAGCTGCTGCTTGCAGGCACAATGTAATACATGTCCCGGGGGGCCAGGCACTGAAGATGGCGCTCTAGGATTTCCTCGCTGATGACTTTGGATGTGTTGCCGATGGTCATCTGCAGCAGCCTGTCTGGCAGGACAAAGGCGTCGATGCACGGGCGCTGTGTGTGGTTGTACTGCCAATATCAATGTCCTCCGGCTTGTCCGCCGCCAGAAACTGCACCACCTGCTTGGGCGGCTGCTGAGTCATCACCATCGGCTGCCCACCAGTCGTAGCCATAGCCACCGCCATTTCGTTCATTGTTTAGAACACTGAAAGGTATGGTCAGGACAATCTCAACACCTTTGCTTAAGCCCGATGGGTTGGGCTGTGGGTTCCCAAAGAGGCCATTAAGCAACCTTCACCCGCCATGTAAGACCCCACACACTCCCCCAGCCCCCACGCGATCTCCCAGCTCCCATGCGCTCCCCTAGCCTCACACGCTCCCCCAGCCCCCACGTGCTTCCCCACCCTCACACGCTCCCCACGCAACCATTAGGATCCGTTACTCCAGTATATGTGTCCCGCATGCGCTCATCATTACACCTCCATTGGAAGGTGTTCAATTTAATCCGCCATCAGAAGCGAATGCAGAGGGACGCGAGATACTCAAGCTCGCCAGCCAGGAAGACAGAATACGGCAGTGGGAGTCGTACAAAGCAAAATTTGGGATCGAGTCGAAGCCAGAGGTCGCCTACAAGTGCATCCTGGCGCTACCCGACCTGCTGCCATAGCAATACGTTGGGTATTGCCCTGAGCACCGGCCGCCCACGTATTGCCCATAGTACTAGCCGCCGCCTCTGCTGCCTGTGCATCTTGGTGCTTTTGGTCAGGTATTGAAGCAATTTTCTAGAATAGTTCAAAGGTCTGGTGTGTAAAGTGGCGGTAACTGTAGCGGTAGTTGATCTGGTTGACCATTTCGAGCGATTTAGGTGAAAATGGATGTAGAATGTTACGATGACAGCTCCTAGGGCGGCACAGTAGACGTCGCAACGGCGTTACGGCACCCCTACCTCCTTTGGACGACTTGGGCAATTCGTTGGTGAATCCCTACCAAGTACCAACCAAATTTCAGCTCCTGGTAGGGGTTTCGGCAGGGGTATGGGGATGTATTGTATTGTATTGTGGTTACAGTATTTCCGCCGCCGACGCGGCGGGTGCCCTCACGAGCCGTGAGGCTCCAGAGCACGCTGTTGACGCTCATCAAAAACCTCAGTAAGGAAAGCAGCGATTTTCCTCGGATTGGTATTAAGAAATACCTTGCGCATATCAGTATCTTCAACGTTAATCAGAAACCTATTACGCAACTCAGTATACGCCTCACACTCCATGAGCACATGGTATTCATCCTCAACCTTACCCGACGTACAGACCTGACACGTACGGCACTCTCTCGGCCTATGGTGTCCTTTGTTGACCTCCAAAGGCCAACAACAAAGACGGAATTTGGCAACCATACGCAACTGGTTGGCCGGCAAATAAACACGCAAATAGCCTGTGGGATCGGAGCCCTCTCTTGCTGGTGAAGGGGAGCCCATCCAGTTATGATACCTGCAAAGCGAAACCCCTTTACCTTGGAACACACGCGGATCACCCCCTTGGCTGAACTGATCCCAGTCACTTAAAAGGAACGCAGATAACCTCTCCAGAACCTCACCCACTCGAATCAACTGAGACGAGTATACATCTACCTTCTGAGAAACGGAGTCACACGCCGGCCACTCATGGCCCAACCAACGCAAAATGATGAGCACTTTAGACGACCAGCAATCCACTTTGAGATCAGACAGAAGAGCCAGACGGAGATCATCTACTAACACGTCATGATAGACCGACCCACGGGACTTGACTATCTTATTCCAGAAACACAACGCAAGGCGTAACCAAAAGTACTGCAAAGGCAACTGAGACA